CGAGCATTGTAGTGCTCCAGACTCAGCATCAACAGTAGTAACGAGTGTAGGATCAACAGCTTCTTCGCTCTGGGCAGGTGCACGAGAGGCGTTTCGACCGGAGGATAAACCTCACGAAGTTTCTTCAAAGCAGTCTCATCCTGTTCAAGGCGTGGCTCGGGCAGTTCTTGCGATGCGTCGTCTTGGCTGGATTCAGTCTGAGCATCATCGTCCCGATTTACTACTTCCCCGATCCGGAGCAGGACGGTATCTCTCCAGTCATCAAAGCCCGCGAGAGCTTTGGCCTCGAGTTGAAGATCCTTGGTCGAAGTCTTTACTTCCGACGGAGCACGATCGTTTGGGCTTTCGTCCTCGTGATGTTCAAGAGGATCAAACAAGGAGTCCGTATCTTCCTCGTCCTCCTCATGTTTAGAGAAGTCATGTGTAGTCTCCTGGATGGCCGGAGGAGCGACATGGAAGTTAGCGACAATGCCATTTCGCATCTGCTCAATCGCCTCGGCGACCAGAACAGTCAAGTCAGCGCGCTGCGGGCGGTCGAGGATGGTTGTCAGATCTGCTCCGCGGTCGCTCGGGGACGGAGCAGGCGGCGTAGCATGGCCCGACCCGAATTTGCTAACATGTTTCTCTTTGAACGATTTCCACATGATTGCGGATGACCACAGTCGGAGATTTACATCAATTGATGCTAAGGGGTGTCTTACAAGCTGCAATCACGTAGGCATCAGTGAGTGAGACAGAAATCAGGAGGTCGCCGCTTGCAGCGGAGATGAGATCACGGCTGACTCAGCGCCCAGACTGTCCCCGGTTATTTCGAGCAGCTGAAACAATCACGTAAGTCACTCCTAAGTTGAATCAACCTGCCAGCGTGCGTGCAAAGTGCTTGATTTTGGTCTCTTTCTCCCCCAGAAAGAAGCGCTTAGTTTTTGGTATCCACCACGAAGAATTTGCCTTTGGTCTTAGAAGCATATGCGAGGGCGTTTCCATCCCAGATGTCTCCGTCCGGTCGCTCGTTCCTTTGCGATTCAATTCGTTGAATCCTCTTATTGCGTCCAACAACCCGTTCCTTGGACAAGGCTTCTTTGAGCTTTTCCAGACCAATCGTGTTTTCCTTCACCGCTTCAGGAGTCTCGTCGCGGATGCTTTGTAGAGGCTCAACGCCGCTGGCATCGACGCGCTGGATTTGCTTCACAAAATGGATCTGGGACTCCAGAGTGTCGAGCATTTTTCTCTCCTCTTCCTCGTTCGCGGGTTGAGGCAGTGCAGACAAGCGGAGCAGATGGCGAAGCTGTTCGGGAGTCACCGAGGGAGTGGAGGGCTTATCGGTCTCGTCGGGGAGCAGCGAACGGACAGACCAAGTCGGCTTGGCAAGAATTGCGTCAATGTCATCTTGTCCTTGAGGCTGGGAAGTAGAATATGAGCGATGTTTGGCGACGAGGGAGCGCGGAGATTGACGGCGCAACAAGGCGGATAGCCGTGAGCTGCTGCTGCGCAAGAACATATCGGTCGTGATGATGAGTGCGTAAGATGTTGCGCAAGTAGTAGGTCAGATTGAACAATGTAGTAGACACTTGTGCCAATTGTAAAAGTCAAAGCGAGAGATAAACAAGCAAGACAGGCTGGAGATTGAGATCCAGTGAACTGCGGTGGAGGCAGGGAAGAGAGCAAAAAGCACCTCACAACAATTGTGGCTGTCTGCCAATAAAAGGGCGGGACAGCCCACCGCCTACGTTGATGGGGAGGGAAGCTCTCGATCCCGCCCGCTGTTAGTGACGGCAACCTTGAACGCTTCAGTTCGCCCTCCATCTTCTCCTCAACTTGCTGGCTGAGCCGCTCCCATATCTCCAGTATCCTTTATTTGCTCTAGCTGGAATATAACTTCTGCTCTCTTCTGCGGTAAATAAGTTTCAGCTGTTCAACATGGCTCAAGATCCTCGAGTTCTTCTTCAAAAAGTAAAATCTCCTTATCCCACTCCCCCGCCCCGCTGTTCCTCCACGTTATCATACCCGACTCCAAATGGATGACGATCACTGATTCCATGCTCCCCCACTCTTTAGGCTGATCAAGCGCTGAGTCGCGCATCTGGTGGCTTCAGCTTCTTCGGTGGTCGCACAGAGAAATATGAAAACGCCGCCGACTTGTACTCGCAGGCTGCGAATGCCTTCCGAGTTCAGAAGCAGAGTAAGCAGCCTCCGCACCGCATTCTCAGTCGCCTTTCTTCAACCCTGACACCAAATCTCTCCCCCTTTTCAGACAAGGAAGCCGGTCTTGCGTTCGAGAAGGCCGCTTCTATTCAGGCGCAAAACCTCAACGAGCCCGATGACGCTGCCAACACCCTGACCGAGGCCTTCAAGGTCTACCGCAAGTCCGACCCCGAGGACGCCGCCCGCGTGCTCTCCAGCGCTATCCAACACTACGTGCTCAAGGGGAACCTCCGTCGCGCTGCGTCGCAGCAGCAACATCTGGCCGAAGTGTATGAGGTGGAATTGGGTGACAACAAGAAGGCTCTGGAAGCCTATGAGAAGGCAGCGGAATGGTTTGAGGGTGATAATGCTGAAGCGTACGTTCTACCCTTCAGAGATGAAGCTTTCGAGCCATCTATCCGGCAGAGCTAATCTTGCAAACGCAGCCTCGCGAACAAGCACTACCTCAAGGCCGCGGATCTGGCCGCCCTCGAGGGTGACTACTACAAGGCCATCGAGCACTACGAGCGCATTGGCCGCTCATCGATCAACAACAACCTCATGAAGTGGTCGGTCAAGGACTACTTCCTCAAGGCTGGTATCTGCCACTTGGCGACGAATGTTGGTTTACTGTCAACCTCTAATATCCTCAACTGCCTAACATCGAAAATAGGATTTGGTCGCCACCAACCGTGCCCTCGAAAACTACCGCGACATCGACACCACCTTTGCCTCCACGCGTGAGCATCAGCTTCTCGTCGATCTGGTCCAGGCCTGTGAAGCAGGCGACCAGGAAGCTTTCGCCGACAAGCTTTTCCAGTACGACCAGCTCAGCAAGTTGGATAAGTGGAAGACGACGCTCCTGCTGCGTATTAAGAACAACATCGAGTCGCAAGAGGAGGACTTTTCTTAGCGCCCCGTTTGCCTTCTTTTCTTCTTCCTCGTTTTTTTGTTTGAGCTAGTTATTTGGTTTTGAAATACTTGATAAACCGAGGAAGGGCCACCTCTCCTGCTTTCGAATTCCTAATCGCATCTCAAGTGATTACTTCTTTGGCTGGTTCCATGCTTATTAGATACATGCTGCGCTGTGCCTATCATGCTCCATTATTGAAGGTTATCGAAAGTTATCATTATTGAAGTTTATGTTAATTCGACCGATCGACCCCATATAGCATCAGTTTGATCCTGACTGTGGTCTACATTCGTATCGTTCCTCTATGAAAGCGATGCCAACGAGATCATTCGGTATTGATCAACACTACTACAAATTGAAATGGAAGTTCTCGTGCACTATCTTCATATTTGGGTCAATCGCAACAGTACAGTGAGCTCGATCAGGTACAGTCACTGTAACTGACTAACGACCCTTGGAACCGGTTTCCGTCCGGTGTAAACAAACCTGCCCATCCATGATATTCATTACATTAGCCCCCCCCTTGAAGAAAACTGTGATTAATGCACTATTCACCTCTTGCCAGGCCAGCGCAAATCCACTCCCCAATTCTCTCCACGTCCCTAACAATGAAGGAAACAGGATCCACTAGGGGGCTGCAATGACTGAGTAACTTCTACTCCGCCGCAGGAGCATACCTTCCATGTCTCCCAACAGCCACATTATCGATACGCCTATGCCGCCCTACGACACTGCAAGAAAGGATTTCCTTTTCTGCACAAGCTCGAACGGTTGGATCGAGCCGAAAGTCCATGATTTGTCATATCCGTTGTTCAGGTTGACAGATGGCTGTACTCTTTCTCGGAAATTGAGTCTTTGCGCCTACACGAGCCAGTTACAAAAGAGGGCAACACCCACATCACGGGTGCATATATCATGTGAAATATGTATCAAAAGATGATCGTTGACTGCTAAGCAGAACCGAGGACTTCAGGGACAGATTCGCGTTTTACACGAGTGCTGGAGTCTAGTGGCACATTTCGGGTAAAGGAAAATCGAGCTCATCTTCCCTATTACCTGTCTTGCCCTGCGGTGAGTCATAATTCCTGAGCTTGTCTCTTCAGTTTCTCGTTGTTCATTTGCTCAGCTACATATGCTTTCGACTATAGGTAGTTTAGGGCGGTTAGAACAGCTCTCCCTTGCATGATGGGGCGAATGATCCTTGCTGCAGCTGGATCCAAGTCAGAATTCATGGGTACTTCATGATGTACTTTATGCCCCCGTCAGGTCAGTCAGGCCGCCGAAGTGCATGAACTACCTTTCTCGAGATCTGATTCCCAGGATCTGAAACACGGCACAGAAGGTAAAACATGTCACACACCGTGATACATCGAGCTTGCAGTCGCAAAGGCCCTACATCTTGACTCCCATCTCTTTGGCCAGTCCTACGCTGAGATCTTCGTGCCAGGATCATATTTGAAGATATATTGACAGGAATCTCGTATTCAACGGATCGTACTCGAGGGCTGTAGCTTGAGGTGAGACTTACAGTCATGTCTGACACAGGCTGTCCTACCTGAGACGATTAAGTTGACCGGTGTGGTCTAGAACCCTCCAAACCACAGCCAGCCCTAACCATGATGAGGTAGGCTTGTCCTTCGAACACGGTCACATGTATACGTCAAACCGAAAAAATGATTCATGTGTCCGCCAACGAAAGGAGGGTGCTTCATTGTTCTTCGCATGGAGGTGGGTTGCACAGCTCTTCAGCTCTGTTCCCAGCAAAATACAGATCGACTGAGACGGACGGACCTTCTTGATGATCATAAATATCTGCAAACTCCACGTTCTCACTCAGAGCATATATCAGTTCAACTCTTTGAACTACTACACATCAAAAGCTATCTGGATCTTTGCATACTAAAAAATGTCCTTCGCTTACCCCGAAGGCGAATGCTTCTTCAAGCGGTCCGGGATCCGCTCCTCCACCTATGACCCAGACAAGCCAGAGCATTTCTACGGCCACCTCCTGGTGGAATATATTTGGAACCGCGCTGCATTCAGCGATGAGGCGGCGTACTACACGAGGGACGTCCATTACCATCCACGCTCCGCCTACCGGGTAGTCAAGGGCGACTGGTGGGACACCAAATATGGAAACTGGACGAATATCCACGTCTTGTACGGGAAGAAGCCCTACAGTGACGCAGAAAGGTATCGGACAGTGGGACACAACCTCTGCGTGAACGGGAATCGGTTCCGCGACCAGGCCAAAGGGGGTGCGTTTGAGTCCTGGTTTATGATCCTGCCGATGCCCCTGTTAGCCAAGGGGGAGGAGTGGTTTCTTGTTGATGTATGCCTTAACACCTTTCTTGCCCTGACGGAAGGAGAGGGAGGGGGAAACTGGAATCTTTCGTCTGAGGCTATGGAATCTCTCACTGAACATTGATCTTCATTTTCCCTAGCGCACGGCGTGCATCCGGGGGATCTACATTCCCATCGCGCAACAGGCCTCGGAGGACTACCCAGACGTGTGCACGTTCCTGCAGGTGAACTTCGCCATCCCGCGGCAGATCACGGTCACGGTCCACCCGGCCGTCGATAGCGACGATAAGCTCGACTGGGTGGGCGCGCAAACCACGGGGACCATCAACCTCGATGCCACGCTGGGGCTGGCCCCGGACGCTCAATGGACGATGGCGGTCAACGTCCGCCAGCTCGTCAACCTCCTCTCGCTACCGCGTGCCTTACGCGGCCACAACTGCTTCTCCGCCCGCATCATCCGCATGGTGGACCGCAAGCTGACCCCAACAAAAGCCAGACCGACGCCCTTCGTCAGCGACGGCACCGATCTTAGCTGGACGACGGTGGCGAGCGCCAACTACGGGCTGTCGATCCAGTGGAAACCTCCGCAGCCGACGACTTGGCTGGCGGACTTCATCAAGAACAGCCTCACGGTGGCGGCGGGATTCCTGCCCCTCGTCGGCCCGGTAGCGGCGGTCTGCTTCCCGCTCGCGTGGACCGCGATCGTCGATCCCCGGGCCTTCGATGGGATCCTCAAGGAGCTCATCCCCGTCGCGGACTTGGCGATGAAAGTGGCGGGTAATATGCGGCGAAGTGCCGAGGAGCAAGTGTACTATCTGCCGCAGGAGTGGTCCGCCACCGTCCACAACTTCAAGCTGCTGGCGGCGGAGAAACAGAGCGCGGCGGAGCAGGAACAGGCCAAGGCCACCCAACCGCCGGCACCCGCCAAGGTCTCCGCGCCGGAGATGATCAAGAAGTTCGAGGCCATTCGCAAATTCAAGTACTGGAATCTGATGAAGCCCCTACCTGCCGCGGTCACCGCCACCGAACCGACGGTCAGACTCGATGCAGCGGGGGAGCCAGTTGAGGCGCCGCCGAAACCCGCATCCGCCCCGGAAACCGCTCTTCCGGCTGTTCCTGCGCCGCTCCCCCTCGACAAGCTGAAGCCCAGCTCCTCATTCCAGTTGGCGGGCCAGGTGCTTCAACGATCCGCGGCTCCCGCGGCTACGGGTCATAATGATGGCGCTTCGGGGGGGATCTTGGATGAGGTACGCCCCGAGGAGAATCAGGCCAGAGGAGCCACCAACGATGAGAGCTGGCTGGATGCGTATCTCTACGAGGAGCTCTTTGGAGATGACGAATGAGTGAATATGAACGCACTAGTCTGGCCTTCCAGAGCGGGTTGACTTTCCCCTGGCAAAAGTGTCTCATGTTAATCGCCTTCTGTATTGCGTTCGTCTGTATGCATCTGTGTCTATCGTAAGCGACCCAAATAGACACCAAACTATTTACCCGTCAAGGATTTCAAACAATTCATAACCTCTTATAATTCGAGTGAGGGCAATTCGAGTCAGCCCATGAACTCACAGAACTAAGCATCAACCTCTCACTGGGCTGTGAAGCTGTGCTTCATTGTCAACATGGATTGTAGTAGGCAAAAGTAATCTGGTTTGGGGGTAGGATATAAGGTACTACTACTACTTTAGCTTAATATAATATTTGCAGACAAGCAAGGGAAGGTTGCAACTGCCACCCGCGGCCAAGTGAAACAACCTAGTAACCTTGCACTGAGAGAATGGACTGGTTTCGTTCCCATGTCTTCACCATCGTCTTCTCCCTCTTCCGCGCCTCTCCCCCCCTCAAATTCTCTTTTCCCTGGTCCATCACCACTTCTTTCTCCCCCGCTATGCTCATTGAAGTCATCCTTTCACCACCACCTGGTACAGTACCTGGAAACCCAAGTTACCACCACCTACCACCCACCGAACAACCGCACCTCAACCGGCAACACCATCAGATAAGATCCAGACCACCCCCACGGAACCACGCGACAGTGAATGTCTCACCGCATCCCAGCCAACACGTCCGCAGCGGAGCTCAGCCCTAAAGGTGGATTTTCGCGATCAGTTGACATCTCGCCAGACCAGACACTGCGATTGGCCCCCGTCGCGTTACACCCCTGTCAACACATCCCAGACACCTTGTAGCAGTGGAACAGCCCTATAAGTGGATTTTCGCGATTGGTTGACATCTCGACGGAGGGGGCGCTGTGATTGGGTGGAGGGAGGCCCGACGCGTCCAGAGTAACACGCGCCTGTGTTTCAGCCTTAGGAGTGGATTTTCGTGATGCTTTCACATCTCGATGGGCCTTTGCGGTGCGTGGCTGGGGTGATTCCCTGGTGGTGTGGTTATCGTACGGTGAATGTGTTTGCGCTGGCTCATCCCAGTTGGGAGGATGATTTCGGACGGGTCGAGGATGACAACCATAGGGCGCCTGACTCGGTTCGCTCAGATGACAGAGCTGGGTGCGGAGGCACCAGCGGTGTTGACGTAGTCTTGACCGACTGCAGTAACTCATGTAGGTTGTTGCTGTATTCTCAGTTGACTCTGTCATCATGTTCCAGGACAGGCATCAAGTTAATCTACCCACCCGGCACAGCGAACCATGGGAAGCTTTTCACGGCACTGGGGATGCTTCAGATATGCAACAAGATAGGATCTGCTTATTCGATCGGAACAGAGACTGCGGCTTCTCTCCAGCATAAGCTAACCTACATATAGTTCGATATAGGCTGTGGATCCACTGACTCGGGGCTGTGTCTTCCGTAGGCTGTGGCGCAATAAACCGACGGGCCGAAAGCTAAGACCATTAGCCCCATGAGGTGGTCCCCGCTTACTATACCTGCGTACTAGTTACTGCCTATAAGTTGCCCGCGATAGCCCAGACTCCCTAACATTAGTCTGTCATCTCTTCTGCCCTCCTTCAATATTCCCCGTCTACCCAATCACCATCTCCTTCCTCACCATGTCGCACTACCGATTCATCTCCCTAGCTACCAAGCCCTCCGCTCAGCTCAGCTACAGTTTCCACCCCGCCGGGGGCGCCGCCAAGCAGCCCGCTCTAGTCGTCTTCGTCAACGGCCTCGGACTCCCGCAGACCTCCTGGGAGGGCGTCATCGCGCGCCTGCAGACCCAGCCTCCCGCCGCCGGCCTGCCAGCGATGCTAACCTACGACCGGTACGGCCAGGGCCAAACCACCGACCGAGACCCCGCCGACAGCACCGCCGAGGACCCCACGCACGGCCACGACACATTGACCGTGGTCCGGGACTTGCACCAGCTACTCACCCAAGTGGCCGCGGAGAAGATGGGCGTCGCCAACCTCAGCGAACTACCGCTCATCCTAGTGTCCAACTCAATCGGCGGCGCATTGGCCCGCCTCTATGCCCAGGAAAACCCCGGCACCGTCGCCGGACTCCTGTTCCTGGACAGCGTGCTCGCCAACTCCGACTTCATCTCCATCTACCCGGACCCGGAGGCGGCCGGGTTCGATCCGCGCAGCTTGCCAGAAGGGGTAGACGCGGAGGCGATCCGCGCCGCAAGAGCCTACATGCAACGCGTCTTCCACCCCAGCAACGGCAGCCGCGAGGGTCTGAGCCGACGCAACCTGGCGCAGCTCTTGCCGGCCAGCGACGGGCCCAGGTTGCAGGGCCCGGACGGCCGCGGGCCCTGGGTGACGGTGGTGGGCCATGAGTTCGAGACGTTTCAGGTGGAATTCGAGAAGATGGGCGGCGCGCCTCCGCGGCTCACGCAGCTCTACCTGAATCCCTACTGGCATCGGTTCAATGAGGGGCTGGCGAGGCTGACCGACGCGGAGCGGAGCAAGGGCCCGCTTCAGGCGCCGGGGGCCGGGCACTTTGTCCAGAAGGATAATCCGGCCTTTGTTGCGGATGAACTGCGTGAGATGCTTGACAAAGCTGTGTGAGAGCGGAGAGTGCAGCTGCACGGTCTGGTGAGGTTTGGTGGGTCTGTATCTTCCTCGGTACAAATTCAGCCTGCCGCTGGCGGGGGCACTCCGCACGCCAGGACCCGACTTAGGGCTCGGCGGTTATCGGATAGCTCGGGTGGTTTGGATGGCATCTCTCGGCTACTGAATCTCCATTATGCCGTCAGAATCATGGTCCTGCTATTGTTTTACAAGTTCATCTTCTACGGATCAATTGTAAGAGCAACGCGGTAAAAACAGATACCTATGCAAACGTTGAGGCAGCTACAAGCCTGCTGCCCGATTTCGAGCTCACCGACAACCCAGTCTTTGGTGGCGGTTAAATATACTTACCTCTTCAAACGCCCTCATAGTGCCAATAATACAGATTAGTAGCCATAACCTCCAACACGAATCCATGCCATTGTTGTCTGGCTATCAACTCTGGCGATAGGGAAGATGTTGTACCGCCCACAAACAAGCCGGTTTGGCAACATCCCCTCGGTTGAGTCCTTACCCCGGAGCGACTTAATCTCAAAGTTAGCGAGCGAGCGCTATACACGTCAAATCCTGAACGCCAAACTGTCTTGAATCTTAGCGTTTTCGCAGGCTGTGCTTTAAATCCAGTGATCCTTGTTTTGGAGAGTAGACTAGCGAAGTAGGCATAACGATTACACTTGTATCACAAGGTTAGGGGCCATTGGGCGACTTCGTTCAACCAACTGTATTTTGGTTTCAAGATTGTATAGCTTGCGATGTATGTTCTCTAGAGAACAGGAGATCAAGGAGTTAGAGGCATTTTGGTTATAGGCCCCGTAATTCTACTATTTGACAATAAACTTAACAAAATTTGACTGCTCGTGGTACTCCTTCGGATTTGGTTGTGAGATTCTGGTCAACAGAACCCTACTGTTCAATTCCTCAACTGTACTATGTATAGTCTGTAAGACCGACGTGGTTAGTACAGTTGACGAGCAACATAAAGCTTGACAGTGGCGACCACTCTCTGGTTCATAAGGGAGAAATCTAAATCTGGTCGTTTAGGAACTAGCGCAGGCCCAATCCCTCGGATTCACTCCAAGAAAAACAACATACTGTCAAGGATAAAAAAAAAGAGCCAACCCTTCTCAGTTGTGGCCTAGGAGATGAGCGATTGCGGTTGTGTGTTTTGAGCGATAGACGAAGAATAGCATTGTGGATGAAGCAAGGGGGGAGACCCAACTCTCGGGTACCAGACCGAACCAAATGGTCAACGTCTATATTCCGCCAAGTGAATGGTTATTTCTTACACTTACACATACCAGATGCACTGACAGATGCCCGGTTGCTGGGGTACCCTGACCCTCCACATTCTTGACACCTGGTCTTCCGGGCAACAACCGCAAAGCCACCCGAGGGGTGGACGGTTATATCTCGAGATCCACACATTCCTTAATCTTTTCAAGGGGAAGACACCCCAAAATTAGATCTGATCTTGTTGAGAGGATAAAGGATGTATCATTCTCGAATTCCACACCGGTAGCCTCAAAGGCTTGAGTTCAATGTAAGCATCGCGAGAGTTCTGGAAAGGAAAGGTTTAAATGCCTCAGTATCCCCCGGCTTGAACATGTACAACCAAGAACTACGCCTCGCGACTTTTCTATCACCAAGACTATAATCAACCTCAACACTTCGCCATTACCCAATCGAAGATCTTTGCACACTCCATAAATCAACCATCAACATGCGCACCTCATTTGTAACTCTCCTGCTCGCATGCAGCAGCTACACTGCGCTCGCGTTGCCCTCGCACGGTAGCCTCGCTAAGCGATCGTGCGATGCCAACGTCTGTATTGTCCAGGCAAGTCGCCCTCTGCCTTCCCAAATCCTTCTAACCCCTCCGGCATGGCATATGCTAACCACCAGAGATGACAGTGTATTGCCCAGGGCTTCCAATCCGGCATGTGCGCCAGCGAGAACACCCCCTCCCTGCAACTCCTGGGCCTCGAGCTCCTCGGCCAGGCCTTGCCGTAAGCCAGCCCTCTCCCTTGAACCCCAAGACAACACCCTGGATAGAACTAACAAAGTCAACAGTGGCTGCATGTGCATCCCCACGAACAGCGGCTCCAGCGGCGCCACCAACGCCGCCAACGCCCCCGCCGCCAATGCGCCGGCTGCCACGACGACCACCACTGCTACTGTAACTACCACCTCAACTGCCGTCCTGACTTCCACTTCCACCGCGACGACCACCGTCACCACCACTGCCACAGCCACTAACACCCAAGCCGCGAATCAAGCAGCTCCAGCAGTAAACCCCCCGGCCCCGAGCACCGTCACCAGCACCGCCACCGTCACCAGCACCGCCACCGTGACCACGACTGCCACCGAGACGGAGACGGAGACGGAGACAGAAACAGAAACAGAAACGCAAACGCGCACACAATTCAACACTCGCACCATCACCCACTCTGCCCCTACCGCCACAACAACTAGTACTACCTCCAATGCAAATGCAGCGGCTGCTCCTGCGGCCGCGGCCGCCGTTCAGACCGTGTACACGGCCACCACGACGAACCACATCCCGTTCACGACGACAAAGACGGTGGTGGTCAAGACGACGACGACTGTTTGCCCGACCTCTTCTTAGATTCTGTTTCTTGATGGTGTGTGAAAGTGGATGTCGGATGTCGGGTCCCTTCGATATGGATTCTTTTAATTATTTCCCCCCTTCCCGGTGGGCTACGCTCCGAAAAGAAGGGCGCTTTTCTCTTCATTGTATATAATTGCCACTTTCACTTCCCTAAGGATATGACTTTTAATGGGAATATCTCCTTCCCGCGCTTGATCCACCTTTGCTCTCTTTCCATATGTGCTGGTCAAGAAACCTTCTTTATGCAAACACTCTCAACATAATTCACCCATGGACCTATGTTTGTTTGTCACAACGTTACTCAGCCCTCGTCGATGCTCGCATCTGTGAAGCCATAAACAGGTACACCAGCGCGTACGAGCTAATCACAAGAATCACGAGGAATCCTGTCCCGGTGTCAGAGAAGCTTGCAGAACGACCCGCAGTGTACAGGTTGCACCGTTCGATGAAGAGCGGTTGGAGGCAATTGATCACCCCGGGTACGATGAGAATCCCACACGGAACACTGTAGAGAGTCTCGATTGCAGATCGCGGACGGTATCGCCGATATTCCAGTACGCGAAGCCGTTGGAGATCCGAGTCCGACATGAATGCGCATCCCATTGTGGATGTACCCGACGTCGCGGAACTGGGGCAAGATTCATCCGCCGCCGCAGTAATAACCTCGATTGGATACAGAAGCGGTATCACATTATCCAAACCCTCACTCTCTAATGGTCCTTTGGAATGCGCCGCGTGGACTATTGACGCGAGCTCGCGCGTGATTTCAGCATATTCGGGGGAGTGGTATCACCAAAATAGGCAGCGTGTCTGCCCCTTTTTCAGCAGACGCAGCCAGTAGATGGCTGATGAATGGTTACTAGTGCCGCTTGTCCAGCATCCGCGAGCTTTCTCAGTAACCGTACTGCGTTGTACGATGCTTGGCCATGTGGACCGGAGGTTGGCTTATCGAAGGAGATGGGAATCTTCGGTTTCGGTACGAGCTCGACCCCAATCGTGACGTGCTTTCGTTGTGCCCACGTTGAGGCTATGCCCGGTGCCAAGACTGTCAAATCGATGTGTCGGCAATAGGTTGCGCAGCTTAGGTGGGGCCCACAGTCTCACGCTACGCTGAATACTCTGCTGCAAACGGCATGGGTGGTTTAATATACTGTAGGGTGGCCATGCAGAAGAGCTCGTATTACGGGTTGGCCCAAAGGACCAGAGCCCTTTAGCCTAGCGAAGTTGCTCGAACTGCTCATGGAGGGAACCGCATTCGGTCACAGCGTGTTCTATTCACGTTGTGAACTAGCGGGGGATTGCGATGCGATAGACACCCCTACAGTGGCGTGAGACGGCCAGCTCTGGAACATCCCGTATGGAACAGTCTATCTTCCTCCCAACATACACATTAATTGTCGGTCCAGTCCAATGATGCAATAATTCAGGCTATGGCTCCATACTGAATTCAGACTGAGGGCTTTGTCAATGCGCTAATTTTATCTACAGCAGTATTGACGCCTCGACATCGCTTGGGAATAGATCTGTTGAGTCGCAAGATAGGAGAATACGTATGCCAGTAACTACACAGGGCCCGGTTATGATATGCTACTTGACATTCCACCCGGAGCGACCAGTCTAAGCATTTCCATGGTTGTGCCATCGTAAGCCTCGTGTCAACTATTAAGGTTATCTTGGTTCATCGCAGCGCCTGACCCATGGTAACGGGGACGTAGCCCTAGCCGTCCAGACTCCCAAGCCCGCAAGATTCGTTCGTCTTCAGCAGCCCCACATCGGTCGATCGTTTGTTCTCGACTGTTGCACCATTTCTTGGCCCGTTCTTCATTTTTCGAGGGGGCCAGATTCACCACCCAAAACCCAGAAAAGAAAGCCTATCCCACATGCGTAAAGAAACCTTGAACATGGCGGGCTCGGGTTGGCTTAGGGCGGGGCGCGGGAGGATCTACGGGTGGTTGCGATTCCGGCGCCTTGCACAGTGACAGCCTGTCAGGCCGCTACGGAGCCTGTCAAAACCAATGACTTGCAGCTTAGCCCGGAAGCTAGGACTCCCAAAGCATCTTATACAGCTTTCTTTGTTTCGTAACCTTAATCCTCACTCTTGTGATGCAATATGGTCCCGACACCTACACTAATGGTTTTCGTATCCGTGTAATCAAGAATGGTTCATGGAGACTTTACAGGTGGCTTGCAACATTGTAGAAGAGGCCTTTTTCTAGACCAAAGCCCAAGGGTTATCGGTATTGGACATCGTGTCGTATGTCGTATCATGCATATCGTATTGTTTATTCTGTCGTATATCGTGTCGTATGCCAAGAAAGTTCTCGAGGATGTGAGACCTCTGCTCTTAGATCCTTCTTTGATTCTAAACCCGTTGGATGGATATTTTTGTCCCGAGCGACAGATTTGACCCCACTCCTTGTCAATATAAAAGCGGTGCAGATAGTCCTCCTGCAACTTATGTCGATACAGTCTGTAACATCAACAAGCAAGAATAGCACTGAATTACTTTCGATATGAAATCCGCACTCTATTTCCTCATCCTGCTGCAGCAGCTTGCTATGCAGTTAGCAGTGGCCAACCCAGCTGCACACGCAGAGCCTGACTCTCCCTCTCTGGAAGAGAGACAGGTGACCTCTCTGCTTGCAACCAGCTTGCCTGGACCGACTACCGCCGCTGGGACGACGGCCCCTGCCTCCACCCGTACGTCCACCTCGCCTGGCACGACTCGCACCGCCAGTGTGGCTACCTCTTTCCGTACTTCCAGCTCGCCTGGTACGACTAGAACTTCTTCTGGGGCCTCCAGCACATCTGGAAAGGCATCCACTACATCTGGCACGGCGTCCACTACATCTGGCACGGCGGCCACTACATCTGGCACGGCGTCCACTACATCTGGATCTGGCAAAACCAGCATTTCTTCTGGGACCTCCAACAAACCTTCCCCAACTAGCAAGCCTACCGCTATCCCTGCAGTCTCCCCTGGCCCAGCGACCACTCTTGTTGTGAATGTTATCGTCATCGCCAACTCTGGCGGCAGTGGAAAGGATGCAGCCGCCGCAGCTGCGAGAGCCGCAGCCTCTGGAGGACGGAATGCCAAAGCTGCTGCCGTTGCCGCCGCTGCCGCTGCCGCTGGTGGAGGTAGTGCACAGGATGTCTCTGTGGTTGCCGCCGGCGCCGCTGCCGCCGCCTCTGGTGGTAACGGAGGGGCCGTCGCTGATGCTATTGCTGCTGCCGACGACGCCACTGGCGGAGGGAGTGATGCTGCTGCCGCTGCTGCCGCTGTTGCCTCCGCTGGTGCGAGTGGATGGAACGTTGCCGCCGTTGCTGCCGGGGCCGCCGCGGCGGCCTCAGGTGCTAGCGGAGCGGACACCGCCTCCGCCATTACTTCTGCCGCCGTCACTTCCTGCGGAGGGGGTGTCGCCGCCGCCGCCGGCGCAGCCGCCGCTTCCGCTGGAGGCAATGGAGCGGACGTCGCTGTCGTTGCCGCCGCCGCCGCCGCCGCCTCCGGTGGGGGAGACGGCAAAGAAGTCGCCGACGCTTGCGCTGCGGTCTCCTCCGCCGCGGGTGGAGGAAGTGCTGCCGCCGCCGCTGCTGCCGCCGCCGCCTCCGATGGGGCTAATGGAGCCAAGACCGCCGCCGCTGCCGCTGCCGCCGTCGCTTCCGCCTCGGGTGCCAATGGAGGTATCACCGCCGCTGTCTCCGTCGCTGTCGCTGCTGCTGGTGGTGGTGATGGTGGAAGAGACAGTGGCACAAGTGGCACTAACGCCACTGGATCCGGCAGCACTGGGCCTGGCAGCACTAGTACTGTACCTGGCACTGGATCCGTTACCACCGGTACTGTAACCGGCACTGGATCCGTTACCACCGGTACTGTAACCGGCACTAGATCCGTTACCCCCGGTACTGTCACCGGCACTGGATCCGGTCCCACCGGTACTGCAACCGGCACTGGATCTGGTACCACCGGTACTGGACGTTTTGCCAAACGATTCTGGGATTACACAGATTCGCGTCGTGCCCGCGACTTCGTTGCCAGGGCTTAAACATGGCATATCCTTCTCGTCTTCCTGCAAAACATCAGTAAGTCCTTGACAATACATAGTGTGTTCCGATACGAGTTTCGTCAGTATAGTCTTGATTAATGAGTTCAGATCTGCCGGTCCGGTTCTTTCTCATCCTCTCTGAGTGTTGTTCGCTGATAAAACCTCAGATTATTCGCGGATAGAAAGCGGAACAATCGCGACAAAGACGGTAAATTGATAGCAGTGGTGAGAAACAACAATTGTAGCACTTCAAACTGACTAGCACCTGCAACAGCTCCAAATTGGTCTTAACTCCAATGAGCGTCCGGCTGTTTATGATTATTCATCATTCGAATGCTTCTTGAATATGGTTTCGGGCGTGTGGAGTATAAAATCTGCTTAAGTGTTTTGAAAACATAGTCAATTAGGTTTCCTTGAGTGAATTAACATAGCCATGGAATCGAACTAGCCCAGTTCAGGGGTTCTGTGATCAGCCCTAGTCTTACAATGCATCATTTCATTTTGCCATATCCAGATCCCCAGTTATTTTTCCACTTCCCACTATCGATCTGCACTGTGTAACTTTGAGTTCTGCTATTACTGTTGGCTCCTGTTGCTGTTGCCGCTCTCTAACCTACAGTAAAGAGTATTGGCTTGATCCAGGATCAACTATCTCGTAGGTAGTACGTGGTCATACTCGGCCTCTTCAACACGTGACCTGATCTGGCTACCCCTTCACGTTGAGTCCCACCGCTTTTTGTAGCCCTCTAAGCCACATCTTTTTTACATACCAGAGGATAGATCAATATAGCCTGTCTGCGTAGCAGATCTTCCCGTGGTATCCGCTGATGGCGACCTTTCTGGTTGGAAAGACTGGTACACCGGTCGTTCAACACCTTACCCTAAAGACTGCCTTCAGACATGGTCTAGTGAGATGTGTGCATCGGATGGGGCCACAATACATCGATCTCTAACACAGACATCCGGCATGTAAAAGGAGCATCTTCGAAGTAAAAAAAAGCAGCACACTTAACGGTCTTCCCAGCCTGCTTACTCCAAGTAATCACTCAAGTGTTGGTACGGTCGATTGTTGGCCCTGATGTCTCAATACCCAACATAATCGCCATCTTCGCAGACCTGTCTATTAAACCCGGGGGTCTAGACCACGTTCGACATCCGGGGACACTGGCGAAGAAGATACGAGGGAGCCGCATGCTCTAGAAGCTTTTTTTCATTTCTCATTTTTTTTTTTTTTTTTTTTTTAGAATGTTGGAGATGACCCAACAATAAGGTTGCGGCTACGGGGCGTGAACAAAGAAATCTCATGCAACAAACCCAATCGACGACCCGTCCAGATCGCACGTATAAGGCTTAACTATCAAGACCATCTGAGGCCAAGCTATAAATTGCAGATCATTCTGATTATGACTCGTACTGCAAGCCATAGAACGTGCTTCTTGCGGTCTCCTCCTCAAGGGGTGGTGCGAAGGACGATTACGAAACCTTTGATCGTGGGATGATAGACGTTGGTATCGATTAGGAAGACCGCAAATCGAGTACGATCTTGTGGGCGAACAGCACCAACTAGCCCGCCGCCAGGAGATTCAATCTCGGTGATAGCACTGCACTCGGCAGAAACAGAAGGAGAAGGGCAGATTTCACCACGTGAGGAGGTCTCGGCGCTCCGGGCTTAGGCATCGGCACGACGAGCTACCAGCGGCCACATGGGAGCGATGGATGCCCCCCTCCACCTGGGATGATGGATTGATGTGGGATCTGTTCAAGTTTCAGCCGTCCATATTCCTCCTCCTTGACGCGGATTTTGTGGTGGTTGGCCCAATCGAACCCAACCCACACCTTTTCGATCAGGGATTAATCCCAAAATAATCGTTTGACAAAATCCATGCCACTTTTAGTCACCTTAACTGACTTACAGGGTGGGCAGAGCATTTAAGCAGTCCAGCAACATGGTTGTCACCAGATACAAACCCAGGAACGGAAGAAATATGCAAAGGGAAGAAAGACATGGTATTAGTATTATCAATCCATTATCAACCCCATCATCCATGACCATACGCCGGCACATCAACTCTGAACATGGGGGAATCATCATGCATGAATATATAAGCTTCAGAATAGCCCAACTCAACCTACTCATCAGCACCGTAAACGAGTTGAAGCCAAAAAATAAGGCCTCACTCATCGTCATCATCCTCGATAAGACCAAGTTTATCTAAGGTATCCACGAAGTTTTGAGCCGCAGTCCGCAACGCAAGCAGGGGAGATTGCTCGAGTCGAGCAGCCACTGCGGGTGCTATTTCGACTTCCTGGGGTTGGTGCCCGCCTCGGCGGGTGAAATAGTATTTGCCCTGATGACAGGACCAGTGCTCGTAAATGTAGGATTGTAGTTCGCGGGCTGCATTGTGGCGGAGCTCGGGGAAGAACGCTGGGGCTGTAGGGGCCACTGGGTGGGAAGTGAAGGCTGCGGCGTACTGCGTCAAGTTACCGCCACCGGGGGAGACGGCTGCTGGAAGGTGGTTGTGACCGTCATTTTCTCCGGGGTTAAGGGAGAGGGCGATAAGAGCAAGTTGGCGGAAAGCCCGCAGCTGGAGGAGGATGTTGTCGCTGGCGGCTCGGTGGTCTATGGTGCCGCGGTCGATGTAGTCCACAATCGGCAAGGCGGACGTGATCATTTCCAAGAACGAAGCAGTGGTCACCGCTGCGGCGGGGTCGGTAAGCAGGTTGACGTTCCGGAACAAAGGAAGTTGCAATGCACGATACGATGGTCCGAAGACAGAGGCGACCATATTCAATACCGACCCCACACACGCAGAGTCTGTGGAGTCGAAGGTGAAGAGAAGCTCCTTGAAGACGAGGCGGATGGTATGCACAATCGGCCGGCTCACTATCCAAGCCGCCCGGCTGCTGAAGGCTGTCTCGAGGTAGGCAGGGAGAACAGCCTGCAGCATCGTCGACCTCAACGTGGGCTTGTCCGGGCTGCCGCTCTCATAGGTCTCGCTCATCGAGGAATGCAACTGGTTGACAAGGTAATCCTGTTGACCATCTATGGCCGCCCTCTCCGAGACGCTCTGGACGAGCACCACTAGCGTTTTCGCCCCACTCTCGACTGAGACCTTGGGCTCATAACTCTTCAATCTGGCGACGATGTAGGTTGGGTCCGTGGACGGCAGCGGGAAAGAAGCTGGATCGATGAAAAACGGATCAATAGGGCAGATTTGTCTGCTGTGTTGCTGCAGGAACCCTACAACTCGATGGACGAGATCGACATAGGCACCCTGAACGCTCTGGGTGCCATTTCCTAGCTCCTGATAATTTGCCTTCATCGATGACATCATTCTCTGGATTGCCTCGGCGTATTCTTGCTTTGTGCTTGAATATTCGCGTGCGCCTGCGTCTTCAAGGTCTTGGAGGTGCGAGCGCATGTTGGACAAGAGACTAGATATCAGCGACAACCGGCGCTGGCTGATGTCCTCCAAGCTGAGAGAATATCGTCCCTGCTTGCGGTTCAGGGCAAAAGGCAAATTCTGCAATACAGGATCCGCATCCTCTTGATTCAGTAACGCCTGTGTTAAGCGGTGTTGGTATTTCAGTAAGGCGACCCTTTCGACCAAGCTGGCCATCCACATGCCAAGGATCTGGACTTTACAGTCGACGATGCATCGAGCGTCTTTTGCGATGCAGCTTGCCAAGAAAAAGGGCGTGAACTTCCTTGTCTGCATAGTTGATCGAAGCGCTGCCCACGAATCGCCGTTGTAGGGAGTTAAGTAGCTGTGCCAATGTCGCAGTCCGTGCTGAACAAGTGTTCGTGCGATGGAGGTCCAGCATTCGACAGCACTGAGAAGGATTGCGTCCTCAGGACAATGGTCTTCACCAAAGCAGTTGGAGACAAGTCGGGACACAGCGGGGTGGAAGACCTGCTCCACATACTCGATCTCAGGTGCTGCTGTAGTAGTCATCTCCCCACATACAGCTTCAATGTCAGTCCAGTCCCCATACTCTTGGCTGTCGTCGTCCAGCGCAACGGGTGGACCTGCTGTTCCTGGGGCCTGCGCTTGAGAAGCGTTGCATTTCTCAAGATAGGCAAGTATTACCATTAGAGATTCAGTGACAATGATATTGACGCGAGAAAGCTGGGGGTTGAAAAGCCCTAATAGCGCTTTTACTGGCATTTTTGACACCAATTTTTGAGCATGCTCCAATGTCGGTGCCGCCTTGACGGCACCTTGTAGATTGCTCAGAGCCGTCTTCAGCAGCGATTCAATTTGTCGCTGATTCTGCGCTATTGTTTTTTCAACCAATTTATCGGAGAATTTGTTTGCAACTGTATTCTGGGCCTCAACCTCTTGCCGAGCCATTGCATGCTGTTTCAATAGCTCGGTCACGAAATAGCAGTGCCAGTCCGCAAATGCCTCAAGCCCCGAGGTTTCTTCGTCAGTTGACAGCTTAAAGCGAACCAATCGATCCCAGGAACGAAGACTGATATTGCATGTTTCCCTATGAGAGCTTGCAGGATGAACAAGATCCCGAATGGTTTCCAACCGGGGTCGGCATCCGTCGGGAACTGCGTAGTACAGCGTGCAAAGCAGGTCGTGATGGTTTCTCAAGGCATCCAAGTCGGTTTGTTGGATGGGCTTTTCCTTAGGGTACATCCGGCCATGGTTAGGCAACAGGCGCCAGGCAAAATTTCGCACTTTCTTTTTCTCGTAGGACTTCGCCAACGAGTTCAATCCACTTGCAATGATCTTCAACAAGATATGAAAGCATGGCTCGCCAGGCTGCACGTGCAACGAAGGATTGCGGTCAAGCTCATTGAGGAAAGATGGGGACTTGTAGTTCTCTTCTTGCCTCAAATTGTACAAAGTATTCTTGGCGAAAAAATCGTATAAAGTGTCCAAGACTGGCTTGCAATCCCGCCAACCCCAACCGTTGATGAGGTGGAAGCACCTATGAAAAAGGGCCCGGCAGTAAATTATATATGAGACAGGTTGCCCGACAGAAGTGGCTTCATAGCTTTCAAGCGCAGGCCGCAGCAGCATTTTGACCACGGGCCAATTGTCCTGCTGTTCACGGAACCGTGAGCCAATCTGGGCAATGCCACGAACATCAAATTCGTTCAGAGGCAAGGATGTGAACACGTTCCGCCATGTAGCTTCCAGCTGAGAGACATTTTTCGACTTGCTCAAGTCGCCCTCGTCAGCTAGTGTGTAGGCCTGGGCTAGCAGATCCTCGAAATATCCTTTCACACTATCATTGCTGCGGAGCACATGCCGGACAATCACATATGCTTGAAAGGAAGATCTGCCGCTGCGAATGCCTCTTTCGCGGGCCTCTGCAGACTCCAGATCTTGTAGGTGCTTGCGAATACTGGATTGCCCCAATTCGCTTGCGATAACAGCAATGGTCTGCTTCGACGACAGCTTCAATGAGATCATAACCTCGTCAGCAACACTGCGTTCGACAAGTTCATGTCCTGCGATCTGAAACAGCAAGTTCACGAATACAGCGTTATAAGAAGAGATTGTCAGAAGGTGATCCATCTCCGGCTCAGTTGTCGGGACCAACGTCGCCAAGGTGTCATTGACCTTGCAAACAAGGCTATGCGCTCGCCTCACAAACCCCGTCCTATCGATGGGATCGATGAAGGACAGAGTGTCTGTGACGTATTTGATCAAGGAACGGTACACCATGCACCCTTGCTTGTCGACACTTCGAGTGAGAGACTGTACTGGGCCCTCGACCGATCCGTCCAATTCCTCAACAATTTTGTCGAAAGCAAGTCCGAGACCGGAGGAAACGGCATCATTCCAAGCACCCCAACGGTGACGTTCATCTTCAAAATGCAAAGTGAAAAATCCAGCGTCAGTGTCGAGGTTTCTGGTGAGAATATTCAGCGAGCGACAAAACTCTCCGCTTCCGATAAAGGTTGACTCATGAAAAAACGTTCCTGAAACCAATGGAGAAATGTTGAAGTCAATGGTATATGTTCGCTTCAACCCTTCAAGTGCCTCGACGGGGCACCCAGAGGGCTGCGGTTCCTCGGCTACCCAATGCGAGTCTGAGATTGTGATTGTCTCTTGAAGAGGCGGCTCCTGTTCTTGGACCGTATTGACTTCCAACCGCCTTGGTGGACGCTTCCTCCCCTGACGACTTTGCAACCGGGTCTGTACAATTGGGGGTCTGACGCTCGCTTTGTCAAGCATCTGGGCCGTGGCGGGCCCATTTGACTTCTCGGCCGAAACAGGTGTCGCACTGCGACTCGCGATGAACCTATCCATGACCACGTTTTCACGCCTTATTCGAGGAAGGTTTTTACCGCGGTAATCTCGGTTCAACTGCGATAGTGATCGTTGGAAAGACACCGAGGACACAGGTCGACCGGCTGGAATCGCCTCTTCGAGCAACGCAGGTCTAAAGCCATTTCTCGTAAAGGAGGTGACTGCGAAGTTCCTTCTGACAATCCATCTATTACTTGGTTGCTCTGTTTTACCGTTTTCACGAGATACATCATCACCGTTTGACCTTTGGGGCGGAATTGTTGAATCCGTATCAAGAGGGTTCTCCTCAACTCGGACACTATGTTCTCCAGAGTCTCTAGACGGATGTATTGACGATAGTGAAGATGCCATTGTCGTTACAGGCGGTCGACCTCCTTTCATGCCGACACGATCTTGTGTCTTCGCATGGCCTTCTCGCGAGGTCTGCTGCTTGAAAGGTTTGGTTTGCATATGAGACAGTCTGGTTTGTCGAAGATTACCCGATCGCCATTCACGCAACGAAGCATTCGCATCTTCAGTATCTGCGCGCGAATTAAACTTAAAGACTTTGCGAGACGGGCTTTTCCTTCCCTTATCCTGGCGAGTACGCGCCTTGCGTGCGGCAACCCTGAGAAAGTGTGGCTGTTCGCTTCGAGGTCGAGAAACAACATCTGGTGCATCCAAAACACCAATCTTAGGCAGAGCTGGCGCTCTTCGCTTCTCTTGTTTCTGTGTCCGGTAAACTCGATCCGTTAGCCTTGCTTGTCTCTTGATATGAGACCTTTTGGATACAAGACTAGAAGAAACACCATTTTTTTTGACGGTAGTGTCTTTCTTTCCCTGCTTTCGAGCTTTAAGACCCGATGTAGAACGAGGGACTGGGGGGAACATGTCATCGATCCGGTTGTCTTCTGGGATGTCGTCATCCATATCGTGATACAGTGATGTATGCTCGTACCGTTGTCGAGCCGCCGGCGGACGTGAAATGGATTCGTCGTCGGCGTCTTTGTCTTCTTGTCCGTCCTCGCTGTCAGAATCGGCAAGCTGTCGCAGTGCGTCTATCGAGCCCGGCAGTCTAGCATTGCCGCCATGTTTCAGCACTCGCCTAGCAACACCCTTCATCTCGTCCGTTCTCGCAGACATCCTTTCATTGTTCCGCTGCGCTGAGCCAAGCTGCACCTCCTTCTGCTTTTGCTGATCCAATCGCAGCCATGATGCTGGAAGCACTCCCTTAATACGTCGCTGATAACGCCGCCGCATTGCAGCTTCATCCTCATCAGACTTTTCGCCGTCAGTCTCCTCCCGTTCCTCTTCGCTAAGAGCCTGAGACCCTTCCCGGACCAGAGGACTGGCAGTGGCCTCGAAATGCCCATCATCCATACTGCCTTCAATCTCAGGTGCAGACCAGTCCATGACATCTCGATCAGTGGTCGCAGCTCGTGGCCCAGTACTGGGAGTATTCAACGCAGGCGTGAAACCTCTAGGGAATCGGAAAGTGGTGGAAGCTTCAACATCAGATGGGCCATCATCCTCCGAGCGGGGTGGGCTCGGGATTTCGAAGATAGGCTTATTAGCCTGGCTAGCGGGGGATGAGCCGTTATCGATGACTACCTGTAACCGGGCTTGGGTCTGAGTCCGAGGAGTTCGTTGGGGATTTGCAGTTTTGGACACCTTTCGCCTCTTTACGGTAGGACCCGGGAGCCGGTTAGTAGACTGAGCTCGTGGCGCCTGATGGTGTTGACGCTCCGGAGATGATTCAATTGGCCTTTTCTCTACAGGAAGTCGAGTCTCGAGTGGAGATGACGGCAGATATTCAAATTCAGCTCCCAGACTATCGGACATTGGCTCTGGTTGGTCGACGTAGTCCTGGTTCTGACTTTCTTGAGCACCCGGACGATTGATCTCCTGCTGGGCCACGCGCACTGGTTTGACTCCTCGCGCTCGCATAAGGTTGCGATATTTCACATCTTCCAGCATGTACGGATGCAATTGAATAGCCTTGCGCTCTCGCAGAGATCTCCGCGCTGGTTGGGAAAGCTCACGAAGTAGCTCTTCAGGAATGTCCAGCGGCGGGAGCTCCGGTGCCGATTGTAGTTCTATTAAGTCTTGCTCGGTCGTACTGTGTTCCAGGAGCGTCTGCATTGTCGGCCATTGCTCCTCTGTGTCCTTTTCTGTCGAGACTTGCTCTGTGAATTCCTTCTCCATGACATCCTGCTCCGTAGAGTTTTGTTCCGGCGAGTCCTTCCCTGGCATATCCAACTCCATCAGATCCTCCCGCTCCGTCTGGCCATTCGAAGCTCCCTCTTCATACTGCGTCTGATCATTGTCCGCGGAGTTGTCCTCTTGATCCTCCTCATCGTCAAAGTCCAGGCGCAGAGAATCGAGCGACGACAAAGGCGACGAGGGCGTGGAAGAGTCATAATTCTCTTCCGGTGGCTGGGGCTGACTAACGCTCTTGACACGAGTATAGACCCGGGCCGGCTTTCGAGGTCGCATATACTCAAACTGTAATTCGTCCTCAGAGCTAGAATCATCCCAGGTATCTGCCTTCTTTTGTGCCCTTGGGGTCGATGAGGCGCTGCGTGGAGCATCTCCCAAGACTTTGTCCAACTCAGCCAACTTCCCACTCGCTCGAGGGGTGGTCTCCTCTGCCGGCTGTTCCGTTGGTGCCTCTTCGTATGCGTGGTCGGCCGTTGCCGTCGGTTCGTACATGGGGGGATTATGCGTAGGACCCTCTTCCACGCTCGAGTCAAGTGTCGAAGAACGAATTAGATCGCTACCATTCACATCCTGCGAGAGATCGGTGCCTCTTCCCTCCGCTCCAGTGACCCGTGTATTGGTTGCGACATCTTTGACCACCGCCGCAGCAGCCGCCGAGCCTTCGATCGCCCGCTCGTCATCCTTGCGGGAAGAATTGAGCGTCTCCTGGCTGTCGAACCCGTCCTCCGAGTCTGAGTCCGGTACAAAGCCTCGCTCCCGCCATGATTCCATTAGTATTCCTGGCACGGATGGCCCATCTCCCTAACTCTCCATCCCGTGGCGACAAGTCTGTGGTGGTGGTGGTTGGGTCGGAAGGAGGTGGGCGCGTGTTAACGCGGACAAGAAGGCGCAGACGGCAACAGCGGGGTTTTCGCGGCAGGATGATTTTGCAACTGGGTAATTTGTAAGGGTAAGGGAGATTGCGTATGGAGTGATGATGCAAGCCCTTTTCACGAGCTTCTAGACCGTGTGTTATGAATGGATGGTGGGTTTGTGCTCTGAGGGACGCAGCTACCGTAGGCTTTGACGCGTCAAAGAAATTGTGGGGGGGCGGAAGACGCGCCTCAATTAGGCGATGCGGCCTTAATTTCGGGGCAGGCGTAGGCAGGCGCTTACCCGCTTACCCGCTCTCCGCCTGCTAAATTATACTTGGTGGCTTGCCGACTCGGCGGGCGTACAGGATGACCTCACTTTGCTTGCTTCAGTTTTATTCTGTTTGAGAAAAGTTGAGATCCGCAATTCAATTATGTCATCTTTTTCCGAAGCTTATGCTGCTTGTTAGTTTAGCTCAGATCTAGACCTGCCAGCATTTGTGCAAAAATGAGCGTTAAGAATGGTGCACTTTCGGCTCTTTTGTAACTTGTATATCAAGTCTGGATCTCCAGCATAAACCTGGGGCACCACCAACCACCTACCAGTCTAAATCCCTGTGGGTTTCCGAACATGACTGTTGATCCCTCGACCAATCGTACATCCCACCTCTCGAAATGAAGCTCTTCTCATCCCAATAGACACTCTCAAGTGCCCTCTGAAACCCAACTTCCAGTATCGAAGGTGACGGCTCACGACCATCTCGATCCAAAAAGTGCAAATGCTCATCCAGGATCAAATATGACTTCGCCATAAGCGCATTCGACTCCGGTACAAATGTCCTCTGTCGGCGGCGAACATCACAGAAATGAACAAACTCCTCGTCCCGGATTAGGAACCTGCGGGCATCGCGAAGCCTTCGTTCCGAATCATTCTCCCCCGGAACGAGCAGAACCTGGAAGCACTTCCAGCGGAACGGCTGCAGCTCCTCGATGAACCGGTTCATGTCCTCATCGAAGTTGAGATGGCAGACCACGGTGTTGATCTTGAACTTGATCCCGTAGGCCCGGCAGAGGTCCCGAATCTCGTAGAGCTTGGTGACTTGGTTGCCGGAGCCGCGGCCGATGGCAACGTTGACCGACTCGTTGAACGAGTCGCACGAGACGGCCAGGATGTCGATGTTGCATCCGTGTCGGGCGAGGAACCGCTCCGTCACTTTGCTCCCGGGTATTTGGATGGTTTTGAGGGTTTGTGGATCATACAATAGCTCCGCAGAGCCAGGTATATGCTGAGTGCCAAATCCATGACAGTAGAACGACCCAACAACACATTTTGTCCGTGTGCAGAATAATGAGTAGAATTCGGAAGTTTCTCAAGGAGATCACAAAGCAATGACAGCAAAGTCAAGGCAAAGCAGTGAATGAAGCACACGGGGATTATAAGTAGTTCCCAAGTGGAAAAGGTAGATGACCCTGGCTCACTGCTCTTGGGCATATAGCTTCTTGTACCCAGGAACGCAACCTCATGAACTCCTTTTGCTGCAGAAAGTCATCAAAATCAGCGATCAATCCATCATCAGTTCACAGTAGCACATTTCCCGAAGAAAAGGGAGTCATTGATATACTCCTCCAGCCTTTTCTCCACCACGCTCTAGGTCGATCGTTTTATACCACCATGAGCACCCAGAACCAGCCACCCAACATCTACCTTGTCGGAGCCCATTGTACCGGGAAGACGACCCTTGTCGAGGGCCTCCGTACCCACCTATCAGCCAGTCTGGTCGCAGAACTGTGTGGGGAGAATGCCGGAAGCCCCGCGATCATTGACGAGCTTGTCCAGAACATCATGCGCACGGACGGATTCACTGCAAGTGATGTCAGAAATCCCACCGCGGGGCTGGAGCTTCAAAAACGCACCATAATAGCCCAACATCAAGTGGAAGAAAAGCTAGAAGGCAAATGGTTTATTTCAGACAGATCAGGAATCGATCCTGTCGTGTACGCTGAGGTGTTCCTGGGACGACCGGCGGCTGAGGAGCTGACAAAACTGAAAGAATGGTGCGTCCTTCGGGAAAAGATGAAGAAGGCATGCGTCATCGTTTGCGAGCCCCAGAACGCGAGCTGGCTATCGAGTGATCATGTCCGCGTGGCATGTAACGATGTTGAAGAGCGGCGTTCGATCGCCGGAGCTTTCCGAACTGCTCTGCAGAGTCATGGAATTCCTTATGTGACTATCCCGGCTGGAGTGGAAGACCTGGGACAACGAGTGCAGTTTGTTGAAGGTCTTTTCAGGTCCTCTGCCAAGTTGGGGATGTTTCGGTCGTGAGACCAAAGAATCGGTGATGGTTCTCGACTCCCTCCTTGCCTGTTTTCTTACTCAAGGGGTCCGCTGCATGCTATGCAGCCGGGATCGTGAGTCTTCTACACGCTACTCATCATGACTACGAGCTGATCGTAAACCAGGAGAGTCATACTATCATATCCAGAGTACGACTCAGGTGCCACGAATTCATTCGAGAAAGAAGCACATCTCTTCCGATTAGCAAAATCCATGATGGTCATGTTGTACCACAGAGCATAGAGAGGAGATTGTATCATCGGACAACACTGCAAGGCGCATGCACTCCGTACACAAGCCAGAAAACAGAAGCTACGAAACAAAAGACCTCCCGAGACCCAAGTCCCAGCGCCTAAGACAATCCATAAGTCCCAAACTCACCCCTTCTCAAGCCACAAGAATCATAACCAGCCTTACTTCCCCAGCCCTCTCTCAAAGTAAGCCGTCAACTTCCCCTTGGGCGAACCCACACAAAACGCCCAGTGATACCGTCTCATAAATGCCGTAATCCGTTCATCCATCTCGGCCATCTTCGCCGCTTTGCACCGTTCCCTCTCAATCCTAGGACGATCATCCCTGCAGTCCCACCGCAATTCCAGCTCCGCCTCCCCAACGGTATGCCCAAAGTCCGTGACATCCTGCACGATCGTAAAATCATCGTCCGCGGTCCAGCTCTCGCGTAGTGTCGTAAAGGACGCCATCGGCGTCAGCCCAAACTGGTTCGTCGCGTCGGTTCTCGTTCCGCCCGTGAGCTCGGCCAGGTGGGCAGAGATGGCGGCGGTCGTGGAGAGCTCCTCAAATTTGGAGTTGGAGTAGTCCCCGCCGCGTCGGATCTTGGCCTGCCAGGTGTTGTTGCGTCGGCGGACCCAGACGCCTCTGGTGGAGAGGAAGTCGGCCGAGTCGTAGTAGGTATCGTGGAAGGTTTGCGTGCCGCGGTAGAGGAGGCTGTGGAAGGGCGGGTGGCCGCTGTTGAGGTGGAGCTTGTCGACGGCCAGGCGGCGGAATTTGCGTTCGACTTCTAGGAGGAGCATTTTGATGATATGGGCTTCTTTGTGTGACAATTGAGATGGGTGTTGAATTGGTGTTGTGGGCTGAGGAGATGTACGCTCCCTTTGTCTGTTGTCTTGTCGTGGACTGGATAAGCACGGATTTTGTTTCTGATCTAGAGCTTTGTCAAAGTATCTCAATGCAGCTGTTTCTCGTGTCAATGTTGTGGTGATTTTGTGGGGGGGGGGGGCGAATTTGTTGTGTGCAGTCGATGTAGATGGAGAGAGCACAGACGCGGGGTGGTCTCAGATTACCGAATTCAGTGTCGTAGGCTTTATTCACTACCTAGTACCCTTCAGGAATCCGCTTTAATTCACAGATGACTTTCAGTCTCCCAAGAAAGCCTAGATAAGAAGATTCTGATGTCTCTACTCTCTTACCACCACTACCACTGTCAATATCAACAAAAAACACATACCATCCACGAGCACCACAAGCACCACAAGCACCATGGACCTCCGCCGCTTCTCGCGCATCTATGTCATTGGTAAAAACTCCAATCATCATATACTGAACTCCGTTCTCCTCTCAGCTAAAATAATATTGCTTTGACTACAGGAGCCCCCGGCGCAGGCAAAGGATCGCTGTGCGCCAAGCTCGCAGCCGACTTCGGGTTTCATCATCTACCAGTAGGCGACCTCTTGCGACAGCTAGCTCTTTCTGGCCGCATGGACCCTGAGATCCTCGACAAGATCCAGAGAAGCATCTTGCTGGAGGTGGAAGTCCTCGCACCCATCCTGCGCGAGGCCATCGCAGATCTCAAACAAGCCACCCAAGACAAGCTGCGGCTGCTCATTGACGGAGTGCCACGCGCCCTTGAGCAAGCAGCGCAAATCGAAGAAGCGGCAAGTATGCCCGATGGCTCAGTACAGACTACTAGTGCTCAATGATGAGTTAACGTTTGGCTTTCTAGATCGGCTCGCCCGACCTGGTCTTGTTTTTCGACAGTCCGACCTGTGCCCGATCCGCAGAACGTTATTGGAGACTTTTTGAATGTCCATTGTAGTATACCGAATCGGTCTTCGGAAACCAAGCCAGCTTCGTCATGAACGTCTTTCCAGATATCTTCGATGGCAGACATTTTGCTAGTAGCCGTTTATGATGCCATAGCCCCAACCCAGATATGAGGAAGAGAATAAAATACGAACAGGTATCGTCCGTATTGTTTACTGGCTACTGGCCCGGTCTAAAAACCGGGCCGTACCGGAAGAACACCCACTGGTAAGGGGCCCACTACCAGCGAGCGGGACCCCCCGTTGATCTGCAGTGGGTGGACGGGGTCGCTGCCGAGAGGCGATAGCGGACTATATTGTAACCCCTGGTGCCGCTTTGCATACTGTAGTTTATTTCTCATGAAAATTATAAGCAGAAAATCTAGGTTGGTATGTTTTTTATGAAAAAGTGAGACTGAAGAAGTAGTAAACGAATTGAAAATGCGAAAAGAAAAAGAATATGTGTATTTTGGGCAAGTAAAGGCAAAAGGCAGGATGCGTATTAGAACTACTCACCACGATGCTGATATAACTTGAGAAGAAGAGTATACCGGATAAGATAGAAACAATCTAGTGGGTTCCAGATCGGGCGCTCTAGGCTAGCCTATTGATAACGTGTGCTTACAGGCTAATAAGAAGAATTCTTGAGGCAAGGAGGAAGATATGGAAATTGTGGTACTTGTATGTAAACGGGGGAAAGAGTTTGCGAACCAGGATATAAAGATTAGGTGGTGATGCTCCCCACGCAGGCAGTATAGAGCTGGAGCTCAAGTCTCACGCCACTTTCCATACTCTTCTTACTGAAGTTGAAGTGAAGTACATGCTGAAAAGGTGGAACAACTTCCGTGAAGGAGGGGCCGGTTGTATATGCTTTGCTGAGACGAATTTATAAATTGGTTTTAAGTTGTTCGTGATGACTATTCTCTTTCCTGTACTTACTTATGCTAAACAATTTACGAGAGGACCTCTGTACATCTGGCCTATGTTGGCCGGGGCTTTTAGCCAGTTTCCACAACCACTGTGGAAACGCTAGGAATATCGAAAGCCAGGTGGAGCCTGAAGAGCGCCTTTTCTCTGTCTAAACTAGGTATGTATGGTTGGAGTCACCCGGGCCCGGGCCTCGCCTCCTCGGACCGATTGAGGACAGCTCACCGCCCCGGCCGCCGTGTAGATAAGGTAGGTATACAGTACTAGTAAGGTAATTCCAGTTCCTCCTAGATAGCCTGGAATCACCATCTTCGTGTTCCCCCACACCTATGCCTTCATCAACACCCCAATTCTCAATTACCAAAGTGTCCCGAGTATCGATTCTTGATCTGCCGCCCGAGATCCTCGGCCAAATTTTCCAGGTCTGCTTGCAAGACTCGCGACACACCCTCACCGCCATTCTCCTCACCTGTCAGCGGTTCTACCCCCTCGCCCTTCCCATTCAGTATCACGACCTCAAGCTTTCTTTCCCCTGCCAACCAAAAGTCATATATCTGCACCGCACCTTGCAATCAAACCAGGCATTGGCCTTACTTGTCCGGTCTTTGGTCCTGGATCTTAGGCCGATATACCCCGCTGAATATATCACAATCGACGACTATACGGCGGCAGCCGATGTCCTCACCTGGTGTCGCGCGGTCCGCATCCTGAAGATCTGGGGCGTGGCGTTCCTCGCGCCTAAGGACCGGACCTACTCGCGGACTAAAGCTTTGTCGGGGCAGATTATTGACCTCAGTCGATGGGAAATTCTTAAATATGCTCTCTGGCAGCTCCCTGCCCTAAGAAGGATCGAGCTGGCAAATGAACCTGATTCGCCCGTCTATGGGTTTGATTGTCGCTTCGACTGTCAGCTACGCGGGGAAGAGGAGTTACAAAGATTGCCGGGCACTGGCAGGAAAGTCTTTGAAGCGATCAACGAGAGGGCGCGCAAGCGTGGTGACGCAATACAGGTTTTTCCTTCCCCTTTGTTCTCCTGTCCTTTATCATCTCGATTTTACCCCCCTTCTCTCCCCAACACACTACATTCTACCTTGCTACAATCTATATGAAAGTGATAATAAAAGAGCATCCAGGCTGATCTCAATACTTTCTGGCCCGTGCCGGTACAGAGTGATGTGATCGAGCCACGTCCCATCCCCGGCGACCCGGTCGACTTTTGCGTTGCATTCGGATCAGGATACGCGACTGAGATGGCCGCAGAAACAATCGTCGACAGAAACCTCTTCTCCGCCTGGTTGAAGGCGCATCCGTACGCGCTACGACGTATAATTCTCGGGCATTCTCCATTGGCCGCTGAGTTTCATGCGGCGCGGTCGCGCAACCTACGCACAGTCACCTGTCCCGGGTCCCAGGAACGATTTGTTTCTCCTTCGACGATAGCCGAGCAGCTCCTGAGCCCAACCGTGCCCACGTTTGTCTGGAACCTGTCCTTTCATGAGATGGCGTGCGAAGATTTCGGGGAACGGGAAGAGGACTGGCTGCGGGGAATGGCCAAATTCATTGCCGTCGCTATTCCGGACATTCACCCGGCGCTGCGGACGATTCAGCTCAACCTCGACCCGGACTCGCATCATTTCCTGCCCACCGATCCGGAGGAGTATCCATGGGACCGGATAACACGATTGGAGCAGGAGCTGCGGGTATTGGGGTTGGAATTGAAGTATACACCTCCGAGTGTCACTCGAGAAGAGTATGAAGAGCTTTGCCGCGTGAGTCGGAGGATCCACGATGAAAGGAGAGACACGACCATGGCCTAGAGAGGAGCATCGGCCGTAGGACGATCTTGTGCTTGAAAATGGTAAATCTATTGATTTTTCGGAGCACGATACCTTCGTGCTCAACCTGGCCCAGCCATAAATACCCCTCTCATCCATCCTTTCGTGTGCAGGAACACGATCGGGGACGCTGCCTAAGAGTTCCCCCATTCTAAATCACAGTTCTACATGTAGCTTCGATCGAGTAATACTTGAGGGAGTCGATATTCGACAAACCCTGCCATTGACTTTACAACGGTTGACGAGATTGTTTGACTATAACTCGCGCAGCATAAGTAGGACACCTTAGCTTTGCGCACCAACAAACGATACAGCTGGCACGACGAGGTGCTTACCTCTGCCCCGAGCATAAGAACCACGGACTCCTCTCTCTTAGCAGTATATCAACCACAGAAGCAACTAAGAACACACTACACAGAGCAGAAGCTCGGTCGAGAATAGGGCGATCCTCGCTCTCAGAACATCCGAATCTCAACCCCTACAAAAACATAAACCGAGTGGTAGTTACAAAGAAAATCTATTCTTATCTTCTTCTGCAGCACTCAAACGGACCAAGTAGAGTGATATAGATAAATAACCAGCCATCGACAGACCCATCAACATTGATGTCCGCCTCCACAGTCTTGGTGACGTTCGGATCCACGGCCCCATCCGCGTGCACATCCATCTCCACACTCACAGCGGGCTCGGGCTCCCGCTCTGGCTCCACCACATCCGCCTGAGGCTCGAATTCATCCGTTTCCGTGGCGATGGACACCAGAATATTCCTTCTGTGGGCTCTCACGTATATTTCGGTCACCTTGGAAGGCATGTCTTGGGCTTGTTACCTGATACTGGCACGCCCCTACGAAATGCTGCTCTAGACGGATGGAGGTCGTATTAGTGCGGAGGCGTTGGCTGGGATAAGATTACGCTTCGGGCGTGCTATGGAAATGCAATGGAGCTAAGTTATGGAACCTAATATATGAGCTTTGCGCAGAGCTTTGCGCAGAGCTTCATATAGCAGAAACTTTATCGCCTACTTTAATTGGATATAGAACAAAGGTGAATGCTTAGCGCAATAGGATGACATATCCTCAAGATAAACAGCCAATGTCGGTGATAAAGAACCATTCTAGAAGAAAGTAATGGGATTCGACACGACAAACCACCGGAACAAAGAGATTGTGTAAAGATGACAATGTTACGGGCAATACAAAGAAACATACGACGTGAATCTAGCAGTTTCACCTATCGAAGATACACTGTACAGTTCCTTGAGTGCGGTAATTTGATTCAGGCCAGACTCCTTGCATTGATTGATCAGAATGACCAAAGCTAGCCAGCCGACTTCTGCAGTGTACCCACCTAGTAGTTTCTTGCCTCAATCTCGCCATCAGACTAAATAAAAAAGACATGGTCGAATCGAAGACAGTACATGCCCGAGCTGCTTAGGCTTAAGCGTCGGCCCACAGACTGATCCAAGTGGCCGGAAGAATGGCTGAGCAGCATGCAGGGTAGAATTCAGCCCAAATCCGGGGACAGATCACGGCCACTATTTCCAGGTCGCCAACGCCAGCCATCGCTCAAGTTGATTTTCCGGTGCTACAATGTCTCCAGCACTATTGCTACAACTGAGAACCGCGTCTTTTCCCTTCTTCAGGTCAATACAAATGGTGCCCGAGGTGGACGCGATCAATCGGTACGGAGGTTGGGATGTAGGTGTGTCAACGCGTGAGTGAGAGGGACTACTTGGGTTCACAATATTACATGTTTCCCATAGGCAATGTTTAGCAACGGACAATTCGGCCCGTGGCAAATACAGGGGGCTCATGCCGATTCGGCCATCAACCCCGCCGCTGCGCTTTTCTTGGTCCTCGGCCATCTTCGTGCCGCGATGCAACAAGCCTCCACCCGGAAATGCCGTCTTTGGGTCATACAAAGGTCAATCAACACGTCGGATAATTGAAGGAAGACAAATTAGGGCCGCTCACGTTCCGAATCCACCGGTCAAGGCCTGGAGATATCGAGATCCTCAATGGCGGTGGTCCATACCCGTAGACAAACAATGCGGGACAAAAAAGAAAAAAAAAAAAGAAAAAAAGAAGGGGGGGGAGAGATACGAGAGTCCAAGTTCACAACAAAGGGCAAACAACCACTTTACACAACCGACGGATCTCTTGGCGAATGAACCCTAAGTGGCATAAGCAATGGGTGGGTCTATCTAGTAAGACCGGCCCGCACTCGGCAACAAGAGCCCTCAAAACTGTCAGAAATGTGACGTGACCCGGCATCTTACGTGTGCTGGCTGAGCTGAGACTACTTTAGGCTACAAGTTTCTTCCGATCGAGTCCGGCGCCTGACATTTTAGCCCTAAGTACTGACTAACTTAGCATCCAATCCCACGCGAAAAGCTGACAGGGGCTCTGATCAAGGAACAACAACGAAGCTCTAATTGGTAAGTGTCATGACGCTCCATACCAGACCGCTTCTCCGACGGCAATCCGGGTGGCCAGATGCCTTATCACGGAGACACCGAACGAACATGGGCGAAAGCCTATCTCTGGTAAGAACGCAACCTCCCGAAAAGGGATTCGACGCTAGACTGTACAGTATCTAGCGGACTGCGATAGACTCTCTCCAGCTCTTTCCAGCCCAAAGTGAGCATTGGTGGCACTGTTAGCGCAAGTCCAGAGAGCTGAGGCAACATGCCCCGCCCCCCGTTCGGGAGCATAATATCCAATCCTTTCTTGCCTTCCACTCCTACTCTCTGCTTTCCATTGTCACCCTTCTCACAATTTATTTGTGTTTTCTATGCCCGATCACAGGAAGCAACATGCCAGAAACAGACGTCGAGGTGAGTGTCTATCTTATTTTCCTGGATTGTTGAGACTCGATCCCATAACCGCATCTCATCAGGTGACCCAAATCAACCTGCTGCCCACATGGAAACCCACTAGCCCCGAGGCGGTCGAGAACCGCTATGAGAATGAGTATACCGCGATGATCGTGTCAGATGCTCCTCTAGCGGACTCGGGAACTGGAGAAATGCCACTCCCGCTGACCGACTTGGACCGAGGCATTGTTGGGTGGGATAGTCAAGAAGACCCGTCCATGCCCCTGAACTTCCCCCAAACCCGCAAGTGGATGCTTATCAGCCAGGTGTCGGCGATCACCTTCATCTCTCCCTTGGCTACAACCATTGTGGCCCCGGCCGCTTCGTATATCGATGCCGATCTCGACAATTCGAGTGCAATTCTGTCCAGCTTTGTGACCTCGATCTATCTCTTAGGTGCTTTCTTTTCCCCCAGAACTATCAATTCAACCACTCTTATTCTCCTTGGATTGACCTAACACGTGTATTTGTGGTATGATAGGCTATGTGATCGGACCACTGCTCTTAGGCCCGGCCAGCGAAATCTGGGGTCGACGCCCAGTAATGTCAGCGGCGAATTGGTCCTTTGTGGTCTGGCAGGTATGCTGTGCCCGGGCGCCTACAATAGGAGCATTGATTGGGTTCCGCTTCTTGGCCGGAATCGGAGGGGCAGGATGCATGACACTCAACGGCGGGGTTGTGGCCGACCTGTTCGTGCCGGAAGAACGCGGTGGGGCCAATGCGATCGCGGCGGTGGGGGTGATCTTCGGCCCAGTGCTCGGCCCGATCTGCGGCGGGTTCATTGCCGAACGGGCCGGTTGGCGCTGGGTTTTCTGGACGCTCTGCTGCGCCGGCGGGGTGATCAGCGCCGCCATCGAGCTCTTCAACCGGGAGAGCTACGCCCCCGTGCTGATCGCCCGCAAGACTGCGCGCCTAGCCAAGGCGCTGGGCCGTTCGGATCTACGGTCCGCCTACGAGAGCCAAGATGGGCCGAATCGCAGTAACCGCAGCACCTGGCGCCGGATGCAGCGAGAGCTGACGCGCCCCCTGCGCATGCTCTTCCTCTCGCCCCTTGTGGCGCTGTTCTCCACCTACATGGCCCTGATCTACGGGCTCTTCTACCTGCTCCTGACAACCATCACCACCGTCTACCAGGACACCTACCACTGGTCGCCGGAGCTCACGGGGCTCGCCTACCTAGGCCCCAGCCTGGGATTCCTGGCGGGCCTGCTGAGCATCGCGACCACGAGCGACCGGCTCATCGTCACGTTGACCGCGCGCAACGGCGGTCTCTACGAGCCCGAGATGCGGCTGCCCTTCATGGTGGTCTTCGGCCTGCTGATCCCCGGCGCCCTCTTCTGGTATGGCTGGACGGCTGACCGCGCCGTCTTCTGGCTCGTGCCGTTGATCGGCCTCGTGCCCTTCGGCTTCGGCATGCTGGGCATCTTCTTCGCCATCCAGATGTACATGATCGACGCCTTCCCGCGCTACGCCGCCTCCGCCATGGCCGCCGTCACTGTCTCGCGCTCGCTCCTCGGCCCTCTCCTGCCGCTGGCCGGCCCCCCGCCGTACGACCGTCTGGGCCTGGGCTGGGGCAACTCCCTGCTGGGGTTTATCGCGTTGGCCATGGTCCCCGTGCCGTATTATCTGTGGAAGATGGGCCGGTCCATCCGGCTGAACCATCCCATTGAGCTGTGATCTTGGTTTATCCTACTCCTGCTATGTTGAATCCCCAAACCCCAGATATCATTCGGGAAGGGGACTTGTGACGAATGATGGACTACGCCTCAGGTGGTCAAATTGATCGAAGGGCTTAAGATTCAGGTTGTATACATGATGTGAATGATATAGAAAAGTATAGAAACCCCTTCGTCTAAGTCCCTGTTTACTATAGAGCTTCCGAGATTATAGCTTATTTCAGTCATAGTGAGAGAAAGCAAAATCCGAAGAGATTCGGGTTCCAGTACACAACAAGAAGGATCATTTTCCCCCCGAGGCAACTCTGGCACATTGCCGAATAAGAAGCAGTCTGTGGGTACTGCTTACTATCAAAAGTAGTATTTTACAGTAGAGGAAGGTCCAAACTGAACAGAATAAGAAGTAGTGAAGAAGAGATGTGATAGAAGGGATTTGCTGGTGTCATTCGCCCAACTACTTACCTCCCGGCCGGGTGTATAGCTCAAACACAGCCAGAAGATGGCTAGATACAATATTAGTAGGTTAATAGATGAAGTTGAGTTATACAACTTTGTTTACCGAAACTCTGATATTTTCTTGGTATCTTTTGAGCAACAATAATAACCAATAATCCAAAAATACGCTAATCATACTAGATTAATAAATTAAGCTAAGATTATCTACTTGAGATTTAGATGACCTCTAATCCTATTTTTCCACCTGGTACGTCAAGAACTACAGAACGGACTAGATCATTGCGGTTTAGGCAAGGCAAAAGCACTCTTTATTGCAAGGCTAAGCCGTGAGGTTATGAGTCCCCAATGCTCACGATGTTGATATATGTACAACTCCAGGGGAGGAGGGTTTAACGACGTGACCGTAACCCGAATGAATCAGCGCCGAGATGGGAGCGGGTGCCGTAGTCACATGCTCAGAGCTATCTGAGATCCTTTAAGGCTTCCTTGCTTCCCTTGCCGCAACTTCAACACACTGGGTCTTTTCGCATCTCTTACTGTGATGTCCCCACTATTATATACAGTTTGCTTTCTTCTTTTACATGATTCGGACTACTATAATATAAGTATAGCTGGTTATGGCTCGTATCAGTAAATTAAAAGCCGCGAAGTTTAATGTACACGCCTTAATCAAGCTTCAAGCGGCTATCGAAAAGGATCCGGAGATTGACCTAACCGCGAAATTGCTCTTGAGGTATTCTGATTGTTTAAATAAACTGCGATAGGATGTCCAAGTTGGCAAGTAGTTGTAAGTAGTTCTTTTTTAAGCTATTCAGCCTCTAATATTTGTGTTTCTTTTTCGAAATTTAGAGAATGCGACCGTGATTGAAGGCTACGGAGAAGACGATATTCGCACTTCTATCTGCTTGTCCGACTCGGCTGAGATTATTTTTTTTCTGTCCGATACAGTTCAAAGTCTATTTGGGATGTTTAATTCGGCCGAAATGCAACCGTAAAACCTTACGCAGTGATTAATTGACGTTATAGACTCAAGCAAGGTTGTCTGGAAGGAGTTTTTTGCCTGTCAGAAAATGGTCTTGAGCTGTGGTTATAATATTATTTTAAAGGCTGTACGCAACCTGGACGATACTACTGAATATATAATTCTAGTCTATCTTTACCAGCGTAAGCTGAATATAGCCGCACCAAAGCCTTTTAGTTTAATTCGGTTGAACGATATTTTGCTTATATTTATAACTTACTTGCATTCGACCACGTTGGCGGAGGTGTGGCCATCTCTAACAACAGCCCAAAAGATCTCGATCAAGAAACAACTTATCTTGATCCTGAATGACTTGAGGTCTTTGCCGTATGAAACAGGCAATCCCTTTGGAGAAATCAGGGGCGAAGGTTGTAAGGACATTCGAAGGCATCTTCAACAGAGTAGTAAACCTATTGTAACTGTCGATGAGTTTGAAGATTTTCTCTTCAGCAGTAATCGGGCTGGTGGGGGGGTCTTTGTTGAATTGCTTCGTCAGCTTTTCCCTGTCACCTAATCACCTTCGCCTGCAATAGTCTTTACGCATGGTGACCTTCGTCTAGAAAACATTGCCGTAAATTATAAGAATAATAAATTGACTATTAGTGGACTGATCGATTAGAAATACAGTGGATACTATTCCGAGTATTATGAAGCGATCAGGTGTATAAACTGTATGGCGTCTTATGAAGAAAATGATTGGTACCTATTTATCCCGGATTGTGTTTTATCGAAACGATATATGGATTGGTGGCTGCTTGACCGGGCTCGAGAAGTGAGAGATGTGTAGATAATCATCTGAGATCCCTGATTTCCTTAGTCTTGCAAAGGCCAAGAAAGGGATAGCTCCGGTTATAATACTTGCACCTGAGCCAACTGTGCCTCTGTTCCTTTTAGGGAGGAAAATACTCTTATAGGAGATGTGGAAATAACCGTCGCAGACCCTGTGGTCACCCCTTGAGAGGTGACACAGCTTATAAGACGGGGACTCTGGCACTCCCAATCCAGCCCTAAGTGGATCTAGACTGAGCCCTGTTCTCTCTTAGACCTGGGGGGAAAATGGATCAAGTGGCTCTTTTGTAAGAATTCGTCGCGGACGCTCGGTTCGCTGAGGTACATACAGGCCGCCGGTGGGTCGGGGCGCTGTAGCAGAGCGGACCGCCCCGAACCATGCCAGCTGGCTGTCAATGGGGTACCACTGGATCTCGATGTTTACCTCCTGATGCTACTAGGTACCCCCGCTACATACCGCATTCGGTGACTTAATGCTGGTGCAGCCACACAATGCCTAGCACGCCCATGCCTAGGGTTTCACCCACGAACGGCTTGGATAGGGCGCTGGAGTCCCGCGCGGGAGGGTGGCTCGGCTCGAAAACCTCCCCCGTGAAACCAAGACTTGATCTCTCTGTTAGCTGGCTAATCAATCGTCCCATACCCGGACACAGACCGTGTCCGGGGATGCTGGTACACGTTTGGCGCGGCGGGAATTGAAAGTATGGTCAAGGGGGGGTGAATCAACCATTAATGAGAAATTTGAGAACAGTCAGAATACCACCAAGAACAGCATGATTGGTCCTCTCAGCAGAGGAAGATGCAGTTCAGTAGGACACCAATCTCGAGACGGAGAGCATTGAGACCATAACTCATATGATAGTGTATGTCTCAGTGGCTACGCAGAACCCCCAGGCTCACCTCTCTCAACCCGCAATCCTCGATCAGTAGCTCCTGGTATACCCCAGGGTGGCAAAATTGGCCAATAGATCCGCACACAGTGGTCAGACCTTCTCCTTCCCAGCACGCTTCGTATTTCCCTCGAGTCTGTTCGTCAGCCAGGAAACAGACTGCTTGATATCTTTTCCATTCCCCGCCGCGACAGGGCGGAAGACCTGTGAAGCGAATTAATACTGTTTTGAAAACCATCCAACGAGAAGCATCATATTACGGGAGAACTTGACTTACCCAATCGACGCCTAGCTCATCCAAACGCAGAGCAGCGACCTGCTCTCGGGCGATATCTTCATCCTTTTATTTAGACCAGCAGATGACGAAATCAGCCAACATTCCCCGTAAAGTTCCCCGTAAACCCACTCAGAATTGCGACAGAAGAAACTTTTAAGAAAAAAAAAGAAGAAGAAGAGAAAAGAAAAGAGATTCTGTACTCACCACCACCTCCCCCTTGAACATCACCAGTACCAGCCACGGAATTCCCTGTTTCGCAACAGGAAAAGGCTCTGTCCATCCCTGCACGTGTCGCCCGCGCACCACTCGCCCAAGCTCCTGCCGGAGCTCGTCCAGGGTAATTGGGTCCGCGACATCGACTGCGACAATCAGCGCGTCCACGTCCGCATAGGACTGGGCCGTGAGCACGTGCCAGCGCCCCGGGGCGTCGCCGCCCACGTCCACCATCCGCAGCGCGAGGCCGAGCGAAGGGCTGCTGCCCTCCTCCGCAATGTGATGCTGGCCTTGCAGGTTGAAAGGCCGGATCGGGGTCTCACTGAGGTGCTCGAGGATCGTTCGTTGGCCCGCGCCGAGTAGGCCGATAATGGCTACTTGGGTCAGGGGTCGCGTGTTGTGGGAGGAGGAGGTCAGGCTTCTGAAGAGCGCACGCAGTCGGGAAAGGAATGGGGACATTCGGTCCGGCAGAATTGGGATATTTTGACAGTGGTAATATGGAGAAGGAAAGGGGAAGGGAGGAAGTAAAGAAGGGGAGTCGATCAGGTGTAGTTGCTGTGCCTGTGCGCCACTTTCCGACCTTGGGCGGCCGAATAAGGACACTAACCGGAGCGGGGGGCTAAGCATCAATCCATGCAGGTTCTTTCGGCTACTTACTATAAACATGTTAGTTTATGTATAGCAAGCTAAGAACGAACAAGGTACATGTATATGAGATTCGACTTCAATTTGTATGATCAAGCAACAAAAGACCTCACTCGGAAATAGTAAAAAGGTATTTAACTCGACCAGTCAGACCTGCAAGAAAGACGACGCTTGTATTGCCAAATCAATTATGCAATCATTTCTTATCTACCTCCACTTTGGGCCTCCATCTCGTGCTCGACCACGATCTGATCCGTCCAGTGATCACCAGAACCGGTCGACCCGGAACCAGATGTTACCTCCGCAAGTCACTCGGCAAAATCTCCTCCTGACTGTCGCGTGGCACCGAGGTGGTGGCGAGGATGGTCGGGTCTGTGAGGGATAGCATCATCGAGCGGTGGGAGCGTCCGGGCTTACCTCTCCCTCTCTCGTAAGCACCCGTTGGGTAGGAGCATCCGTGGCTGTAGGAGGCAAGAGACCATCTCCCCAAGAAGAATTGGAGGAGCACTTGTAGAGTCGGGATGCAGAAGGCGATGATAATGAGGTCTGCTTCAACGGTGTAGAAGCATTAGTAATGACAACATGGAGGGTCGAGGGCCTGGGATATACTTGTTCCAGAGAACAGGGGACCAACTTGTGTCTTCGAAGTTGTGGCTAGTCTACCAGATCGGTGGTAAAGAGGGAGTGAGATGGAGAGATACAAGTTGCGTCGGAGACGTTGGCGAGGGCGTTGGTGGGTGTGGTCTTGATGATGGCTGCGCAGGCAGATGTGAAAAGAAAGAATGATCATTAGCCGCAGCCACGGAGAGGAGAGAGATTAAAGGATAAAGCATAAGCCCCAACACGGCACACAACGCCAACTTTTTACACAGTGACATTTGTAGTAGAATGTCAACAGGTATATTTTCTCAATACCAGGCCTAGTCCAAAAACCGGGCTGTACCAGAAGAACACCTACAAATCAGAAATCTACTCCTCTGCTGTAGCACGTATTATTATTATTATACATTTAATTCTTAGCATGTTGTTACTTTATAACTGATTAACCCCAATTTAAGGTAGGTTTTTTACTAGATTTCATCACTTTAGCTATAGTCCCTATTTATAAGACATACGCCAGCCTATTCGGCTGAACCATTCTACTAAGCTATGATTATGTTTTATGTTGTTTTCAGACCTCCAAACCCCATATAAAACTTGGAAAGGAGGCTTGTGACAACAGTATCACAGGTTGGAAAAAAGTCCCAAGACCAAATAGAAGAACAACAAGTCAAAAAAAAACATACAACAGAAGGGATTCGCTGGTGGTCACCCACCCAACTACTAACCTCCCGGCGTGTGGCTTGAGTACGGCTGAGCGGACGGGAAGCCCTATTTTCCACACCCTGTGGTCGTATGTGCTGTTTCCTTCCTTGCTAAGGTATATGATAACTCAAAAAGGGTGCAAGAGAGAACTGCGCGGCAGCCAGCAGTGTAGCACTGTGGGAGCCCGGAAAATAGATCCGAGATTCGCGATCTTGTGGGTGGGGTTTTGATACCACCACTAACCTTAAATAAGCTTCGCCCGACCGTACAAGTACAGCCCTTAATACGTGCTCATTCGAGTCGTAGGCATCGCTTGAGTGACTGTCAAAGAATATTCGCTTACATAAATATCAAGTATTGCAGGAGCATTTCCTCGGTTTGATAGCTTGACAAGCTCTTCATTTTCTGGGCGGGACGACATACTTGCATGCCTTTGTCACGTGATCGTTTTGATACTCGGAAGCAGGGCGTACTGCTATGCCACATTCACAAATGCGACAGGTCAGACATTAGATCTCACCAGTGAGTGTGCAAGTTTCTGAGTCAGAACATGCGACTAGATCAGATTTTTTTCTCCCCACTCGGCATGAGGAAATTGAATGTTTACAAGCTTCGTACAAAGCCTTTCGTAAGAATTCGTCGCGGACGCCCAAGTTCACTGGGGTACAGGTCGCCGATTGGTCGGGGCGGCGTAGCAGAGCGGACCGCCCCGAATCATGAATGTCAATGCCCTTCGATGTTTTGAGACATTTTCCACGCTAGCATTGATTAAGGCAATGAGCAAATCAGGTACCACTGGATCTCAATGGTTACCTCCTGATGGCCCCCACTAAATACTACATTCGGTGACTACTAGGTGTTCATTGTTTGCCAAGAGGCTGCCAATGTCTCCGGTGGCACTCTTGGGGTTTTGTCGAAGAGCGCTACCACCACCAATGGAGCAGTAATTTCCGACCTTTTCGCGTGGCCCCATCCGTCTAGGCTCTCTTAGCAAACCAAAACCACCGATCAAGGTCTCGTTGTCAGGAGCAGTGCTATGGTAAAGGACTTTCAGGGAGAGAAGGCGTGATGGGGTTATTGTTGCGGTCAACATTGCTTAGGGCCTTTGTGAGCGTCGGTGTACTTCGGGCATCTGAATCCGGTAGGGGTAAAATAGCCTGCGTCTTAGACATATATACTGTCCATGCACCTCATCAGGTGGAAGAGGAAGAAATTTTGGTATCATCAGTACTAGCACTGGGCAAGCAACACTGATCATGCGCTGGGTTCTACTTGTTTACTTCTGGCTATTCTGGGTGCCAGCCCAGTCGACCAATACATCATTCCAATCCCTCTTCGTGGTTAAGACAGACACAGACAACAATGGCGGCTGCGCCCAGTACCTTGATCGATTCGAGACATTCATAGCTGAGTGCAAAGAAATGGTCAATGCCGGTTTGCAAGTGTTCGAGGATGCAGCCAAGCCTGTCAGTACCACAGAAGGCTACATTGCACGCAGTTATCTGTGGACCTATTTCAGGATTAATGATGATGCCAAGGCAATGGCGTTGGTGAAGGGTAGGGGAAACGAACCATTTACCTATTTCCTGGATCACACTGCTTATTGAACTCAAGATTACCTCACGACAGTAAAAAAATTCCTCAACGGCGAAACATCCACAACTAAAGCTCATCTGTACTGCAATGATGGATGGCTCGAAAAGGAACATCTGACCGACGCGGCAAAGGATAAAAATGGGATAGATAGATGGAAAGAGTATCCAGACGGCTCTGAGGCCCCACTCGCAAACTATCAGGCGCCGGAATATCGAGAAGACATTTTCTATTTAACTGATGATGGGATATGGGAGCCTATCCCCGATACGGTACCATATTGGTCAGATGACTTGAAAGTCTATATCTTCGATTCGGACTACAAGGGCGGGACCTACTGTACGCCCGCCGCTAACTTGGCAGTAACACAACAAAAAACCGATCCGAATACAATGACCTTTTGTCCTAGGGCCCTCAACAGGAGGACGGATGTTACGATGACTCTCGGATCGAGAGCGCCCACAGCTGGACGGTCCATCCAGTATAACCTTCCCCTTAGTGGCACTCTATATCATGAATTGTTCCACCTCGCGGTTGGAAACGCCATAACTTACGATGTAGATTGTAAGTTCCTGCAAAACTGACAGAAACTTGAAACAATCTCCGACTAACGACTGTCTAAGATCAATTTAGTGAACAGCAGAAGAAGCTCATGAATGATCCCAATCAGCCAGTTGAAGGCCAGACTAAAGACTACGTGAGCCTCATTCGCGAAAATCCAGAGACATATCTCTTCTTCAGCGTGGGATACTGGTATTTCCAGCAGACAAAGTGGGGCACCGCAGCGAAACCGAATAGAAGATGGAGCTTTCATACAGGCGTTGCCCAATTGATCGCATGATAGAAAGCCATTGTGAGGCACTGCAGGTGCAAGCATAAATAGGATGAAAGAGGGAACACCAAAGTGAAAGAAGAAGTGTCTCCCAGATTGCTATGAGCTCTCTGGGTGCGCTGTCTATATCACAAGAACAAGAGCCTGAAACACAATAACCTCATAGCATTCGCAGACGAGGCACCTCGTGAAATTGATAGAAATCCTCCCTCCATTCTAACGCACCGGCTTCAACAAGAACCTCAAAAAGTACTTCGGTTTTATTCTGATGTGTTATAAAGTCTTCTTCCAGGAACCTGAAATCGGCCGCCTTTTCATCTCGCCAGAAGTGCGCCCATAGCATTAGTCGGGCTTTTTGGCCACGCCACAATTCTGTCTGAGTAGCCCATATCTTGTACGGAGTGCGGGTGGAACGTGACCGGCTTGCTGGAATACTAGGTCCCAAAGCTGGTGTTTTGATGCCATGAAATTTGCCAAACCGGGTCTCTTGCTCAGGGGTCATTGCTGCGGGAAGGTAGACCCAATAGAACTGAACAAAGGATGTTTTTAGGTAGTGAAACCAATTTTCTTCTTGTAAGATCTCGTGATAAGAAAGTTGCAGAGCGTTAACTGCCAGGAGAGACTCCCTGAAGAGCTGGGCACACGGCGAATCTTGGAAATCTCTAAGTTCGTCGGGATGTCCCCATACTGAATAGAAGGGTAAATAAAAACACCTATAATTCTAAGGGTTCTGGTAAAAATGCTCGACTTACATGTCACCAGAAGTACTACCCCTGGCTCCTTTTGTGACCTTCCCCAGACTGTTCCCCTGTGGCCTTCGCGTGCACCAACGGTTGAAAATAGCCAGCCCACTGTTCGGCATCAAGCTCCAGCCCCTGGGGAACCTGGAGTTCAGTGATTGCAGTGATTGGACGATATTTGGTGGTCATTCTTGACCGAAAGTCTCGTAAAAGGTTTGTGCAGGATATAGAGAATAGACTCCAGCAAAAGACGTAGGGAACAAAGAGTTGATATGACGGGGGGGGCGCATAGTTATATAGTCCCTACACCATGTCACATGACCCTGTTCACCCCTGTTTGTTTGCGTAGTGGGGGATCGGAAAATGGATATCCCGTCTCATTTTTCCAACATCGAGAAACACCATCGGAAAAAGACAAGACCTTGATGACCTTGGAAGAATGAAAGAAAAATACTAAGATCGATTTTCTACTCATAGAAAATTCCTTGGTTGTGGTTTATACTTTGAACTGACTATGTATATGCTTCATAGGCAGATACGACGTGTCAATTCGGTGATCTCTAGTATCTCTTTTTAGTACTTCTCTATATACTGATCGTCAAAGTTATTGAAACTACTGTCAGGTCTGTTATTAGATGTCCTTGCAATCTTGCTGCCTGCTAGGTATCTTCGAGGCAGTAACTATCTATGTCGAAGTGCCCGATCTCTACTCCTATGCTGAGCGAGCTTCTATATGAGCGCGCGTGGACTAATGTCAAAGAACGAGGTTCGAAAACTGATGTAGATGCAGCCATACATGCGCCAGTAAAGTGTGTATCCAGAATTTGTGAGGAGAGCGTGAAGAGAGATGGATTCCAGCTATCTGAGCACCTATCTAAACTGCCGGCCAAGGCGGTGAGCTGCCCAGCCAATGAGAGGCCAGGCACTCCACAATTTGGGCAGAAAGTTCGGGAGCAGAATCACCTGCTTGCCTCCAATATACTCCCATCTATAAATATGTTCTCCAGCAGAGCTAAAGGACTTATGTACATCTGTAAGAGTCTCTTGCCTCCTCTAGTAGGTGGGCAGCTCACCGCCCTGAGCCGCGTATAGCCAGCCCATCTGAGATAGCCCAAAATATGACTCGGGGCATCTTCTTGCATCTTGACAACATCAACTATAAGGCAACGATGAGCATAGTAGGGAAAGAGATGGAGAGTCCCTACTGAGTATCCAAGATCTTTCCACAATATGCGAAGGCAAGCCTCATATTGTCTGATAATCTGGGAGAATGGATTTGAAATGCCGCGGCGAAGGCAGGTGCAGTGGGGCATCACAACTGCCAAAATGGGCAAGTGGCTGAGTCTGCTGAACCGCTTTTCAATGAATGCTTCACATTGGAGGGAGAAAGACGCCTGACAAGATTCTCCCTTTTATAGCCGCTCGTGGTCAATCGCTGATGGTCGGGGAACTCCGGCATTGAATCAGAAGGCAAATGCAGTAGTTCCCTCTTGAAAAATATGCAGAAGCACCGGGATGAAAAGTTCCAACTCTGAACAAGAGAGCGACTGACTTCTTCCAGAGCTCAGGTGGAAAGCTCCTGGTGCAGGGCATTGCTCGCATTAGATTTTCGCGAGTAAAGATCGACATGCCGGCAAATGTTACTGAGACCCAATGAGTGGGGAAAAGAAGTCGGTCAGCCAAAGAGAGTTTGGATACTTTGTTGCTAAGCGATCCATCCCATCTTCGATGTTGCGAGCCATAATCCTGAATACAGCAAGCAAGCCTCCCCCCAACTGATTGACAAACATTGCCAACCAGGCCGTGTTGTGGCGCTGAGTCCATCCTACTACACTGAATCTTTTAGTATTTCTACAGCCGCGCCACCACATAACGCTTCGTTCAGCTGAACAGCGCGGCAAGACGAAAAGCTGAGGTGGGGAAAAAGAACGAAGATGGAGGCTGTTTTGACACTAGTAGATGGGTCTGAGGAAGTGTGTACCTCACTTAACGGGCTGAGAGCTTGCGACAGCCACTCGATGATACTGACACGAGTACATTCGCTTATCGAAAGTTTTCTAGATCGATCAACAATGCAGATCCTAAGTGGTATAAATTCCACCACGATTCTGCAGAGATCTTGCAGTTGAGCACAGAACAATCTCCCGAAGCCCAACTCAGTCAATACAGGAAAGATGGTGTCGAGTGAAGAAACATTGGCCTTATTCCGGCAGACAATCCGTGGGCAAACAGCCACACTCCCAGACCTATACGCTTTGTTTCCCGAATGGAAGGCTGAAATTCATCCTGACTATGAGAGAGCCCGCGATGAAGTTCTCAATCCGTGGATCGAACGGTAAGTACCAGTCTCACTGTGAGCCACTTTTCTAAATTCATCACAGATGGGTGCCAAATCGAGCTACGAGTCGCAAATTTCGAAAGGCAGACTTTGGAGTCTTCGCTGCTATCTTCTGTGTGCGTTCTTCGTTTGAGGTCCTATGTACTGTGTCTAAAGCCTTCGCATGGGTTAGTCCTCTAATCGTCCATTAAATGACCTTAGCTAAAAGCTTAACACAGTATTTTATCTGGGATGATAGTATGAACCCTGAGAGGTCCTGACTCCGTTAAGCTAGCTTACCGTTGACACGCCTGTAGTTTTCGACTGTGGCATCCTCGCCAACGATAAAGATAAAGCCCAGGAATACAGAGAACAATTAGTACGGTACTTCCACGCCGTCCTCGGGGAGGAAGAAGACATCCCCGATCTGTCATACTTCTCAGAGGAGCTTCAATTTGCCTTGCTATGCTGGAATGAAGTCGCCGATCACATTCGACGCGTGTGCTCAAAAGGTCAATCCGCCTCGCACTCTGACCTTTTCCGAGCTGACAAAGCCTCTAGCCACCCTAAAGGTCCTTCTGGACCAGAAGCTATACTATGTTGAAAGTGTCGATACTGTGGACACGGTCTACTCGGAAAACCACGTTCCATCACTGAAGCAATATCTGAGCCGGCGTGAATGCACTGCCGGGGTGTATCCGGTTATAGCCACAATCCCGTGGGTGAAACGTCGCTGAGCAAAATTTCGCGACTGACAAGAATACTAGCTTCATTTATGGTATCGACATCTCACAACAACAGCTAGATGGCGAGTCGATGCAGTTGTTGTGGAAACATACGTCGTATTTGGTACACATGTTAGTGCACCTGTGCTAGCCATCCCCTTGACCATGAAGCTGAACACTCATGCAGGATCAACGACATGTTTTCGTTGCGCAAAGAGATTGTACGTTCTCTTAAATGCTTTCGTCAATCACTACTAACCATCGACCCTCAGGCGGACGGGCAAATCGAGAATCTCATTCCATTATTAATGCTCAACGAAGGCGTTGACTGCAACACCGCCATGAAGTTAGCTATTATGCTGGTCGATGAGGCAGCACACGGTTTCCATGAGACTGAGAAGCATCTTCGAGCACAACATGACTCTGCACCGCATGAGGAAATTACTGAAGCTTTCCTGGAGGGCTGTAAGAATGTGGTGATGGGGCTGATATATTGGAGGTACGAGTTTGTTTTCGAGTTTTCACACTGAGTGGAAGGTCTTGACTGACAAGTATAGTTATACGGGGCAACGGTATTTCCACCACTCGGAAATCGAAGCTGGAAACACGATTACATTCAGCTTATGAGAATTGAAGTGGCAAAGGCAATCATTGCTGTAACCGACGGCATATGCATTAGTGTCATCTATCTCGTAACCTTTGAGGGTGAGGTAGCTAGGTACAGTACCATACAGAGCCAGAATTGAGCCTAAGATCTTCCAATTATAAGTGAAAGAGTACATTTCTGCTTACTTCCGCAAGTAATTCAGCTTGCAGAGTGTATGGCTCACCACTCGAGTCAGTTGCTAAGGCAATCGGCCAACTCAGGGAGTCTGCGCGTCATGCCGGCGACCTCTCTGCATTTGCATCACCATTAACACACTTTTAGCAACTCTTAGAAACCAAGATTGGATTTGGTGGTGCTTTTCACAATGGCTAGCAGGCGAGAATAGTTCCCCACTCAATTTACGCTTTGGCCAATGCAGTGTACCACCGCTTGCGAAGCTTACCTTGAATAACCCATTTTGTATAGAGCCGATCTCAGCAATATAATGGGTTTCTACGTCTCTTATTTATGGGTTCTCCGATTGATTACCTGATGAAATAAGGCTTGTTCAATATCTTCCTAACTACTCAAAAGTGAGAGTTTGTGGAATGCTTGGGGTTCGAGTCGGAAGCTGCAAGTGAACCGGACCTTGCGGGTATGCATACCTACTGTACCATGCAGGAATCTGTCGAAAAACGTGGACGGCTGTGAGTAGGGAATCTGATATTGAAGCTCTAATTCCAGTCTTTCAAATACTGTTGAATAGTTAATCTTTTACTATCAATATGGCCCTAATGGGGGGGGGGGGGGTTTAAAGAATCTATATACAATATAACTTCAAAGGTTACACACCAGATACTATCATAGATACTACTCAGTACTATACATATTAATATTTTTACCTAATCAGGTCTAGACCCTGAGTGTTTATAGTCTAGGATATATGTATACTCTAACTAGAAGTAGAAAGATGAAGCACGGGGGGAGAAAAAAAAGAATCACATGAAATCAGCTTATCGAGGCCTAGTGCTGCCCAATTTTTGATTACTCTTATTCCCAAGCTATGTAAAGCAAGATTACTGCTTTTCTAATATACTCCAAGTGAGATATTTATTTTTATGACAGAACAATCACCTGGCATACAAATTAGTCTGTTAATCGGATGCTGCCCGATTGGGGTGCATATGCTTGAAGGAGGGGGCAGCCACGTTCCACCAGCAAACTGAAATAGCACGATCAGACCGCTTCTCGGCGAGCATTTCAGTCGAGGCTTGATTCCGGCGACTCCTGCATTGCCAGGCTCAGCGACGTTTTCCACCCTCACTCATGGAACAGTTTGCTGGCCTTCCGTGGAAGCCTCGTCGCTACAAGCGAGTCCCTTATTGCTCACTTTGTGGTCAAAGATTTACAACAAGTACATACTTTCGCGCACGTATGTCGCAGATAATATGGCTCTTACTCACCTGCTAATGATTGCAGTCATTGAATTACAAGATCAGACTGCTGTTTGGACTCCAGATGCCACTTTTCGGGAAGATGGTCGGACGATCGAGAATCTATACATAGCTATACAAAATTATCCACGACGAAAGGCAAGATATGCGCCTGCGGTCCATAGTATCTGCTTATCTGCTGTAGTCGATCTACCAAAGAGTGTTATAATTTACGATATAGGTCTCGCGATGATACCTCATATTTGGACGACAATACCACGGGAGGCCTACAGGAGTCATGAATTCCTTCAACAATCACTCCACTCGCTAGTTTGCGCCTCAGCCAACCCTCAAATTCCACCCAACGATGACGAATATCTAGAGCTGCTCAGAAGATGCAGGCAACTTCCACCGGAACTCGGGACAATGATCTGGGACTTCATTTCTCCTGGCAGTGTACGCTCGATTCTGGCACTCCAGGCTACGAAACATCTCTGGTCAACCCCTTCCGTTACAAACGGAACTGCGACTCCCTCGTTGTATGGTGACCTTGCTTTATACTACACACATGTCCTGAAGCAGACATACGTGTGTGGCCTTCGTCAGGGAGAAACAGTGTACGGCCACGAAAGCGAACATTCTGCAGCCGTATCAGTCCCTTCCTCGAAAGCGGCAATGATATTCACAATCGAGATTCATGGGCTATCTCAGCTGGCATTTGTGTCGGAAGTACCCAGCGCCAATGTCCGATACTCGGTTCCGTGGAGTCATCTACCCTCAGACGAAAGAGTTGCGTGTAGATCTCAAGTGGGATGCAAGTGCCTGTTCCCGGTTACAGGATCTTATGAATATAGAACTTCAGATTTGCAAAATCTTCGACATCGGCCTTTGTGATAAATAGACATTCGGGCATGACTTCCTCTGGTCATCTATACTTCCTCCTGCCTGCCCCTCTGCGGATTCCTTTTATGATTGGCCGCGGCATGTTGACTTCTCGACCCAGGCTCAGCGACTTATGGAGTATATCCCTCTGCAAAACGAGGAAGGAAAGCTTTACGGACTTACGGCATTTTGCTCGAACGCGGGCATTGTCGGCATTAGAACCCACTTTCGCTCCTGCCCTCATCAACCTTCTCGCGGAGAATCTTCTTCTTCTACCCACTGGTATGGGCGACAGTTCGGTTGCCCTATCCACTTCCGCCTTGATCGTCAAAAAACCATAAGTTCAGTGTTTGTTCTCTGAGAGCAAAATGACTATCTACCCGAGCCTTATCTAGCTGTATGCTGTGTCTCTTCTCGCGGAAGAAGCTGCATACTTACATGGGCCTAGGTAACCACCAGCAAAGACGAAATATACTTTCTCGGTCCCTACATCGAGTCCAGCCGAACATGTACAAAGAGCATATTTCATGCAGACAACGGAGATCTCCAGGGTCTCTACTAGGATAAGTCGCCGGGCATTACCGCATTCACGAGCCTAGGTAGTATTTACCAGCCGCACAGGCACCCCGTTACACTCCAGGTTGTTTCTACCATCCCGCTGCGTCAACACATGAAGCTTATAGATGTCCTTAATCCTCCAAGGTTCTTCTCGCAGGCACCGTTGAGGCATGTCCGATCCCTGGTGGCTTGCTATCCAGAGTCTCGATGTACGGGACTTCTCCTCTGCTACCGCGACGGCACCGAGCGCATCCTGGGCCAGTGGTACGAAGATACCGATAAACGACCAGAGTATGATGCCTTGGCCTCTCGGGATGGCAGTATAATGCGATTTTATCTTGCGCAGGAAGATCGGGATGGTATACTTCTCCGGGTGGGGATTGTGCAGGATGCTGCTGCTGCTGCTCCACAGGCCGATGAGAGATTTGTTGATATGATGGAAGGGGTAAGTATGAGATAGTCACCTTCTTACCGGCTAAGCTGACAACCATTAGGACGAGGCTTACTGGCTGTTCACGGATTATGATGATCTTATATTCGCTGGTTGAGGATCACGGGTGCGTTGTTATTGGGCTGGATAGTACTGGAAACATGCATGGAGTGCAACCGCCCCAAATGTCTGGATTTCTGGATATAAAACTTTTCTGTGTATTTGACTATAGTCCTTGATCAGTAATTGGCGTGTTACGCTTGAGAAGCGCCTTCTAGAACAGTTTGAGAGTATTCTGTGGTAGGTATTCCCTTTAAAGATTTCGTTCTGCGCGTGAATCGCCATGCCAGGGCCGTCTAAATACAGTCTCGAGGGAGGGAGTCGATGAAGCCTTGTCCCCGATTGCCGCTCGCAAGAGCAGGCGCTGATTGTGTATGCTCTAGCAAGTCTCCTCAACTTATCTATACCCATCCTCCAAAGTACGGATGATACTCTTCCCAATCCAGAAAATCCATGAAAGATAACTTTCAACTACTATGTTCATTCTCCAGCGCTGCTCAAGACCGGTATTGTCAATCCTGCAGCTTTACAATCTCTCACACATCGCTCGAATGGGCCACGACTCATCTACCTCAATCCACCGGCGGGTCTGCAATAGAAAAGCAACCGTGTACCGCGTCATGCCAGCGACCGCTGGCCTTGCTGCAACTGTGAGCTCTGGAGATTTGATATCGTGCTTTCCATACAATCTCAGCAGGCGAGGGGCCTCATTCTACTCGCTGTTCCTGACAGCCCAGCTGGTACACGCGAGGATAGTCCTACCCACGCAGTCTATGTCAGTAAGCTTACCTTCAAAGCGGATGGCAGACCCCCTCCCTTGTCTTCTTTCCCAGGGTCTTCCCATCTCCCACCTCCGTTTTCTCCTAGGCCGACTTCCACGGCCCTCGCCAAGCGTGGTATAATACCCTGCCCTGCCGCAGGACTCACGTTTACGTGAGTTTGTATCGTCGAGAATCAACTTTCATCGGCTGCAGAAATGCGTATTTTGGATTTAAAAATCGTTGTGTTAAGACCTAAGTATATGTTTATTTGGAATGGGTTTGTTCAATGTTATAATAGTTAGGGGTAAGGTCGATAGGGGAGTCGGGTATAGTCGCAAAGCTACAAGTGAACCCACTGGACCAGCTAGATATGGCTAGCATACGTACTATGCATGGATTCGTGATTAGCGAACAGAGGACTGGTTCTGGTCGTATGTGGATGGGTTCCGTCTGTTCGGGTGCCCAGAATGCAGAGACGAGTACAACCCCCGAAGACAGAGCGGTGTCATCGGACTCGAGGATATTGTTTATACTCATACGGACAGCTTTCCAGCATGGGGAAGTTGGTAAGGCAAATTCAGCATGATTGCGGATAGAATGGACCATATACTACAACGAAGGTGAGCCAGCATGAACCAAGGTTCCATTGCAAAGTGTTCATAGAGACTGCTAGGGGCCATGGAAGAATCGATATATTGATAAATCCGCCTGGTGGGTCTAAACCCCGCGCATTGCCGACAATCTGGGATATTCTGTATGCTCTAACCAGAAGTGGAAAAGATAAAGGAAACGAGAAAAGAAAAAGATAATTAAACCTCCTGCATGCATGAGACTAGGAGATTAGAACGGAACCAACTCATCATCTTACGTCACAACATAAGTATCCATTCGAAACATCAGAAAAGGGAAAACAAGCAGAGTATCATGATCGAACCATAACCGTACATACGTGACATGTAATCAAGAAGGAAAAGACGTCATTATTCAAGAGTAAAGGGAGAGGAGGAAGGCTGCACGAACGCAGGATGCATGCAGCATTGCGGGTGCAGAAGAGTGGATACAAGGGGGGAATTCGGGGCAATAGAGATATCATAATATTGGAGACGAAACGATGCCGCTCCATTCGAGGTTATTCCTGGATGAGTCCAGCAGCTGCGATCGAACATTCTCAGCTTTTGATTGCTCAAATCTCACTGTGCAAGATTCGCTCCGGACTCACCGCCAGCTTGCGTTTGGGGTTCAGTATTCTGTTGACTGGAGGAGCCTCTCCGGTGGAACGGGTGGGGGTGGAACCCCGAGAAATGGAACACCTTGCGGACGGCACTGGCGACGCCGGAGCGGCGTTTCGACTCGGGCGATGATGGCGCCCGGTCCCCGCCTGCTGTTGCCGCCGTCGTGGTGCTGTCTTCTGGTCGGCGAGGGATGGTCGCGTCGTCCTGGAGAACAATCGAGGTCTGGGTCGGTTTGGGGGGCCATTGGCCGTCGGCCTTCCAGCCTTGGACCATGGCTTTGGTGACGTCGGCGAGGTTGATAGGGACGGTGGGCGTGAGGCCCTGGATGACGACTTTGGAGTAGATGGAGGGGTACATGGCTGGCGTGATGGAGGCGCGGATGGGATTGGTCCCAGAGATCAGCGAGGGGACGACGGGAATGAAGGGCTCTTCCAGTGTTCGAAGCGGCTGTTGCGCTTGCGGTTGTTCCGAGGATGAAGTCTCCGTGGTGGCGCTGGAGGTCTCTTTCTGCGGGCCCGGTTCGGTGATGATGGTTTCCGTGGACGCAGTCGGGTCCTTCTTGTCGTCCGCGACCGTTGACGGCTCAGCCTCCTCGCCGTCCAGCTGCGCCAGGTTCTTCGGCTCTCCAAGACTAAGGGCGGCTTCTGTCCTGGTGACAAGGTCGCTTGTCGGAGACCTTGGCGGGCTCTGTACTGCCGCGTCCGATGACGATAACGAGGACTCCGTTGCGTGCCCCTCCTCCTGCTGCCGTTGATGCTTTTTCAGGGTTTTGGCGCGGATCTCGTCCTTGGTGTGGGCTCCCGACCACGCATCTCGTCGCTCCACCCACGCTCGCAGCCCTTCGTTCCAGCGCATCTCCTCCTCCATCTGGCGGCGGCGTTTGCGCCGGCGCTCCGAATCATCGCCCAGGGGTGTCGTGATCGGGCTGGAGATCTCCGACGGCGTGAAGCCCGGCAGCTGCTGGACATCAGCGGGATTGATGGTCGGGGAGGACTGGGGTTCCAGTTCGGAGCCGGAACTGTCGTATTCGCGCAAGCGCCATTCGAGCACGTCCTGCTCCGGCGTGGGCGGTGATGAGAACGAGGGGATGCCGTATTCGGGGGACAGTTCGAAGACCCAGTCATTTCGCACGGTGTCGCGGACATATTGCTTGGCCTCTCGGATGGCCGCATCACGGGCCTCGGTGGTTGACATGGTGGGTAGGTGGGTGAGTGCAATGTGACAGGTCGAGCAGAGGGGTAAAAATAGAAGCTGCGGGGAAAAATTCAGGATGACTGGCGACAATCCCGAGGAAGATTTAGCTCAGACCAGAAGATTGAAGCCTGTCAAAAGAGATGAGAGAAAATGGCGACAAAAACTGACCCGAGAACAAAATAGACTGAGACCAGAGGAATGAAGGAAAACCTGGTGGAGAGTTTGAGGGGGGGGGGGGGGGGAAGATTGTAAGTTGCAACTGAGGAGGAGCCGAAAAGGTTGGCTGATCCAAAGGCGGCGGCGGTTCGTCGATGTCATTCCGAGGTCGAGCCCCTTCAGGTTCAGTAGCTCGATTACTTCTTCCGGAAGTACTTACCTGTACATCCACTTCATATTATTGAATACCTCAAATCCAGACATTTGTATGTACCAAGAATCAAAACATTCTATTCCAGAAGATAGCAGGTATCTGCAATATTGTTACAGGTTCATGTCGCTAATTAGTGTACAATTGGTCGTCATTGCCTGCCTGCCCTTCCATCCCAGTCCGCTCCAGTCCGAAACCTCCAAAACCATATAGTAGAGTGAAATAACAGTTAATCTATACAAGAATGCTCATCGAAGCCCTCCGGTCAGGTCCGTACGCGCGCAGCCTCTTCGGCCGCCGCTGATGCGTCCGCGGGAGCCGGGATAAATCCCCAGCCGGGACTCTTCTTCCGCCGTCCTTTGCGATCACCATATTGTTCATCGAACTTCCGGATGGCGGACAAAGATGCCATGTCCTCGCTGATGGATGCACTGATTTCCTCCATCCCCCGTTCAAAGTGCTTCCAGGTCAACGTGCGTCGAGCTGGGTACTGGTAGGGCTCATTGCCTTGGTGCTGTGCCGCCAGTTCGTTTTCCTCTCGCACACAGGCCAATGCGGCAGCCACTGAAAGGTTCTTCAAGTCAGAACCTGAATACAGCGGAGTGCGGCGCGCCAACTCCGCAAGGTCGATTGTGCTGTCGAGAAGTTCGTCCTTCAGATGGATCTTCAAGATGGCCTGCCGATCCTGCTCAGTCGGAAGATCAACCAGAAGGCGGCGGGGAAGACGTCGCAGAACAGCATCATCAAGATCAAAAGGTCGGTTCGTGGCAACCATGATGAAGGCAGAGAGGTCGTTCATCCCGTCCCACTCGCGCAGGAACTGATTGATGAGCTCCCGGTGCGAGGTACGGCTGCTGGCACGGGTCCGAGAGCAAAAGATGGCGTCCGCCTCATCAATGAAAACGACACATGGGCTGAGCTTCTTCGCGAGCGTAAAGATGGCCTTGACGTTCTTCTCACCTTCACCCACGTACATGTCATAAACTTCCGAGCCGCTGACTTCAAGAACGGTGGCACCACTCTCGCGGGCTACAGCCTTGGCCAGGAGTGTCTTACCGGTTCCAGGCGGCCCGTAGAGCAGTAGACCAGGAATCTTGTCCGTAGCCAGAACACCGTAGGTGAACGCCTCGGGGCGGATCAGAGACAGCGAAGTCAGTGTTTTGAGGGCGTCGATAGTTTCTGGAGGCACATGAACGTCCGAAAACGTGGTCCGGATACTCTGCGCATCAACAACTCCGTTCAGCAGCTTCTTCTCATATGAGTTGCACGTCTTTCGTAAAGAGCTCAGCAAGCGCTCCCGGTCGCCTGCTGCGCCTCCTGCTTTAGCTTTGGGCGCCTTTTCTTGCAGCCAGTCTTTCTTGGCCCGTTCGCTCTGCTGTGTCATTTCAATGCCTCGACGAACGTGCTCAAAACCAAACTGTTCACCAGCCTTGAGAGAGCCGAGTGCCAGCGTGCAGACCCAGTGGACTTGGGAATAAGACCAATACCGCTCTTCCAAGCCACTCTGTTCCACAAGAGACGAGTCCAATGGCCAGGCACGATCACGGAAGAGATCATCCTTGAGTGCGGCGGCTTGTTCGTGCAGTCGCGTGCGAAGCATGTCCTGAATGTGGCGGATGTTGATATCTAACGTCCGCTTCCGTTGGTCCTCTGCAAATGTACGCGCTGCCGCCTCCGAGCTCATGTCAGGCGTGACAAGCAGCACTTGAGAAAACTGGTCATCGGGAGCATTCTGCATTAGTCGAGAGGAATCTGCACCAGGTGCGGCTTCCTGTGCCATCGTCCCAACAAACAAGACCCGGGATCCGGCCTTGCGCTTTTCTTCAATTGCTTTCCGCAGGATGATTATGAACTTGGCGCCTTCGCGAGTATCCTGAATCTCGTCGTAGTCCTGGACCTGGACGATGACATCGCGAGCGGCTGGGGTCGCTTCGGGCTCGGAAACCGCCGGTTTTACGGGCGCGTCGCCGTCCGCCTCTTTCAACGCCGGTGGTGCAGGCTTCCTACTAGAGGGGGAAATGAGTTGACGGGCAAGCCGAAGTCGTCTACTTTCTGGTCTCGATGCGGCGTTCGCGCCATCCGCTGCCGGATTGAACAACTTCAACCTAGATAGTACGTCATGGATTTCTCCAGACGATCCTAAGATGAATCGTTGACCAACTGCCGGAAGATCGGATGATGAGTGCAATGGTTGCAGATTTTCGTCATCGTTGTCGGCCTCACTCGAATCCACTCCATCTTGTGAAGCCTCCGGCATAGTAGGTCGATATACATCATAGCCCAGGGAACGAATCGCATCGGTTTTCCCGGTATCCGTCAGATCCTGTTCGCTGCATAACTCTGCGATGTCCTGTGCGTTCAGCGTCACCAGGTCTGCGCCAACCTCCTGAGCCAACCTCTTGACTACCGCGTCCAGAAACAAAATCCCATCTGCACCCGGATACTGCAGAACCAAATGTGACTTCCGGGCTGAGGGTTCTTGGGCGTACCTTGCCGGCGGCAGACGCATACCAGCGCGTGCAGATGCACACAGCTCCTCCCACATGGCATCCGTCAAGGCGTAGCGGTTCTCTTGCGGCGTAGACTCGTCCGAGGCCGGTGGGCCCTCGCCATCACCACCTTGACCGAGCCTTTCGACTGAGGACGCTTTCTCCGCGTTGAGATCCGACGGTGACCGAATCTGCACTTGTTGTACCGAGACTCCGGCATTTTCGCCCTTCCCATCATGAACGACGATGTTGCGCTGACGAAACCACTCTGGTACCGTAGTGACGGGAACAGTTAATTGCGCTGACGCTTTCCGGTTCCTCATTACCCTCCGAAGAGCTGAACCGTAGGGCTTATCAGTCTTGTTTTCATGCTGCTCCGACGCCGGTTTGGTCTCGGAGGTATCGCGGTGGGCGAGGTCTGGTTCAGCATTTAGGGTCGGAATGTCACCGGTGACGGTATCTTTCGCCGAGTCGCGAGGGTCCTGAGGGTCAGATGGGGTGGATGAGAGCCATGCTGGCGAGGGATGGAATCGGCGTGAATGGGCGAGGATTGCGGCGGGAAAGCGGCGATGGGCGATAAACCGACAGGGTCGCGCCAGAGACCAAAGGAACCTGCCTTGGGGCATTGGCGGATACATCCAGGGTGAGCGAGGCCACCAGATTGTGAGGTACGGAAGAGAGTGCTAATGCTGCACCAAAGCCTTCGTCTGCATCGGCGGTGAAGTTGCGACCACGGAGTAGGAGCCCGAACAAGGACTTTCTACCTGGTCCGCCTCCTGCTGGGGCGGAGAGCAAAAGTGACATCACGTGACAGTGCCGTGATCTGCAATCTACGCGCTGCAAAAGCACCTGTCGAAGATTAGCACCGCGCGACCAATGATGGCAGTGGAGCATGCTATTAATAATGCGCTGTAGTTATAGATTGACTGTTTGATGCTTTATATGGGGCATTTGGCAAAGACTCTTCACGAGGAAGAATGGATGTGTCCTACAACAATGCTTGATTTATGCTCAAACAGGCGATGCTGGAATCAGGAGATTTGAACAGCGGACTGGCTCCAATCAACCCGTGCTACAAAGGCAAGGTCATCACCGACAGGTACGAGATCCAGGAGTATGGCGCCGAATCCCAGTGCCTGGATCGATAGACGTGGCGTTATGCAGACTGATATCAGTGCCAGATGGCATTCTACAAAATGATTACAAAAGAAATAGTTGTTTAGCATGTTCGAGTGAGACAAGTATCTTGAATTTCATTGTATCTGAAGCTATTTGTCCAGAACCCCACGTGCATGAGGATGATCGGCGATCCGCCGACATCCTGATGCCACTCCGTTGTTCGACGTCATTTCGGAAAGCGGTAGAACTACTATAGCATACATTAGCCAAGGGTTCAACGAACTTCATTGTACAACGAGGTTCGCGTGAATCAGACAAGCCATGATGCAAATTGTTTCTCAGACCAAATATACTGGCAAGTAGCAGACCAACCGGGAAAGGGAGGTCCGAACTGTCTCCTCATGGACGATTCAGAAGGTAAAGAAGAGAAAAAGGTTTTATCATCTTCGAAACAATTCGCAAGGCGACGAATGGGCATGGAGGAAAGGGGGAGAGGGGACTAACCTGCTGCGAGTGGCAGATCTGCGGAGGTGACCTGATCTGTTAGCGACGTTGGATGGTCTGATTGTCAGAACCAAGAGATATCGAGCATGAGATAAAGACTGTTCCCCTGCCTGCAAGGGATCAGAATTCACAATCATATTCAAGACAGCATCATGTCTGTTCGGCTTTCCAGCTTTCCAGCTTTCCAGCTGAGTTTTCACTCTGGTCGAAAGTGTGTTGAGAAGATGAAAAAAAGAAAGCAGAAAACTAACCAGCGGACATAAGTAGTAGAAAAAAAAAGTAAATGCCCACTACGGAACAGCATTGATCCGGACGCCACGTGATAGAGGCACCTTGCCTGATCGAGGTGTTAGCGTGACTCTGGACGAGGCGCGGACGGCGATTCGCCGATCGGAAGGAAAGAGGAAGAAAAGGCGGAAAAAAGGCCTCATATACCCAGCGAGAAGAGAGAAATGCGATACAGAGAGACACAACGAGAAGAACAATCTCGCTGCGAAAAAAAAAAAAATATCATAAGAATAATACTTTATCATCCCACCCCATGGCCATATGCTCTTTACTCTGACTGAAGTCGACTTCTTGTTTTTTTGCCCTCTTTGGAATTTTTTTACATACGACTCCCACTGTTATCGTTGGTCTATACCTCCGTAGTCAAATGGAATAACTCTTGTCGACTGCTGCTGCCAACACGTCCAGTTCTTGCAATCGCGCGGTGCCTGCCTGCCTGCCCTGTCGGTCCGTCTCTCTTCCCTCTCTCGCTCTCCTGCTCTTCCCTCTTCCCCGTCTCTCTCTCCCCCCCCAGTCTCAAATCGCTCTCCTCCCCTCTCATTCTTGTCCTGGTCAGTATCTCCCTCTAATCCTGTTTTTCTCTTTCCCTCTCTGCATTTCCCTTCATCGCTCTCTCTTTTTTTGCGCGCTCTATCTTTCTATCGGCCCCTAAAAGTGGTGGTGGTTGTGGTGGTAGCAGCCCCTCCACACTTCTTCCTCCCGCCTCCCCCTAACTAACTAACCATTAAGTCTAATTCCCGTGTATGCACTATTGTTGTATTCTCTATCCCATTCCTTTCCTTTCTGTTCCCTGCGCGTTTCCATTCTCTCCCAGGACGGCCTTTAATCTTCCCTTCTAATCGCGTCCTGCCTTCTGTCACCCGCCTTATTCCCTACCCTTTCCCCTCCCAACCTCCCGCCTCTTCCTCGCCTACACCCCCCTCCTCCTTGTCTCTTGTTTCCTCCAAGTCTTCAATCACACCCTTTCTGACTAATCTCTGCTGACGCTACAGGAATTGTGCAGAACAAGGAATTCTACCTTTCCCTCCCCACCGATCTGGCGGGCAACAGGTGATTAGGCCGGTCCGATCCATGCTGCAGATCTTGGGTGGTCCTGGACGATACCGACGCAGGCTCAATCGCCTGTCAGCTGCGTCTTGGCCTCCGCTCCGGCACTAAAAGCGGCCCTGTTGTGCCCTCCACGTCAAGCGCGCTCGTCGTTCAGTCCCGACGTCCGCCTCTTTCGGTCTCCCCAGAAAACCCTCTCTCTCTCTTTCTCTCTCTCCCTTTTTCTTTCCTCTATTTACCTCCTCCTTTCTCTCTGCTGTCGGTCGCTTTATCGCTCAGCCTTTCGCCCCGGCTGACTCCTTTTTGAACTTTTCCGCCTCTTTCACCGACCCCGAGGAGTCCCGTTATCGGCGGCTTCGTAGCACAGCGATGATGATGGCGCAACCGTTTCCCGCCCCTCAAGGCATCCCGCAGCATCATACTTTACCGCCAGGTCATCCAATGGCTCCTGGTCAACATCCCAATGCTCACCCCGGGGCCGGAATGGTGCAGGCGGTGCACCCAGGTGTGTCGGCTCCCGGAGGGCCTCAGGTCAGCCAAGGTGGACCTATGATGGCAGGCATGCCCCCAGGTGCTGGAACAACGGGGCCTGGAGGGCCAGTGCAGGCTCATGCTCTCTCCCATCTGGGTCCGGCACAGGCACACATGTTTCAGCAGCCTCATTTTGCCCAACAATGTAGGTTCCTTTCTGGTCGCTCGGCGGCTTCGTAAATCGTGCTTTGACTGGACAGTACTGCATCTCACTGGCCAATAATGATGGTTCTTTGCTAACTCACTATACCCCGAGCTAGTTGCCGGTAACCCACAACTTATGCACCCGCAGCAGCAACAGGCAATGATGAGGCAACGTCTGATTCTCCAGCAACAACAGCAGCAGCAGCAGCAGCATCAGCAGCAACATGGTGGACTTCCGGTATCGTTACCCAACGGCAATCCTGCCGGCCTAACTGCCGCTCATGTCGCCGCCATGCAAGCGAATCAAGGAATGCGACCCGTGAATATGCAGATGCAGATGCAGCAAATGCCCCACGGACAAGCGCAGAATATCCAACAGCAGCAGCAGCATCTCTTCGCCATCCAAGCGGCCCAAGCGCAACAAGCCCAGCACGTACAACAGGCTCAACACGCGCAGCAGGCACAACAGGCTCAGCAGGCTCAGGCCCAGCAAGCGCATCAAGCCCAGCAAGTCCAGCAGGCGGCCACCCCGGTTCAACCTGGCCAGCAGACTCCGCAGCAACGGGCAGCCGCGCAACCGCAGAGCGTGCACGATGCACAAAGCGCAACGCCGCAACCCCAACCTGGCCCCCCACCACACCAGGGGAGCGCGACTCCGCAACCGAATCCGTCGCAGATACCCACCACCCAGCCCCCGCAGCCGCAGCAGCAGCCTCCCGCTCCACAGCCGCAGCCCACCCCTAATCCGCCTCCGCAACAACTGCCACAGTCGCAGCAGCCTGGTCCTCAACAGCAAACGCCGCAGCAGCCACAACCACCACAAAGTCAGCAGGGGTCTGTACAGGGACAACAACAACCTCCCATGATGTCCCAAGAGGCACAGCTGAAGGCGGCGCAGCAGCAGCAGCAGAATCCAGCCACGATGATGATGCAACAGCAGCCACGAATACCAATGAAAGGGGCCGCAATTCTCCACCTGAATAGCTTCGCAGAACACCTGAGCAGCTTCCAAGTATGTTCTCGCATCACCATCGCGCCCTAGGAAGAGCGATGCTAACATGTTACAGAGCCGCGGTGAGGCACACGATCTCGCCTACTGGCAACAATTCGTGGGCCGGTTTTACGCTCCTGGAGGCGTCTTACGTCAGGGCGTCTACAACCATCAGACGGGTTCGAAGCAATTCGAGATTGGCACGGTCGCACTGCCTCGCTACTACTACACCCAATTCACGAGCGGTATCCGCCATATCCAGATGGTTGTGGAGGGGGCTCGGGAGCGGGACTTGCCGAACGGAGGTCACGTTGTGGAGAGCCCCAGAACTTCCTTCATTTACTGGTTCACCAACGATACTCAGGTCGGCACTTTTATCACTGGATCTAAACTGAAGAAAACTACTGACAGCGAATCTAGCTCTTTGCCAACGGAACGATGACGGCACATTTTGACATGAACAACAAGATCGAGATGCTAGATATCGTTATGTTGAATCATACCGAGTATCTGCCTCGCACCCAGCTACAGGCCCTAGAACAAGCAGCAGCAGAACTACCAAAGCAGAGTCCCAAGGTTACCAAGAATTCAGGCAAGCGTGGCCAGCAGAAGCAGCCGCCACCGCCCGCGGCTACCTTGCCCGAATCAATGGTGACTTTGAACGGTGTACCGGGTGCTGTCATGCAATTCATGGAGGTGTGTTTCACCCCTCAGCACCCCCTAGGCTATACTGATATATTTCATGATGTAGGTCTCGGAGACGATCGCATCTATGCAATTCTTGATGCAGTTCTCCCAGCAAAACCCTCAATTGACACCGTGGGAATCGTTGCGCAACCTGGTGAATTCGATGCAGAACCAAGTTCCTAATCCTGCCTTCATGCCCCTCCAAATGAACCCGGCCATGCAACAAGGTCAGCCCCGCGCCCCCAGCATGAGCGCTCCGAACCAATTCGCCTCCCCAGCCATGGCTCATCTGGGTCTACCCCCTGCTCAAGGGTCTCCCCATCTGAGTGTCTCTGGTCATCCCAGCCCTGCACCAACCCACCTGGCCGGACCTCCGATGCCGCAGGGTCAAGTGCAGGGCAATGGTCCGCAAGTGACCAGTGCAAGTGCCAGTCCCAACGTGGGAACCAAGCGGCGTCGGGCCAGCACGGTGAAGGTGGAAAATGATGATAATGGACCGGATTTGAACGGGGCGCCGGGACCTGTGCCAGCCAAGGTGAAGGCCAGTCCACGCGTGGGCGCGAAGAAGCAAAAAGGGGGCGCTTAGTCTTAGAGTAATTGTGGTTTGGGTTACTTTTTGTCGCTTGTCATCTCATATCATTGCAGTCTCACCAGGCGGGAATCGGCGTACCTTGAGGATACTGTGCGAGGCTTCTCTTTCTCCGATGCTTTTCTTCTCATCTGCCGGTGTCTTTTTTTCTTTGTCTCCTTGGCCGCCATTGAACATACGTGCTGGGTTCGGGTGCTATATGCTATTGTTTCTGCGGGGCTGGATCGATATGGTTCAGGTTTCAATTGCAATTAGAAAGTCAACAGGCTTGATTGACACGGCGTCTTTTGAGTCGGTTGTGCCTGTGATTGAACCAGACGACCTTGCATCTAGACCCGATCATTGTCCGGGCAGTTCTTCCGTTTTTTTTTTCTCCCTTTTCTTTTTGCTCTATTTTATTCTCCTTCCATCTCTCACAGCGTTCTGTGGGGGTTGACGTGTGTATGAACGTCGTTGCAGTGAATGTTGTGCTTGTGGAGCTGCTTTATTTGATATCCACCTTACCTGGGCGATTGACGTGATCTTGCTTTTTCCTCTGTCTCTCTCTCATTTCTTGTCTCTTACATCTTGTTATGTTCCAGGCGTTTGGGATATTTTGGGAAGATAATGTGTTGATAGTTGCGTTGCTGCATTGTTGTGTAAGAGAGCATTTCAATTTCAATTTCAATTTCAATTCCCATCTCTCAATACAAGTTACCTAAGTTAGCCGTCGGATCTGGGCGCCAATCGGGGCAGGGCATCGGCAGTCGCCGTGCAGCCCCTCCACCGCCCCGCCATTAACTTGGTACTTACTCAGTAGATCTACTAATAGCAACTCACCTGCCTCCTCCGCCAACCTGAACTCGCTATCTTTTTATCTTCTCTCGTCTTTTTTCTTCTCTTCACTTTCCATCGTCTTCGCTCCGGGTTTGTTCAACCCTCCACAACCACACATCATGTCTCACTCTCACTCCCACGACACTGGCGTCAGCCACTCCCACGACGATGTCACCGGCGGCCACGGCCACTCGCACGAGATCCTCGACGGACCGGGATCCTACATCAACCGGGAGATGCCATTGTCGGAGTCCCGGGACTGGAAAGACCGTGCCTTCACAATTGGAATTGGCGGGTAGGTCTATCTCCTCTGCGAATGACTTATGTGTCTAATTCAGGGGATTTTGCTCTCAAATCTAGACCCGTCGGATCCGGCAAGACCGCCCTGATGCTGGCGCTCTGCCATGCCCTGCGAGACGAATATAACATTGCGGCTGTGACCAACGACATCTTCACGAGGTAGGTTGCGTTGCGTTACTTCCCCTTTCCCTTAGTCCCCCACAAACCCCCCACCCCGCCCAAATCTCTATTCACACAACCCGGCCACAAAACAGAGAAGACGCCGAATTCCTCACCCGCCACAAGGCCCTGGCGCCCAACCGCATCCGCGCCATCGAGACGGGCGGCTGCCCGCACGCCGCCGTCCGCGAGGACATCAGCGCCAACCTGCTGGCCCTGCAGTCGCTGCACAAGCAATTCCAGACCGATCTGCTGCTGATCGAGTCCGGCGGCGACAACCTGGCGGCCAACTACTCGCGCGAGCTGGCCGATTTCATCATCTACGTGATCGACGTCGCTGGCGGCGACAAGGTGCCCCGCAAGGGCGGGCCGGGCATCACCGGCAGTGACTTGTTGGTGGTCAACAAGTGCGATCTGGCGGCCATCGTGGGCGCCGATCTGGGGGTCATGGAGCGGGATGCTGCCCGCATGCGGGAGGGCGGGCCCACGGTCTTCGCTGAGGTGAAGAATGGGAAGGGGATGCAGCATATTGTGGGCTTGATTTTGAGTGCGTGGAAGGGGTGCGGGGCTTATGAGGAGTGTGTGAGGAGGTGGAAGGCGGGCGGGCAGAGGGGGTCGGGGAGTGTTGATGCTTGAACTTTCATCTCTCGTGTTGCTTTTCGGGGGGTGTGAGGTTGAGATTATTGTGAAGGGGGGGAGTGGAGGTGGACTTTGGGTAGTTTGGCAGTGTTGCCCGTTGATATGTATATGATGATGATCGTTTATTTGCACATTTCTATAGGATATATATATTCAGAGACTAAGCACTTTTTCTTTTCTTGCTTCTCATCCGCTAAAAACCTCAACGCCGGGAATATGCAGCCATTAAAAACAAGAATACAACAGCGATGGAAGCCCGACGCTCCAACCACCAGGGTATCTGAGAGCTCAAAGTCGCAGGATGAACACCCCACCACAACCCCAAACAGTAATACATACACGAAACAGATGAGCTAGAAAGTAGATATATGTTCTTCTCACATCTCCTTCTTCGCAAAGCGAGCCAGAGCAGGCCCCAGCTCCTGTCGCTCGGCCCGCAACTTGTCCTTGGCCCGCGCGGTGCGCTCCTTGTGCAGCAATTCCGCCTTGACCCGCTTCTCGTCGATGACGTTGCGGCGGCCCTTCTTCCGGAGGTACTTGCGCAGGGCGCTGTTGCGGCCGCGGCCGCGGTTCTTGAGCTTCTCCATGGGGTCCTCGGGCTTGCGGTCGAGGTCGCGCTCCTCGCGGTTCTTCTGATCGCGGATCGTGTCCAGCTTGCCGATGAAGCTGGGGTCGAGCGAGATCATGTCCGGCTGCAGCTTGTGGAGCAGGCCGCGCACCTCCGCCTCCTGGCGCTGCTTGGTGTTCTCGTAGGGGTTCGCCTCCAGGGCGTCGAAGTTGGGCTCGCCCGCGCCGGGGACGATGATGCTGGCGAAGCCCTGGTCGTGGCCCACGCCCAGCACATCCTCGAACGGGCACCAGCGCATGTTCTCGATGCGCTGCCCGTCGCCGCCCCACGCCATGTAGGGGCTCTGCACCTTGCCCTGGTCCGCCTGCGCCGCGTCGAACAGCCCGCGCCACACGCTGACCTGCGTGCCCCAGCCCACCGCCGTCAGGTTGCGGTCGCTGATCGCCACCGACGCCCCCGGCTGGTGGCACGAGTACGAGTGCACCTCCCGGAACATCCGGATGTCCCACACGTTCATCTTCTGGTCCTGGCCCGTCGACACCATGTACCGGCCCTGGCGGTCGATAGCCATCGACCGCACCGGGCCGCGGTGCACCAGCGCCTTCACCAGCGCCGTTTGCGAGTTCGGCGACCACAGCGTCACGCTGCCGTTCTGGTGGCCGACGTGCAGGATGGCGTTCCAGGGGTTCTGGGCGAGGGAGGTCGGCGCTCCCATGCGCGTGGGAAGCTCGGCCACCATTTGACCGGTCGAGGTGTCGGTGTATTTGAGGTAGCCGCTCATTTGCTAATGGTTTTGAGATATTAGTCTAGGACATTGAATCAAGGCCTCGAAAGATACTTACCGCGCTAGCGAGAAGGAAATGGTAGGGCAAGAATTCGAGGAAGAGCGGCTCGAGGTGCTTGTTCAGACAGTGCAGCTCCACACCGGCGTGATCGTAGATGTAGACGGATCGCTTCTGCGCGACGGCGAAGTACTGGTTGTTGTGCAGCCACCGGGCATCCCGGACGGTCTCGTTCAGCTGCAGCTCGCAGCCCAGCTTGCCGTTCCGCCAGTCCATCGTCGCAACATGGCCCTTGCGGCCCGCCAGCAGCAGCTCGCGGCCGTTCCTCGTATAGTCACAGCGGTAGGGGCCCATGTCGGTCAACTTCAGCTCGAACCCCTTCTTGGCCGTCTCGATGCCCACGTTATCCCGGATATCGCTCTGACGCACCTTGTACGTCCGCTCCAACTCGCCCTCGGTCTCGATGAATCCGGCCTCGTGCTCCAGCAGGATCTCCGCATCCTTGGCCCGGAGCGCGGCCTCCTTGAACTTGGCTTCGACGGCCTTCAGGTTGCTGCGCAGCTTCTTGTCCCGGATGCTGTGGGTGTGAATGCCCTTGCCGCGGCCGTAGGTCTTTTGCGCTTCCATCACTCTTTTGCTTTCCTTGCGCTTGTTGGGGTTGGCGTTGGTGTTGGCCGTCGGCGCAATGGCCTTTGTCGGCGTGGATTCCGACATTGCGGGCGGTGGGAGGTGAGCGCTGAGGATTCTATGAAATCCGGTGAAGAGAGGTCTGGGTGAGAAATTTCCTCTAAGCTGTCGAAAGTTGACGTTTGACTTGAGGACCAACAGTCACTTGCGATCTGCAATAAAAATCCGAGCCGAACTTTTCTTTTTCTGCCGGTCGGATCCCTCGCTTGTGTCTCCACCGCCTTATTTTTTTCTTTCCTCTTCCCCAGACCAAAAGTCAACAATCGGGCCCGATTGGATTGAGTCTCAACCTCAGGCTCTTTTAGCTCTTTCTTTTGGCTCTTTCTCTTTGCTTCTGGAAGACGGACTCTTCTGCAGGCTCACGAATAACTGCGAATCTCCCACGCTGGCCTCTCTTCCCTTCCGGTTCAAAGCGCCCAGCGGTGCCAACATGGCGCCCACTCAAGCGGTGCAACACCACCACCGCTCCACCACCAAATCCTCCAACAAGCCCTACAAGACTCGCCATGCCTCGAAGAGTGCTCTGAAAGATAAGGAGAAGGGTGCGTCTATCTACCTACATATCTATCGTTCTACCAAATAAAACTTCCCGGGCCGCTAAAATATCATCTTCAGGCAAGGTTGAAAGGCCCGAGCGGGGCACCCGCAAGACCCCTCACCAACAGCTCATGTCGAAACTCGATCGGAGGAACCAGGCTCGCCAGAAACAGCAGCTGAAACAACAGGAGAAGGCTCAGTCGACCAGCATTTTCTCCGGCCAGAACGGCGCCCCCCGCCATGTTGCCGTTGTGCCGCTCTCCGTCGATATCGATGTCGCCGCCGTCATCCAGTCCCTGAACGAAAGCGTCGACGTCTCCGCCGATGTCTCCGCCGATCAGATCTCTCGTGTGCGCGTCGAGCGATTCCGCCAGAGCCTGCAGTACATTCCGGCCAAGTACGACCTCATGAGCGCGCTGGATGCGTGTCGGATGGCCGATTTCGTGGTGCTCGCGCTTTCCTCCCAGGTCGAGGTGGAGGAAGAGGGAGAATTGCTGCTTAGATCCATTGAGGGTCAGGGTATCTCCAACGTTGTTGCTGTGGTTCAGGTGCGTCTTTACGTTCCACGGGTGGTGTATGGCTCACGTGCTAATGATATCCGTTCATAGGGCCTTGATAAGATCAACCCACCGAAGAAGCGTCCCCAGGTTGCGGCATCCCTCAAGTCTTTCGTTAGCCATTTCTTCCCCTCCATCGAAAAGGTTCTCTCCGTGGATTCTCGTCAAGAATGCTCCAACGCGGTTCGCTCCTTGTGCACGGCCGCCCCCAAAGGTATCCGTTGGCGCGACGAGCGCAGCTGGATGCTCATCGAAAATGTGCAATGGCCCGAGAACAGCGCCGAGGTTGTGGACGATGTGGTCGTGACCGGTGTCGTGCGCGGAAAGGGCCTGAAGGCCGATCGCCTTGTTCACATCCCCGGCTGGGGTGACTTCCAGGTCGACTCTATCACAGCAGCTCCTCTCGCGACGGCGCGAAGCAAGCGGGACGATGCGATGAACGTGGATGACAACGAGGCCCCGCAGCTCTTGGACTCGCCTACGGCGGATCACGACGACATGGCCACTGTTGCTCCCGAAGAGATCGAGATGGAGGACGACGAGTACTCCTTCGCTGGGGAGGAGCGCAAGGGTGTCCTCCTGGACGACCACCACTATTTCTCCGAGGATGAGGAAGACAGCCTGCCCAAGCCCAAGAGACTGCCCAAGGGTACTTCCAAGTATCAGTCCGCATGGTTCTTGGACAACATCTCCGACTCGGGATCCGACTGGGAGGATGAGGAGGACGTTGCGATGGGTGACGATACGATGGACACTGCCGGCGCCCCTGAGGACGGTGTGTTCCCAGACCACGGGGATGCCATGACAGAGGCTGGTCCCTCGGAATATCCCCAGTCCGAGATGTTCGTTGATCCGTCGCCCGAGGATGATGCCCGACAGCTGGAGGAATACCGGGCCAGCCGCCGCAACGAGGCCGAGGAGGACCTGGAGTTCCCTGACGAGATCGAGCTGCACCCCAACGTTCTCGCCCGCGAGCGCTTGGCCCGCTTCCGTGGTCTGAAGAACTTCAAGACCAGCCCGTGGGAGACCTCCGAGGACCGCGCGCACGAGCCCGAGGACTGGCGCCGACTGCTCCAGTTCGCCGACTACAAGGGCGCGAGGAACAAGTTCCTCCGCGAAGCTCTCGTCGGCGGCGTCAACCCCGGCGCGCGGGTGGATGTGCACCTGCGCGCTGTGCCCGCTGCCCTCCGCAACCGCCCGCAACCCCTCTCCCTCTTCTCGCTGCTGCGTCACGAACACAAGCACACGGTGGTCAACATCAACATGCACCTCAACTCGAGCGTCGAGGAGCCCCTCAAGTCCAAGGAGGAACTGATCGTCCAGTACGGCCCGCGCCGCCTGGTCGTCAACCCGATCTTCTCCGCGGGCGACAACACCCCCAACAACGTCCACAAATTCGACCGCTTCCTGCACCCCGGCCGCAGCGCCGTTGCCACCTGGATCGGCCCCTTGACCTGGGGCGCGGTGCCCGTGCTCGTCTTCAAGAACAAGAAACCCGCCGCCGCCGAGGACCCGGAGGAGATGGCCGACGCCGTCGACGAGGCAGAAGAAAGCCCCCGTCTCGACCGCCTCGAGCTCATTGGCAACGGCACCGTCATCGCCCCGGACCAGAACCGCGTCGTGGCCAAGCGCGCCATCCTCACGGGCCACCCGTACAAGATCCACAAGCGCGTCGTCACCGTGCGGTACATGTTCTTCAACTCCGAGGACATCCAGTGGTTCAAGGCCATGCAGCTGTGGACCCGCCGCGGCCGCAGCGGTTTCATCAAGGAGTCCCTCGGTACGCACGGTTACTTCAAGGCCACCTTCGATGCCAAGATCAATCCACAGGATTCCATCGGTATCAGTCTGTACAAGCGGGTGTTCCCGCGCAAGGCGCGGACTCTGGAGGAGGTGGTCTACTAAGCTTACCTACTTTCAGGCGTGTTGGGTTTCTTTCCTTGGTTAGAATTGCCCAGGGGATGCTAGGGGTGTGCGAGAGAGCACGAGATAGATTATCTATGATACCACCGAACCTTTCTTTTTTTTGCTTTTCGAGGCATATGAACCATTGATGATGATGCCTATGCCTGTGGATCTTTCTTAAACTACAGTCATCAATTTACAACAAAAAGTACAGTACATCTTGTTGCGTTGAACATTTCTCTTCCCTTGGCAGGATAGTTATAGATAGCAGGTCAGGCTTTAATGATGAGTTACGAGATTTGCGTTCTTCTCTTCCTTCTCTTGGTCTTAGGTCCTTGTCCATTGTTGGATTCTCACAAGTATATCATATTCAAAATTCATGGCCCTGACTACGGAGTAGTTACAGTAACCATATGGCTACCTATTACTGGATCAATGCCTCGCCACGTGACCCCAATCTCCCGATCCAGAGTCCAGCACTGTCAACCGAATAAAATAGTTCTGCCACCCCTCCCCGCCCGATAAGCTCCTCCTCCGGCCGGAGATCTACAGACAGACAGACACCGACACCGACGCTGACACTGACACTGACACTGACCTTCTATTCTCCGAGCCCATTATCTACAGCATTGTACAAATTTAAAGCACACCACCCCCACCACCTCACTCCCCCTCCCAAACCTCAACTCACAAATACAAAATAAAAAAATGATGAGCCGCAACTTCGTCCCCGTAGCCCTATCCATCGGCGCCGGCGTCCTCGGCGGTGCGTTACATACACTCTTTCCCTGCTCCTGCTCCGGCTCCTGCTCCGGCTTCTGCTTCCCCCGTCCAAAAAGCGTCCGGCTGTCCCGGCGCATTCGCTACCCCAGAACTGACAATTTCTTCCGGGGGCAGGGTACTACGTCTGGCAACCGTATTTCAAGGAGATGCAGCAGCGCCAACAACACCAGCTCCAGCAGTCGTTGAATCCGTATGTGTTTCCGATCCACACTTCCCAATGATTGAGGTCGGAGGGGGTATGTGGATATTTGGGCCTGGACTTGGGAGGATTACTTGACAGAGAAACCAAGGGGAAGGGGGCATGCTGTATAGGATCGATGCTGATGGTTGGGGAAACGCTCTAGGAATTCTACCGAGACGGCACCGCAGTCACAAGTTCCGACATCGACACCGACACCGACACCGACACCTCAGGAGGTGGTTCCTCCCTCTGCGACAGGGGATTCGGGGTCGGGGAAGGCAGCGGGGCAGTGAGTGAGGGGTTTTTGGGGTTAGTCAGATGGATGGATATATCACTAGATTTTGGCGCCATGGTGCAAGGTGCAAGGTGCAAGGTGCTTGCCAGGCGTGCTGCTGGGCGGTGCGGATGAGCACTTCGCTATATGCAGTGCTCTCACTGGGCTTGGGGGGAGCTGGAAGAGTCCCATAGCATCGCGGGTGCTGTTGGCTGTTATGCACCAGACGTGTCGAATACTCTGCTTGTGGGGAAAGAGGAAGCTCCCTCGAGGAAGACATGCCACCGAAAGAAAGCAAAAGGCCATCATGTATACTATCATATTGTATCATACAGTCACATAAACAAGAAATCATTCGATTTAGAATACATGTCCCTTCCTGGTTGTAAGACCCCCAGTAAAACGCCTCCGCTCCAATTGTGCGCCGCCGAAACCCTCCCTCCCTCCTTTCTATACCTCTTGGACAAGTTTGCCCGGCCCAGCGCCGAAGACCTGTGCAGCCGGCGTGCCAACCCACTCCTCCGGCACGCCCACGCGGCTGCCAGCCCGGCCACTGACCCAGCGCACCATCGTGGGGTCCGGCTTGGAATACGCTTCCTGGATCTCTTGATCGGCGGTAGCATTCTCGGCAGCCTCGGCGGCGGGGATGCGTCCTCGGCGCTTGGGGGCCTGCTTGCGCAGCAGTCGGTTGATGGTATCCATCTAGAACGGTGGTTAGTGCGCGCGCGGGGTCATGAGCTTGACAAGGTTCGATTGGGCTCAAGGATCACACACCTTCTCTTCTTCGTTCCGCTTCTCGCTAAGGTTCTTTCGGCGGCGGGCCATTTCCGCACGGCGCATAGCGCGCTCCTCTGCGGTCAGGTGCTTCTTCACCTGGGGTTCTGCTTATGGTCAGTCATGGCCGGATGAGCAGTGATACGGAGGTCTCACCCATCGGAAGTTGCAGGAAGTCATTTCCCAGGTTGCCTCGCTGCCGTTTGGTCATACGAGTGAGATCCGCAGTCGGCGTCCCGTCACTGTCGAGGTCTTCATCGTCCTCATCCTCCTCGTCCAGCTCATCGCCTCCATTCCCGGTCACCATCATACTCTCGTCCTGGTCATCAGGCTCGCCCTCAGCGTCAGTGTCTGGTTCCGACAACTCCTCGTCATCATCGTCATCGTCGTCGTCCAACTCCATCTCTTTCTCCTCGACACTCTTGACTGCTTTCGCACTCGGTGCAGCGGCAGCAGCTGCTGTTGCTTTCGCATGTCGCTTAGGCACTGGGGGTTGCGGTGGGGCATCATCCATGTCGAGATCCCCTTCAGCATCGAGATCTTCGTCCTCCTCTTCGTCCTCCTCGATCTCCTCCTCATCTTCGTCATCCTCGTCCTCACCGGGGGCATCTTCATCGTCGACCTCGTCCTCTTCCTGGTCTTCGAGATCATCCTCGTCGCTGGTGTCTACTTCGACCAGCTTCTTCCTGGGCCGGCTAGTGCGGGGGCCCGTGATGATGGGATTCTCGGTGAAGACATTCACCGAGCGCCGAGTGGCAGGCGCCCCTCGGGAGCTTCCCCCGGTGACTTCTCTGAGCTTGTTGGAGGGCATCTTGACGGTCAGATGAATCGATCGCTTGGATGATTCCCCGGATACGTCTGATGGAACACACACCGCGGTCACTGCGGGGGTGGATGAAGCAGCAGTAGCAGCAGTAGTAGCAGCAGCAGCAGCAGCGCGGGTGCTTCTTGTGGATCTGGAAGAGTCGTTAATATCTATCATGCTTGATTGATCATTGCGCCCCCCGTGGGAACGCAGTGAGCGACGGAGCGACATGGTGGGTTGAAAGGGAAAATTAGGAGAGGCGATGAGTAATTGCGAGGTTCCGTAACGAGTGATTTATAGTCAAGGGTCCAGAGGGAAATTGCGCGGGCGGACAACAGCTGCGTCACTTGCACGTCGGATAGACAGAGGGAAAGTGAACAAGTAGTTGAAGGCAGAAAAGCGAAAAAGCAAACAAAGCCTTCTAGGGCCCATGCGAGGATGTGATGCGGGGAAATAAGGCTAATGAGAGGAGATACGGGGGGGATAGTGGTGAGGTGTGATGGGGATTGGGGAGATGGGAGATGGAAATTACAATCACGAAGGACGGACGAGTGAAACTGAGGGTGTTGGAGGTGTTGGAGGGAAGAGAAAGGCGGAGGGAGAAATGAAATGAGGGGAGTGAAGCGCAGTCCATCTATCAGAAGGAGAGGTCTTTCTGACTGCTGCTGCTGATGTATTGTTGGTTGGTACATCAGCAATTTCGTCGTCATCATCATCTTCTTCCTTCCTTTTTCCTCACTTTCGACTTTTGGTTCCTTTCTTCCATACCTCACATCTCCACCACATTCTCTGCCTTTCTTTCTCCCTTTCTCTCATCCTCTCTTTCATCGAAGAGAAGAGGGGCAGGGAAGCAATGAGGCGAAGAAGTGCGACGCGGCAAGGCACAGGCAGAGCATGGATAATCAACCCCAACCCCAATCAGATGGCGATCGAGCAGCCACTTGATTCATTTGATTCACGAGGCCTGGGAGCCAATGGGAGGATTCTCGGCCTCCTTGTCCTCAGACGGTGAACCCAAACGGCGCTGCAGTCCGTTGCTGTTGCGCAACCCCGGATCACCCAAGGAATGGTTTTGGTTTCCTGCTCCGATGGGCGAGGGAGGCTTGATCCGGACTGGGGGTCAGGAGGAGGGGCAGTGGCAGTCTATCCAAGGATTTCTCCTGGATGTCTCGATCACGCAGCAAGCCAGTGCAACTTAAGCGAGAAGCAGAGACAGCCAAATGAATGGGATGGGGTGGGATGGGAGGGGGTGAATGGGTGGAAATCAATGAGAGACAACAACAGACTCGAGCAATGCATTCACTCACGGCTTCAAGGGTAGAACGAGGCGTCCCGTTCCAACCACAGTCACTTCAAACGGAGGGCTGATCAATAATGCGGCGGTCACGGCCGATCGTGCGAATCGAAGCAGTCGGTCTCAGCCCTGATCCTGATTCTGAACCCAACAATCTAAGTCATGTACTCCGTATCCATCCATTCATTCATCGATGATGGGCGAAGATCGAATAATCTTCGCTTGCCCCTTCACCGCCGCCACTTTGTGCCGGGCGGTCGGTATCCTTGGCGTTTGCGGCGGTATTTGCTTACATCCCTTCTTCTTCTATACTTCATACTTCCATTGAGCTGGCTTATTGTGGTTCGGTGTGATGGGCAGGAGCAAGAGTATATCACAGTGTTTCAAGAGCTCACCTGGCTTAACTTGAAGTACTTGACATTCGTGGACATGAACAGGAGACTATTCAAGCGTAGGAGCTGATCAATCGAAACAGATCTCTCCAAAATATATCCACGCCCATCTCGGCATGCACATGCTAAGCCCAAGACGTTTGACGCAAAAGAAATCATTCTTGCTACCTATCTATGTATAGTATGAAACCATGATGGTTACTTCTTACTTTCTAACTGCATAATCATATTCATGGCCCCCAAAGTAAAAATATTCAAGTCATGCTTAGCAGCAAACCCAGGCCGAATTCGGGGCAGGGCTGGTCTTATCACACTCGGTCGATACAGCCGAGGTTGACTGTCCATGTCCGCCTGCCGGACTCCGCACTTCCTCTTCCTCCTTCCATCTTCCCTCCACTCTCCTCTCACCTTACAGCTTCCTTGCGTGACCACCATGGCAGACAAGCCAAAGTCCTCAATCCCAGAGTGGCAAAAGTCCAATGCCGGTTCGGAGCGTAGCAGCACTGGCACCACCGCCACCACCACCAACCCAAGCGCAGATGATAACGACACCGAAGAGCGCCCAGCGCTCCTCGACCAAGCCGCCAAGTTCCTCCAAGATGACTCCATTCGCGACGCCCCTGTCGAACGCAAGAGAACATTCCTCGAGTCCAAGGGCCTGCGCAACGACGAGATTGACCTGCTCCTAAGCCAGTCCCCAGAGGAGTCCAGCACCTCGGAGGAGCCGAGCAGTAACCCCGAGGTCGCCAACAACCACGAAGCTCCCAGCAGCAGCAGCAGCGCATCTACACCACACTCCTCCCCCTCCTCAACAGCAACAACAGCAACATCCACCTCACCCACCCCACCTCCACTCCGCGACATCCCCCCAATAATCACCTACCCGGAATTCCTGACCACGCCCGCCACGCAACCGCCGCTCATCACCCTGCGCAGCACGCTGTACACCCTCTACGGCGCCGCCGGCCTAGCAACCACCTTCTACGCCGCCAGCGAATACCTGGTGAAACCGATGATCGCCCAACTGACCGCGGCGCGCCGCGACCTGGCCGAAACCACCACCACCAACCTGCGCACCCTGAACACGAAACTCGAATCCGTCGTCTCCACCATCCCCCCGCCTCCCAGCAGCACCAACGCCCCTGCAAACCCCGAAGGCGGCGCAGACGACGAAGACACGGAATCCATAATCTCCGACCCTACGGAACTCTTCCACCGCGACGTCGCCGTGCAGACCAGCCCGAGCCCGAGCCCCAATCCCCAACTCGAACCCACCCAACCCTCCCTGATCACAGCAACAACAAATGAAGACCCCACCCCCCTCGCAAAAGCCCGCACCCACACGGCCAGAATGCACACCCTGACGGCCCACCTCCGCTCCCTGACGGACACCGACCATGCCGCCTCGGAGCTCGACACCGCCCTCCGCGCCAAGCTGAACGACCTCCACCATTACCTGGATACCTATATCTACAGTAAACCCGGGGCGGGGGCCATGTTCAACCCCATGGCCGGGTATGGGGTGTTCAGTACCCCCGGGGTGGATGCCACGAATACATCCGGGACTAACGGGAACGGGGGGTTGGGGTTGGGGAAAGGGGAGGAGGATGCCATCGCCAATTTTCGGACGGAGATCCGCGGCGTCAAGGGGGCGTTGTTGAGTGCCAGGAACTTTCCGGCGGGTGGGGGCGGTAGTAGAGGGGCCGGGGCTGCTGGGCGGGCGCTGGGAGGGGGGTCAGCGGGGGTTCCGGGGAGGATTGGGCGGCCTGGGTCGGAGTAGGGTTGGGGTTTTGTTTCAGGGGTTGAGTGGATACTGAAGGGGGAGGTTTCTTACCTGGTCGATGAGGTTAGAGCAGAAGTTGTACATAGAGAGTTTGATTGATGCCGTTGCGGTTATGGGGTTGTGGATATCACAACAGGTATCATACAATGCCAGCAACTAATCGCCTACACCACTACGCCACTACTTCAAGTGAATATAAAACAAGACATCTACCCTCTTTTACTTCTACTTAGGCCAGATCAACATAATATCAACATTAACAGCGGAATAATAAAGAAAAGCGACCCCATTGCCAGCCAAACCCTGCGTCGGCCGGCTCCAGAGGTCAAAAGTCCAGTACAGTCAAACAATTATAGAAAACTCTTGCCTTGTACATACAACTCATGATCGTCACATACACAACCTTCACGGCGTGGCTTTGCTCATGCTGATCAAACGCTTCACTCCAACCTAATGTCTCGATTAGCTTAGTACAAACAAGTTTGGTTACCAAGAAGACTTACCATCCAGTTACCGCACTCGTCCGTCCGGTTGGTCATGATGTTCACGTGGATTGCGCGCGCCGTCTCATAATCACGCGCCTGGATGGCGTGAGCAAGCTGCGCCATGTCCGCAACCGTGTTAGGCTTCAGCAGATCCTCATTGTTGAGATGGTCGAACAAAAGGTTCAGTCGCCGTTCCGCATCGTCGACCTGCGCCTTGAACGAAGACGGGGCCCTCGACTTCACTCTCTGCATGTCGGCCGACAGGATCTCGTACACGGGCATGGCATCGGCAGGGATGTGGGAGCGATCACCGGGGGCTGAGACCCATTAGTATTTCGTCCAACCTGAAAGAAACATGATCTACTTACGGTACTTGGGCGCCGCCGGGGCAGGCTTCTTCTGCGAAGAGGCCGTGCTGGGTCGGGATCCCGCGGCCTGGGGTGGGGGAGGCGCATGCTGCTGCATGGGTGGGGCAATGGGCGAAGGCGTGCTTGGGGCGTACTGGTTCGCTAATGATTGCATGACGGGCTGAGGGGCATACGGCGAGGCGGCGGCCTGCGGAGGGGGAGGAACGGGCGCCCGCGTCTGGAGCTGGGGGCTGGCGGCTTGAGCAGCCGGGCTCGGTGCGTACCGGTTTGTGGGGGGCGGCATCGTAGGAGGTGCATTGTAAGGCGAAGGTCCCCGAGGGATTGAAGCGGGCACGCCCATGGCCGAGGGGGGAGACTGAGGCAGGGAGGCATAGGGGTTGGCCGCAGGAGGAGGCATCGAGGAAGGCGTGGGAACGGCCGAGGGCGGCGACGTCACCCTAGGAGGAGGGGCGCCGCCCTTGGGCGGAGGAGGAACGGAGGGGGTCCGGCCGACAGGTGCTCCAACCGGGGGAGGAGGGCCTTGCGCGAGGGTAGGAGACTGGTTCGAGAACGGAGCGTTGATAGGCGCGGAAGCAGTGGCAGGAGTCGACCGACGGGGCGTAGGTGCTTTAGCGAATCCCTCGGGCAAGTCATTCCACGCAGGCAGGTTGGTGGCCGTGGTGTACGTGGTAATGGTGTTGGCCGGAGACTGGTTGGTCGCGCGTGGAGGCGGGGGCACAGTGCCGCCTAGAGGCTGAGCACCATAGGTAGGGGCCTGTGGCGGTTGATATCCGGCGGGAGTGTAGCCGCTGCCGGCGGTGGAGGGAGCGTACGGATTCGTAGGCTGGGCCGGTGCCGTCGGAGGAGCATAAGGGTTGACAGGAGCAGCAGTCGGGGGAGCATATGGGTTGGCGGCCGCAGCAGTCGGGGGGGCGTACGGATTCGAGGGAGCAGCGGCGGGAGCAGCAGGAGCATAAGGGCTGGGAACTGCAGCAGGCGCCGCAGGCGAGAAGGTTCTCGTGGGCTGGTATCCACCCAAAGCAGGCTGAGGAAGAGGCTTGTTGAGATTGGGCCTGGCTGCTGCGCTGGTCGCAGTCTGCGTCCGTTGAGGAGCGGCTTGTCTCGTTGCCAGGCGGATGCGGTTTCTGGCAATCTCGGCCTCAGGGTGCTTCTCGGGCACAAGATCGAGATACTTCTGTGCAACCTGTAGTCGTCCATGGGTAGCAACAACGTCGGCATACTCGATATACTTGTCGTACAGCGTGCTGAGCTTCCAATCCGACTCCTTGGTACGCTCGGTGTCCTCGAACTTGGTGACCTGGCGGAAAATCGTCACCTTCTCAATCAGGCTCTGCAGAGCACGGACGTGGATCGAGAAAGCAGAATCATCGGCAGAGGCCTCGATGGCCTTCTGCTCACGCTCCCGCAGCTCCTCAATCCAGATAGCAACAACCTTCTCCAACTTGGAACCGGCCAAGAAACAGAACGAGGCATCCTTGCGAAGGGCCTTGTCATCCGAGTTACGGAGCTCCTCCTCCAAGCGATCACCCAGAGCATCGCAGAGATCCGCGAACTCCTTCTCGTCGGCAAAAGTGCAAAGAGCTGCCATAACCTCCTTCCAATTGGACAAATCGGCGTTGTAGACAACATCCCAGAGATTCTTGCCCACAATAGATGCGAGCAAACGCACGTAGTTCGGGCTGTTGGTCTGCTTGGAGAAGTAGTGCTCCTGGGCCTTCTCAATGCATTTCTGACCTCCGCAGATAGCAATCATGAACGCGTCCGAGAGACGATCCTCCTTGAGTGCGACATCAAGGGCCTTCTCGAAGTCACCGAGGAGCAACGCTCTGGTAATGCCAGTGTCCGCTTCGGTCTCCTCTCCGTTGAAGATGTGGAAGGGGTTGTTGGTCTTGGCGCCCTTGGAAGCAGCCAGGTCAGACAGGAAGTTATCCGCGTCCGCGCTTGTGTCGAAGACGGATTGCAGACGGCGGTGCTTCTTGGCTCCCGACCCGCGGGATTCCTTGGGCTCCTCGCCGTTGACTTCCTCGTCGTCCTCCTTGTTCAGACCCAGCTTGGCTAAGCTATCAGCAGCCTCGTCAGCCTGATCCGCGAATCCGAGATACTCAACCAGACCCTTGCGAGGATCGGCCGAGATCAAGGCCTCGATAACCTTCCAGTCGGCCTTCTCCTCTTCACTGGTGGCGTTGGCAGCCCGAGTTTCGCAGATGTTGCGCAAATCACCCTCCTTGAGCGCGTTCTCAAAGGTCTCGGTCGACTTTCCAACCGCCTCATCAACCTCGAACGGGGTGATCTTGATTTTCGATGCACGCTGACCCTTCTCAACCAAGTTGACAGAGACGACTCTGCCTCCAAATCCAAAGGTTGCGCCACACGGCCGTTCCAGCCACTTGGGGGCCTTGGGCAGCGAGAAGCTGGAGACCTGGGGCTGAGTCTGGGCCTTGGCGAAGAAGTCCTCGCCATCGAGGGCCTGGTTCTGGTCGGCAATCGCCTGGGCAGTTTCGGTGCTGGTGTTCTGGATGGTCTGGATGGCGATCTTTCCGTCGAACGAAGCGGTGGCGAAGAAGTTGGGGTTGTGAGGGTTCCAGCGCGTCTGGAAAGTCCAGTTTGTGACTACGGGGAACTCTCCGTAGGCGTGACCGGTCTGGGGGTTCCAGCAGAGGGTGCGGTTATCTTTGCCGGACGAGAGGAGCAGATCGGGATCCTGGGCGCACCAGGAGAGCGACAAGACGCCAGATTCGTGGCCCCGGAGGGTTCTTTCCGGGGCGTGAGAGTTACGCAGATCCCAGACACAGATCAAGGGGTCCGACTCGAGCGGCGTGGCCGTGACAAGTTTCGTAGGCTGGTAGTGGTCAGCAAAGCAAACCCGCAGGCAGCCGCGGTAAGAAACTCACCTTCTCCGGGTCCCAGGCCACAGCACTGACGGCTTTCCGGCCCATGTTGTTCAGCGTCAAGCTCTCCTTCTTGGTCTTGACATCCCACACGGTGACGAAGCCGGCACTGCTGCCGGTGACCAGGATATGCGCGACCTTTTTGTTCCAATCCAAGCACTCGATGTCATCTGCGCGGGCGGCCGTGCCTCCGAGTCTAGAGGGGTTCGCAATGTCGTTCAGGTCGGAAATGTACAGCTAGTGGTGATCATGAGCTCCAACATCCATTGTTCAGACATGTATAAGGGGGCATTGTACCTCGCCCTTGGCACCACCGGTGGCCAGCAAGTTGGAGTGTTTGGGGTTGAACTGGAGAGCCTTGATAGCCCCTGAGTGTTTGTTGGTCCTCGAGATGACGGCATCACTGCCCGGGCGTCAGCCAATTGGACAAAACGACGACAACGCGATTGTAGGGATGACAGCACGAACCTGGATCCACTGAGCAACTTATCGGCATCCCACAGATCCAAAGATCCATTCTCCAAGGCACCCGCGATCACACCCCGGGAGCTGTCCTCGGAATCCGTCCATGCCAGGTCGTTGAAACTATTCGAGTAGTAGAGTTAGTGTTTGCCTATATTCCCAGAGCATTGGAAAGCTAGAAAGCGCACCCCGAGTCAGTGTCAATCTTCGCTACCGGCTGCAGCTCGCCGCTGGCCTCGTGGCGGCTCAGGTTGAGATCCCAGAGCTCCAGACACGTTTGATTGGAGAAGTCGACATCCACGGCGCCGGCGCGAGTACCCGTAGCAATCAATGGCGAAGCAGCTCCAGGAGACCAGGCAAAGGTGGCCGTCCGGGGAATTTCCCTCAGACGAACCATGGTGAAGGTGGAAAGGAGTGGCAGAGAAAGATGGAGGTATAGATTAGAAGGCGACGGAGCTGGCTATTGCGGGGGGGGAATTGTTGTTCTGGCCAGCAAATGAATGAATTGGATGCGGGGGGGGAAGAACTGAAAGACAAACGGTGGGGGTAGTGAGAATCCGAGTACCCAAGGTCGTGTAGATAGGAGTAAGAGAAAGAAAAAACTGAAATGGAAGAAAACCTCCCCTCTCTGACACAAGACACAAGAAGACAGGAGAAACCGAGGGGTGCAGGTTGCAGGTGAGAGTTGCCAAGTCGACTGGCGATTCGAGGCGTGACGGCAATCAACCAAGTGTCCTCCTCGGGGGGGCCGCTGCGACCGACCGGCCGACCCGCTTAACCACTTTGGACACTGCCCGGCATACCACGTGATTGATATCAGCCTCTCGCTCTGTCTCTGCCTCTCCGCGAAAGTCTGCGCCCACTCCGAAGATCGACCGGGCAAGGAAGCTTGACAACCAAGCTTGAATATCATTCTATCAGCTGGGCCCGTGCCCCCTAGAGCTCCCGTTTCAAGCAATCCGTGGTCTATCAAGCGAGTGCGGCTATTCACATTCAAAATTACCATCCTAACCGCCCCGCAAAGCCTCAACCATGAGTGAAAAGGCTCGTTTGAAGTGTACCATCTATGTGGGGGGTCTGGACCAGGCTGTGACGATGCACACGCTGGCGGAGGCATTTGTCCCCTTTGGCGAGGTCGTGGACATCACCCTGCCGAAACCCGACCTGCCAAACTCGAACGAATCCCACCGCGGCTTTGGATATGTGGAGTTCGACCTGCCCGAGGATGCGAAAGAGGCTATCGACAACATGGATGGCAGCGAGCTTTACGGACGTACAATCAAGGTCGCCGCCGCGAAACCGCAAAGGGAAAGCAATGAGGGGCTGGGCAGCAAGACAGCTATCTGGGAACAGGTACGCGGCCAATTGGGTATCACATTCCACGAATCTACGAGCTAATCGCGTTCCACTACAGGAGGGCTACTTGGCCAAATACGCAGTCAGCGAGGAAGATAGATTGGCCACAGAGCAGGCTCAAGCAGGCGCCAACGCAGAGACTGAAGACCCCATGCAAGGACTGGTAGAGATGGACGTTGCCGGCCCAAAGCCTGAATGAAATGCCCGGGACATCTCCTACACGCCACGCGGAGTGCATTGGCAGGGACACTACAGATATAAGGCCAGCCGTAATACTGCACGAGCACTGCATCAGAACCCTTCGATTTAAAGCCGTACTATATACACGCGCTGCAACCCTGAGCTTGAGATATGCCGAGCTTTTTTTTCGTCGGCATCCGCCGCGACACCATGCAATCTCCCTCTACCTCCCGTGGATAGTACAGATCGCCCTCAAAACAAAACAAGGAATCGCCCATTGCAATTTGGAATCAAAGTGTGATGGTACATTCTCTAGTGCTCACGGGACTCGGGGCTGTTGCGGTACAGACGGAGGGTCTTGTCGGTCATGAGCTTCTTGGAGCTGGAGTAGATGGCAGCACCGACAGCGACGCTGCAGGGAGAAGCGTTAGCGATGGCAAGTTCTGTGAGGGGGGCAAGGGAGTTGGTGAGGAGGGTTCAGAAGAAGGAAATAGATCATGTTCGACCCGTGTGATGTAACAAGTCAATTGAACCAGGAACTAAGCACATACCCCAAGACAACACCTGTAAAGTGACAGACACGATGATTAGCCTATCTGTAGACACTTTTGAATCATGTTGGCGCACGGGAAATACATACCAAGAGGGATCAACTCCGGGGGGATGCGCTTGAGGGTGCGCAGACGCTGGGAGATCGTGTGGGCTAGAGCTCTGTGTTAGTCCAATTCCGACTTCCAGAAATACACCGTTGCAAGCTTCTAGTCGGCAAGGGCGCATTGAGGGAAAGCTTCATACCGCTGTGGTTTTCCTTCTGCAACGTTCGTTAGCCATCATGCAACTGCCAAGCCCAATTTTTCCCGGCTCACATTCACGGGGGGGGGGAAAGGAAGGGAGAGAAGAAACTCACAGGAGCAGGAAAAGCGAAAGGCCGGGTGGCCTGCATGCGCATGATAGTGGTAGGATACATGGCGATTGTTTGTGGGGGGTGAAAGACCTGGCTGGAGGTGGGTTGGATGGGGGGATGGGGGAGAGGAGATGGGATGGGAGGCTTCGGATGTGGTGACGGAAGTTGAGCTCATTCGGGCCTTGTGGCTTGGCTGTGGTGTGGAATTGGATCACGAGTTCAGGTTTCCAACTGCGAGCCTGGATGACTCAGGCAGCAACTTGTTCAAACCACCTCAAGATGACGGATCGGGGTGTTTAGGAAAGGTAGGCGCATGAGTGGCTCGCTACAGTAGGCGGTCAAGGTTGAACTTGGGGCCCGGCTGTACTGCTTCACGGGATCATTCCACTCCACCAGCGCGCAAACCTCACCCCCATCTTTCTTTCTCCAAGCCCTCTCTCTCTTGCTTCCCTCCTCCTCCCCCTCCCCCCCTCTTCACCACCCACCCCTTTTCCTCTTCCTCAATTTTAGATCCATTTCCAGGCTCTGTCCTTAGAACCGTCACAATGGGTGCCATTCCTGAAGCCGATCCCGATGAGCCCCAGGAGACCAAGCCCTTCAAGTTCGTGACAGGTGAGCTCTCCCAAACCCGGATATTCCGACTTGTCTCCCGCATCCCCAATTGAGGTCAATTGCTAACTAGTATACAGCCGGTACGTTTCTCTCCAGGTTCTTCGTTGATCCGGTCGCTTATCGATGAACGAATACGGCGGGTTCTTCATCATTCGTGGTGGGAAAGCTGACTGACCAACGTCTTGATGTAACGATATACAGGCTATGACGCTCGCTTCCCCCAGCAGAACCAGTACGTGATAAGCCAATTCCCTTAGACTGTCCTCCACCTTTCGTCAAGCTTCATACTAATGCAATTGAATAGGACCAAGCACTGCTGGCAGAACTACGTCGACTACTACAAGTGTGTCAACGCCAAGGGCGAGGACTTCCGCCCATGCCGTCAGGTATATCAACCCCGTCGACATCCCCCTCGGCTACCAAACCCGCAACTGTCTACCAGCACCACCAGCACCACCATCACAGCGAACCTATCACAACCACCGCACTAACAATTTTGACTACCAGTTCTACCACGCTTTCCGCTCCCTCTGCCCCAAGGCCTGGACTGACCGGTGGGATACCCAGCGCGGTACGTACTCATCCCCCCTCTCTGCACCTTTAATCTTCAACAGCAAGTAACTAACCCCCCGACCAGAGGCTGGAAACTTCCCCGCTCGCCTGGAGTAGAATGCTAGAAAGCTAAACAAATCCATGTTTAAAGTTCTTTATGTGCTTTTGTTTTATTTTGGTCAAACAAATGTACTCTACTACCCTGATTCGGAGCCCAACCCCTCCCGAATTGAACAAACCAAGCGGGAAATGTTCTTTTTTTTCTTTTTCTTCCTTGCCTTTTCGTGGATCCAGAGCCTTTCACTTTCCTCGCATCTTCTCTAGGATAAATCAGAGGGGAAAGCTTCACGGACATAGAAAGGACGCGTAGTGTGCAAACCCGAGAGAATGTGAACGAGTTCCGCACCTGTATATGGATCTAATCAATCAGCACATGTGCCTCGAGTATCTGTCGATAGAAGTAGCATGATCAAAATGACGATCTCACCCACGGGACTCCGTACCCAGTCGCCCGTGGCCGATATCAGATCCGGCGGACATCATACGATCCGATCTCCCCTCCAGCCTCGCGAGTCAATCGCTTCTGTACATTACATCTTATACTCCAATAGAGTGCTTTGTCACATGCTCTTCAACATGTTCTCACCTAGAGATTTCCTCCCTAGTGAAACGACATCCTGCAACAGGAATTGACCCCGAGCACCTACTGGAGTTCCTTAGCTTTCCGGGCTAGTAAGCTTCAATGCCTCATGTTATTCCAGCAACAGTCCAGGCTGAATACAAAGCTATCTCCATGAATGCATACCTGTTAAGTTCTACACCCCCAAAATTAACTGCAATCCACAACTTGCAATCTGAAGTCTCTATGTGTCTATTGTAGATTTCATGTCTAGTCTATCTGTTCTCAAATGACGAATGTCACACTCTCACTCACTCACTCACACAATCCAACCAAGCAGTAAACAGAACCCCTTCTCCCTCCCGCATGTTTCTGGTCTCATCTCCATCTAATCAGGGGGTGGAAGTGAGGAAGCGATAGATGTGAAGGGGGGGTTACTCAAAGCCACCCCACCGAGGAAGGTGTTGTCTCACTCCACTCGGCCATCTGCAAGCACAAGTCCAGCACCAAAGAAAGAGAGAGAGAGAAAGCGATATTATGTACAAGCGATATGCCCGCAGGAGAAATGAACACAAGAATACAAAACTTTTAGCCACCCAAAAAAATCACAATGCTTCGCCAAAACCCCAACATTGAACAAGATGAAGAAGGATACTATGCTAGAAAGATATCCTAGCAGAGAATGTATCGTGGATATCAAAGCGGTGTATAGACAGTTCCCAGACATAACAGGGAAAAAGAGAAGACGACAACCGACAAAAAAAAGAGAGGAAGCGGAAATCACCGCTTCTCCTCGGATTCGATCCCCTTCACCCACCGGTAGAGCTTCTTGTGCTCCTCCAGGAAGATGAAGGTGGCGATCGTGTGCGGACCCAGCCGGATGAAGCTGGGCACCCAGCCGCGGAAGGCCCAGGCGTAGCCCTCCTTGCGGGTGATCTCGCGCAGCAGGGCGGGGATGCTCTGGCCGTGGCCGTGGCTGGCGGTCATGACGCGGGTCTTGATCACGTCGACGGGGCTGCAGACGGTGGTGGCGACGAAGCCGGCCATGAACGAGGCGGCGAAGTGCGTGCCCAGGTTGTCCGACATGCCGATGCGCTCGATGCACAGCTTCTTGAAGGTGTCGTACGAGGCCAGCTGCGAGGCGGTCATCAGCACCGCGCGCGTCGAGTTCGGCCACACCCCGCGGAACAGGCTGGCGGCGCCCTCGGTGCGCGTCATCTCCACCAGCCCGTGGAAGGCGTGGCGGTAGTTGCGGCGTTGCGCCGGCGGCAGGGCCGCGTCCGACTGCATGCGCACGTTCAGCACGTCCGCCGGGTTGCCGGTCCAGCCGCCGATGAAGCCCGAGGCGCACGCGATCCCGATCAGCGTGAAGAAACTAGGCGTCGACCCGGGCGTCGTGAAATAGTTCTTGAGTTCCTCGTAGATGCCGAACCGCGTCGTCGAGTAGGTCACCTGGCGCAGAAGCGCGGCTGATAACTATAACGCCCCCACCCCCGGAAATCAGCCAATTTGTCCCCGATAACCCTTCTTCCAGGCTACCCAAAGCCATGGCCAGAGGAGAAGAAAAACGTACCCCGCTATACAAGCCCCGAACACCATCGGTCTTAATCACATGTCCAAACGTTCCCACCATGGAGGTGGGCGCCCCAGGCCCGCGAGTTTGCAATCGAACCTAACAAAGTTTCCAAAATCTTTTGTTAGTACACCGGGAATACCTCAATTGAGTGTTGGCGATAACACAGCCCGAAACCGCAGACGAAACACATAAGCCAGGCAAAAGTGAAAAATAGTAATGGAGGGCAAATTTTACCTTGACTATAAGTCACCACCAAAAAAAAGTCAGTCACACAGCGTCATCATTCATAGAATTCAACACCGCCACCAGAGCGCCAAAAGAAAAAAACTTACCAAGGTCCAAAGGGTGTGTGACGGCCGCCGCAAAGCAAGAGGCCGAACCACCAAACCAAAAAGGATAATGGATCTTCTTTGCAGGCACCGGAGCGGCAGCCGCTTGAGGAGGCTGTTGGGGGGAAGCCTCCAGCTTCGCACTGCTGACCATCGTGGACATTCCGCGAGGGCGATATGAAAGAAAAGAAAAAGAGAGGGGAGATTTTGGGAGAGTAGTTAGTCAAAGGAAGGAGGAAGGAGAAACTGGAGAAACTGGAGAGAGGTTCTGCTGCTGCTTCTTCCTCTTCTTAATAATAATACCAGGAGTAATCCGGTACAGAGACAATACGAGAAGAGATTCGGGCTTCAGATCAACTCTCCGAATTCCAGGGTTGTTCGGCTGCACTAACCGATCTCGGCCGTGGCACACCAATCATGTTCTCGGTTTAGACGTCGGTCCAGCGGGCCACTAGGCGGTAAGACCGGCCCTCGGTGTTTCCTCGCCCACTGCAGTACAACAATACAGAGTACAGAGGACTATGGAGCAGAAGAGGAGATGATGGGCTGGTCGGAATGACAGGATATCACCGAGAAAGACGGAGGATGAACACATTGCCCAGACTGTTCATGTTGTATGTTGTAAGAAACACAAAGGCAAACCGAGCCAGCAACCAATTCCCTCACGAATGCAGCCGTCCCCTTCCATGTCTCTACCCGGCTGTGCTGTACTGCGCCGTACTGTGCTGCAATCGATCTGCTACGTCACAATGCATGCCTCCCCTGCAGGCAGTCCGATCCAACCACTAAGCAGCAGCAAAAACACCAAACAAATGTAGTTGGGTGCTATCATGGGATCCTTAGCCGGGAATTACAAGTATGTTCATGAGGAAAGAGGTCACATCTTTTGTTGTCTTACAAGCCAAGATCTTACATACACACTATCATACATACACGCATCTGTTGCCTTGCCGTCATCAGGCATCCAACCTATACACATTACGGAGAAAACACCCCCTATCCTGGTAAATCGAACGACGACTACCGCAGCTCAACCCCCAGCTGACTAACGAGCTCTTGGCGCAATTTATCGTGTAGATCATTGGTCTCTGCGTTGGTGAGCGTGCGCTCCAGACTCCGGTAGTTGATGCGGTAGCACATGCTCTTGCGCTTGGTCTTGGGGTGCGTGAACTCGTCCACCAGACGCACATCCTCCACCAGATCGCCCGCAACCCCGCGGACCAGCTCCATGATATCATTCTCGTGCACGGGCACGGCGCCGCCCGCCGCACTGCCGCCACTAGCCGCCCCCGGGGGCAACCAGAAGGCCACATCCTTGTAGCAGGCGGGGTACTTGGAGAAGGGCTTGAAGCGGGTGATCTGCCCGGCCTTGAACTGCGACAAGAAGCGCTTGTCCCGCGACCAGAAGAGCCGGATGTCAGGGATATTGAACAGGAGCATGGCGATGCGCTCCAGGCCGATCCCGAACGCCCATCCCATGCGGTCCGGCACGTCCGAATTGTTCAACAGCTCCTGCTTGATGACACCGCAGCCCAGCACCTCCAGCCAGTCCCCCTGCCAGAACACCTCCAGCTCCCAGGAAGGGCTCGTGAAGGGGAAGTAGGCCTCGACCCAGCGGACCTTCAGGGGCTCGGTTTCCTCCTCCGCGCCCGCCGCGGCCTTGCTCGCCTCCGTGAAGATCTTGATGACCATGCGCTCCAGCGACCGCTTGAGGTGCGCGGCGACCTGCTCGACCTCCTCGACACTGTGGAACTCGGCCTGCAGCGGGTTGCGCTGCGGGTGCACGGTGGGGTTGGGGTCCTCGACGACGACGTCGTGGGCCGGGATGCGCTCGACATCCGCGCGGATCCGCGCCGCCGTCGCGCCGGCATGCCGCAGCGGCTCCTGCTCGGGCCGCTTCCACAGCATCGCCCCCTCCATCTGGTGGAAGACCGGGTAGTGGCTGCGGTCGATGGCATCCCTCCGATACACGTCCGCGACCACGGTGTAGCCCACCTCCTCCGGGCGGGTGCGCTCGTTGCGGCTGATCTGCTGGAAGTACGCCTGCTGGTGGGCGCTCGTGTGCGTGCGGAGCACCAGCTTCTCGCTGAGGTAGTAGGTGTCGGTGCGGCTGCGGCCCGGGTGGTCCGCGGGGAACCCCAGCACATCGAAATTCTCGGCCGTCGTCACGACGGGGTTCTCCTCAGTGTAGTTGCCGTACGTCGGCCGCGGGAACTGGCTCTCGATCAACTGCCGCGTGATGGCCAGCGGGTGGTTCTCGTCCAGGTATAGCCGGCGGCCGACGTGCGAGAGGATGGTATCGGTGACGTTGGTCCATTCGTCGCGCTCGAATGATTGCACCTCGGCTGCCACGGGCTGCGCTGCAGAGCCACCAGCGATGGGGCCCTTAGTGACATCGGTGGGTTTCTCGTTCGTCCGGCGAACGGCCGTGAAGCTCCATTCGCGGCGCGGGATGGTTGACGGCGCCGGGAGGTGCGAGAGCGGGATCCGTAGGCTCCTCCCAGAAGAATAATTGATGGCCCACCTGCTGCTGCTGGCGCGCAGAGCCCGGCCAGTGGCGAGTAAGCGCATCTCTAGAGTAGATGCAACGGGGCTGCACCGGAAACTGAGCCAGTGCGTCGTTGTCGCCGGTTTAGTGTTTCTCTCGCTGCGTTTTAGATCGCAGTGTACAAAACATGCCGGGGCGGGAGAACCACGGCCCGAGCGGATCCCCCCAAAATCATCCGGTTGTTCTACGTTGTGCAGGTTGATGATCGGGGTTCAGTGAAACTCAATTGACTGATCATCTCAATTCGATTTATTGAAAACCATGGGATGAAAAGCAGTCTGGGCATAAAATAGAAGCGGTCGTTTCTGCAATACAACCCAGCCGTGCCAGGTCTTCTACAATGATATTATCAGCTACGCATTTCCGAAGAATCAACATGCCTGTCATAACGTCTTTGGTGTATTCGGCCAAAAGACTGTCTATTAGACTTCATAAGTACCCTGCATTGCCTTGACGGCAAGAGGGCGATGCAAAAAGTCATAACATGATCAGATGCCCTGCAGGCATAACCCACACCCGTTTCAATGCCAGTCCCAGCGTGATAAGATCACTTTTCCAGAGAAAAGAAGAAAAAAAGACACCGACCATTGCGTGTAATATACATAATAGGGAGGAGAGAGTCGAGAAAGAACGCCAATCCAAAAGAAATCAGATCATTGACAAATGCACCGGGAGAAAGCTCATGCGACACCAGTCGCAAAGTAAACGGTGTATCATACACATGCGTTCGTAGATAGAAAGAAAGCGACAATCGCCGGATCATATTTTTCCGGCGGCATGCTCGGTTGGATAAACCATCGCATCAGATTTAGGGTGAAACATCCCATCGCGGCGGAAAGAGATGTGGTATATTGTACAGATTGAATGGGGGAGGGAATGGTTGGAAATTGCGATGGTATTCGGAGGATCATGGGTAGGTTTAGTTGTTCTTGACAACACCGACCTTAGCAGCCTGTAGAAGAAAATACATTAGCATCCCTGTTTGAGATAAATCCTTGCTGGAGATCACATACTCTAAGGACACGGCCATTCAGACGGAAACCCTTGCTCTGAACAAACATGATCTCGCCGTCCTCTCTGCCCTCGGCCTTGGTCATGAAGACGGCCTCGTGGACGTTGGGGTCGAACTTCTGGGCCGCCCCGTCCTCAGCGGGAGCGCTGGGGTCGAACTGCTCGAGACCGTGCTTCTTCAAGGTGCCCATCAAGACGTTCTGAGTCATCTTCAAGCCTGAAACAAGGTCCAACAGGTCCTTGTTGGCCTCGGTGGGGGCGGCCTCAAGCTTCTCCTTGGGGACAGCCAGCATAGCACGGTCGAAGTTATCGATACTCTCGAGAAGGTCCTGAGCGAAGCGCTGGATGGCGAAGTTGCGAGAGTTGTCCATGTCCCGCTTGGTGCGCTCCTGGAGGTTGATGAAGTCTGCCTTGGAACGAAGGTATTGGTCCTGTGAGGTATTAGACCAGGTGTTCTCGGCATGTCAAAGCTCTTCGGTGTAACGAGATATCCATTGTAACTCATGATATCCGCCCGGCAGCATAGGTGGCAATTACCTTCAGACCAACAATCTCCTTCTTCTTCTCCTCAAGCTCTTTGCGGCAAGCATCCTCGCCCTCCTGCGACTCCGCGGCACCGTTCTGCTCGCCGTTTTCGGCCTTGTTCTCCGTCGAATAGAGGCGGGCGGCAGACTGGGGGATCAAGGGACGAGCGAACTGAGGAAGCTGGGGCTGTTGCGCGGTGCGGCGGACAGCTGAGGTAGCTGGTGTCGAGCGGACGGAAAGCAGGGACCGCTGGGCCTGTCTGAGGAAGGTTCTTTGGAACATGTTGAGCAAAGGGATATGACAGATGAATGCTTCGGTGGATGGAAAGAATGGAAGCTGGAGCTCAAGCAAAATTGAGGTGGTTAAGTATGAACGAGATCGGCGATAGTGATCGAAAAAGCAGAAGTTTCGCCCGTGCCGGCGTCACCTGACTGTCTTGAGCAGCGATATCCGGATCAACATGCGGGCCGACAATCGGCTCCCATCGGTTAGTTGGTGATCGATCTATAGGAGGGCGCGGAGGGCGCAGAGGCATTCATCACTCACTACCCGTGACGCTACTTGCTACTACTACCTACTAGGTAGTGAATCTCCTACCTAGCTGGAGGCCATTCGATTACTTTCGCTGGCGCAGTACATAATTATATTGTCATACTTTTCCGATGCGTCCAATCGTCGTGACTCGGAAAAAGAGACCTCCAGTGACGTAAGGTTTTGGCTTGAAGCATAATTGAATTCGTCGAGGCACCCTGCTTCGATTGAATGCCTGCCGAGTGTTGCCCGTGGCCACGATGATGCATATGACAATCACTACCTTGTTTTAGCGGCAAGCAAGCTATCAGTTGACCGAGGATTGCCTGAGTCAGTTTAGTTCGAATGGTTTAGACGCAGAGACAAGTGGGCGGCGTGAAACTTCGATTCCTCAAAAGAGCTGGGTGCTGCTTGTTATTTGCCCCCTCCTCCCCGCCAGCAGCAAGTTATTCCTGACCCGGTGGTACAGTCCCCCGGTATATAATTCCGGGTCGAACCCGCGCAAGTAGCTGTCAAAAGGTTCGTCTTTCATTTTTCCGTGACTGCAATTGTCGTTCCCATCTCAAGCGTTCCTCCACAATGCCCTTAGAACTGGACCCCGCATTTGCCGAGGCTGCGGACCCTCTCCTGCAGATATTGGCCGCCAGCCCAAAGCACGAATTGCATGATATCCACGCTCGCCGGATAGGTATCACCGCCCTGTATGATTCCGTGTTCGCGGTATTGCCCTATGCTCGGGGTGTAGAACGGACGGTTCATCAAGTCCGGTCCCATGACGGATGGACCATTTCCGTCAAACGCTACTATAAGAAGAACAATTCGTCTCCTGCGTCTTCTGGACGTGGCCCAGCAATCTTCCACGTGCATGGAGGGGGCATGATTCAGGGCACGGTTGATCTCTTCGACAAGGCGCTCGCCCTGCAAGTCGAAAAGAGCAACATTCCGATCTTCTCGGTAGATTATCGGCTGGCACCCGAGTGTCCGCATCCAACACCACTTGAGGACTGCTATGCTGGGTTAGCGTGGCTCCATCGGCAGGGAGCCCAATTCAGGGTAGACAACAGCCGCATTTGTCTCATGGGGGAGAGCGCCGGGGGAGGCCTTGTTGCGGGCATTGCCATGCTGGCTCGGGATCGGGGCTTATCCCCGCCTCTAGCGAAGCAGGCTCTTTTTTACCCTATGTTAGATGACAAGAATACTGTCCCGAATCCTGCGCTGGAGCCTTTCACCACGTGGACTTACGATGACAATCTCACTGGCTGGACTGCCCTGTTGGGACAAGATATCGGGACGGACAATGTCTCGCCATACGCTGCGCCTGCCCGAGCCACCAACCTGGAAGGCCTGCCGCCAACGTACATCGACGTAGGCGCGCTGGACATCTTTCGTGACGAAGCTATCGCCTTCGCGGCGAAGATCGCAGCTGTCAATGTCGATTTGGAATTGCATGTGTACCCGGGCCTGCCTCACATTTTCGAGATCTATGCCCCAGACTGTGAACCCTCTCAGAGGGCCGTCGAAAATCGATTCAAGTTCATTACCAGCCTATAATTCGGCATACAGGGACTTTGGTGGCATGTTTTATGTCACTGAGAACCGAGTCGCTTGACCAGACCGATCAGAATCGATGGCGACTATGGCGTGTGTTGTGGGTACGATCAATCGAGCGATGTGGAACTGACTAGAATGGTGTTTGGGTTGGCTGTCGAGAGAGTGCGTCATTCGGAAGAGCGGAGTGGCTGAGGGCCAGATGCAATACAAGATGGTCAGAGCTTCCGGCTAAGCCATGAGGGTGTATGTACTGGATATCAGTCCAACACGGCTACTGTAGGCAGAACAAAATTGTACGTATGTGCTAGGACAAATGATTGAGGTCACTCGAGCGACTGATGTCAGTTGTAGAAGTGCACCCGAAGGTATAAGCCTTGTGCAGGCGACGCAGGTAGACGCATGGTTTGCGAGGCACTGTCGTCAGCCCCCATGTTGGTCATGATTTCCAGTGTCACAAAGTGTAGATAAGGTTGGTTAGACTATAGTTCAGTGCGGCCTAAAATGTAGAGGCTCTGTTGAAGGTGACATTAGGCGTGACTTGACTGGTGAGGCTTGGAATGCGGCAGCATGCATGCATGCATGAACAATCCCTAGAGCGGGAGACACTCTTTGTCACCACGGAGCCAAGCTCGAAATCTTGCCTGCCTGGAGGACTTGGACACTGCAGTGGTAATATCGGCTGCTTGTGGAGTGGTCCCCGGGGGCGGAGCATCAGCCGCTGCGGATGGCAGGCTGGCTGCTTGCTGGTTGTAGAGTATGTGGAGAAGGCGACCATCCCGTGGAACGCTGTCTGTCCCGATTCAGTTGCATTGTGATATCTGTAAAGCAGAAAGTAGAGCTCAGATTGACAGCATGTGACAGTCAATTAGACTGCTCCGACTTATCGTACATGTTCTCTGCCCGATCTCCGGGGTTGGTTGCAGGATTCAGTCCAGGATTCACCTCCAGGATGATCTGCAGCAAGGAGAACACATATGCAACATCGTCATCACAGCAACTGATGCTCTGATGGGAGGAATCGAAGGTGGCAACCAGAAGCGGTGCAAGTCTCGTCTCCTCTTCAGCCACACGGGTTCGGCGAGACCGTGGCGAGGATTGGAAATGCATGCGGAGCCGATCGCCAGGAACAGATCCAGATCCAGAAGGGCCGTCCGAGAAGAGTTACTGTAGTTGTGCACATGTCGTGTAAGTTAGACTAGACTAGAGTTAGAATAGGAGAGTCGCAATCCAAGCAGGCAGTGCAAGTTGCGAGGGGAGTTGCGGGCATCTCCACTCTCCGTTCTTTGCGTGTGTTGCTGCGCCTCGCCCGGCAAAGCGACGGAGGCGGACGAGGAACAACCCCAACAATTGGAACAATTACTGGGGACTCGCTATAAAAGAAGCGCTCAGCACGCATGCAGACAGA